TGTGAAGAGTCCAATGTTCCCTGTACATTTTCACTATATCTAGAATGCCGACTGTATAAAACCCCATGTTAATTCTTGACTGTCAAAATGTTAACATCCCATGGTAATCTTAAGTTTGTGTAATATTTTCTCATGGGGAGTGAAGAAGGGGGTACGGCTTAACCTTGAAAAAAAACTATTCGACTCTCAAATCTGGGCCAAAGCGTTACTTTCACTTACAATCAGCTACTTATTATACCACATGAAACAATGTTACTTTTATGTCTGCCGAAGAATTTGACAATGGTTACATGAGTGATGACTAATTTCATTGAATGTTAAGGCCGTTCATGTATGCTTATTGAGACAATGTACCAGAGTTGCTTGTTTTACCGACAATCGTCTATTTGAAGAGATTTATCTCTTGAAAAGCCCATGGGCGTTCTTTTAAATATCGAACTTTTTAGAGAACTTTTAGGATATTTTTGGACGTAGACGTACAAGAGAGAAACTCCGGCGGTTTACCAAGGGGGAGCTTTATGACAGTTTTGGCAAAAAATCATGCAAAAAGTGCTCAGAATGGTAAAAAGCTGCATAATTTTGAAAGAGTATCTGACCAGACCTGCAAAAATACATGACCAATCCCAAATTATTTGGGCAACCCGATGAGAAAAATGCAAGTGGACTCTGACATTTAAAACTGTTGTTCATATATTTTTATTAGAAACATAATGAACTATTTAATTAAATAATCATGATAAATGTATACTGCTAATCCATACAGTCTTATTGTTTGAATAATTGTCAATTTTTGGTTTGCGTAATTGGATTCACTTTGTTAAAAGACTAGCACTCGTATCACAATTATTTCTATGGTTTGATTTACCGGATGGTGTATTTAAGACACAGCTTAAGGCAAAATAGTCAGAAAAATATATTTCACTTAGTTTTGTTATCATTTAATTTATAATGAGATTTATTTCACTCATTGGGCGATCTAATAGTAATTGAAGTTTTGGCGCGAAATGTGCCCTGCTTTGACGTCATTGATTTTCATCGACCAATCAGCGCAGCGGTCAAATGAGTACACTTTGGACTTTGGGGAAAGGTGAATACATGTACAGTAGTACACATGTAAATAGATTCAGGATTCTCTGACAGGTCATTTGTTAACTTAAATGAGGATTTGAAATTTTGATTGAAATCATTCAAAATCCTGTATTCAAAGAAATTCTCAATTCTTTTAGTTCAAATCTCCACCTTTAAAGGCTTAATTATACGATTTTAGACTATTGACTAAAATAGTCAAGGCAAAAGACTTATGAGTAAATAATTGTGTGATGCTATACCTCAGACTGAAAGCAAATCAAAGACGACCTAATATTGTATAATGATATCAGGCTGAAACAGAGGAAGTTCCCCAGAATATGAACCTCCATATAAAATAATCCTCTAGGTGTACATCTTCACATGGAAATAGGTTCATCCATGAATTATGGGATATATCCCCCTACAGTCATCCTGCATGCCAGACCCAACCCCCTTTGGTGGAATGCTTTGCATGTCATAGAATGAAATATTTTATTTATTATGTTGTAATTGTTGAAATTGTATTGTTAAAGCTATACTCTACTATGGTGTTAATGCCTGGGTCACATTTGCTGATCAATCAGCCGGTGCCCGGCTGATTGAGTGTTTTGCTCAATATTGTATTCAATTTTGAACAAAATACTCAATCGGCCTGGCACCATAGTGAAGATCGGAGCAAATGTGACCAAGGCATTACTACAAGATCTTGGGATTATCTGTAATTTTAGGAATTTATTTCCCTAATTTCAAAGTAACTGCTAATACAAGTTCTTTGAGGCTAATCATTTTGCCTGAATATTTTGGTTAGACAACTATATATTGAACGGTCCCTCGGGTTGCTGTTTTATTATGGACTTCAAATAATTTGACCTAAAGTTGTTGTTTTCTAATTCTATTCTATTTTTTCATTTTAATTTCTGTGACCTTATTTTTATAAAATGATTGCATGAAAAAATGTAGTTCATTTTTACTGAGCATATAACCTTGGAACTTTTCAATTTTTTTTCAAATTTTTCCGAATTAATTTTCAATTTTTTTTCAAAATTTTTTTGTCAATTTTTCAAAAATTTTTTTCAAATTTTTCAAATATCTTTTTTTCAAAATATTTTTAAAGATAGTATCTGTAGGATACGATTGGGTATCACGTCATATGGATCAGATACGATTTTAGTGGCGTATACGAAAATTATCTTGTGTTGGTATCCCCATATATATTTAGTATCCATTGGATAAAAGTTAATAAGTGAAGTAGAACTGTACTTTCACCCTAATAACAATTAAGTGACACAATATCTTTCATAAGTTTATTTTCAAAACTGATTAAAATATTGCTAATTACTTCTGTATGTATACCTCGCGAGCATCAACTTCGGAATCTGTGTATAATTGAATATACATGTATGCAATTATCTGACAAAGACCATATTAAAATCCAACATTATGACACTGATTTTCCTTTTTGTGCAATTCTAATTTTAAAAGCCTTATAGATTTTATTTTATGTAGAGATATGATTACTATAAAATATAAGAACTATGGAATAATAATTTTAGTGTCATTAAATTCAAATATCCAAGTTATGTGTAACTCACTCTATATATTCTTGGAATGAATTGTAATTTTTCTAATGACAATTGATTCTTATGATAAATATTTGCGGTGTTATGTATTATAAGTTTACATTGTATTTGCATACAGGGTTCTTCAATAAATTAAAGTACTACTTGGAGACTTGCAGAACTTCATTGTGAAAAATGCTATTAATATTACAACGCTTACATGACTAACATTAGTACATGAGCTTTGATATTTCAACAAAAACAACTTTGCCTTTGACATCGCAATTGACAACTATATGTAAATACATGGGGGCTGATTATTATCAAAACATTTCAAGTGTCAAATTATCTGAACATTATCTGTCCATTGGACATAAATAAAGGTTTCTGAAAATATATTGCAGTTTTTGTTTTAAAGTGTTCAAAACTCTTAGTAGTACTTTAATGAGGTCATTAATTCTCATCAAGTTTATCTGTACAGAGGTATAGCTATGTAAAACCCTCAATTTGTGCATGTTCCATTTCAATTGAATTATGAACATTATCAGAAGTTGATAATTGTTTAAAACATGTCCTGATTCTAGGAGCATACCAGTATTATTCCTCATAGTGTTTTAATTCACAAAGAATCGGGTCAATGTACCGATGTTGTCCAAAAACACAAAAAATATATTTAAAATTCCCTCTTCCCCAAAAAGTAATTGAATATTACTATTGATTTATTCCTTGTAGAAATCAATATTGACTCACAAAATGTGTACCACATCTCAGAATCATAGATATACATGAAAATTGCCATATTGAACTAGCCCGAAAATCTGCTAGATTAATGCATTCATTTAACATTGAAGCATTAAGCTTTGTGTTCCACTTTTGAACCTCGATTGAAATCAAAATGCAACAAACATATATGAGGGATAATACTGATATGAAATCCTGCGTTTGTTCTAATTTATTCTCATGTGGCTATAAAATGTAAGAGGATATCATACGTATTGACTGACATTTCTTTAGATAGGGTTTGATTTCTGATATTAAGTACTTGCAATTTGGTTGTTACATATGAAGTACAGTACAAAGCACTCTAATGAGAAAAAACCTTTACTAAATGTACATTATAAAGGATTTCTTAAAAGATTTACTTGAAGGGTCCTGCAATACATCAAATATGAAATATTCGGCTCATTAGCATAATGTATCGTGGGACTTCTAATGTATTTCTGGGAGTTTAGTGTCTGTGTGACCTTTCTTGAAAATATGGTGAGTAACAATACGAGAAATTGTCTCTTTGTTGTCGTAAGATTGTGAGACATTCGAGATTTATGAATCGTATGTACACGTAATTCACAAATTTTCTGAGAAATTGCATCGTGGTTAGTTTTTTGTTGTACTGTAATTAATGTGTCAGGTTGACCAACTTTTAGCAATGCTAACCTTTGTTAATTGTAAGATATTATATATAATTAAATAAATTATATAATTGTTATAAAGCAATTCAAATATAATTGTTGTGTTCAAAGTCACTGATATATTATTCATAGTGGCAAATAAGAATAGAAGGTGTAAAATGTTACTACCAGAAAAAGAAATAGAGATATTTGAACAAATGGACACTCTCGAAGATACAAATGTCAAATATCTATTGGAATTAAAATAATTGCCAAACATCCTAAAAATCAAAGTATTACCATGAATTCAACCATTGTCAAAGAGTCAGCCAATCAAATTACATATTACCTGTTCATTACTAAACAATAATGAACGATTTTTCATAAATTACTGCACTGTCCAAATCTTTGAAACCGTGCCTGTGATCCAGGATTTATTGCCACATTATAGCCAGAAAAGGTTGAATTCGAGTCAGCTCAGTGCAGTCAACTACACATTCCTTGTTTTTTGTTGGTTTTTAGAGTATCGGAATGACAAAGAATTTTTGTAAGCAAAAAATATTAGAAAGTAACTTGTTTCTAGTTTTCATGTAACATGAGGTCCTTTTGGGAGAATAAGTCTTCCCCAGTCCAGCAGTCCACTTTCTCTGAAGCTTGAACTTCAAGAGAGAAAATGGGCGTGGCACATAACTAGCCGTTATAAGTCCCGTCCTTGTACAATACTCTATCATAGAATACTGGTATAATATAATTTCAACATTATGTCAGTAGCTGTCAACATTAATTAAAAAGTAAAATGCATTCCTCTGAGAGATCATTAATAAATTATTATCGGATACATATACTAAAGACATTTTACTCCATAGAAGACATCATAGAATAGCTTTTCCCGAGGAAAGTTAAGCGTACTGGACGAAAATAATCAAATATAATCATATACGTGGTGCGTCATGGATATTTTTATTATTTCAACCAATAGCGACACAAGAGATCATTCAGCTGCTATGAATTTTGACCTACATACCAAAATCAAACAAATTCTGAAATATTTATTTTAATAATCTCTTATATACTCCGCGATGGACGAAGATGATTTAGAATTCGACCAGCCTAAAAAGAAAGGGGTATGTATATGATTAATTAATGCATTGAAATAGTTAATCGATGTTAGATTTTGAACAGTTCAAAGATCGGAAGCAGGATGATATTTTTTAGATTTATTTCAGATCTGAGATTTTATCACACACAAGACTCAGTCTGTGTCACATATTTCGGCCCTTTTAAACGTTCCTCATACAAAGTGGTACCTGCCTCCCAAGACTCCTCTTGTCTGATATTTTCATTTGGTTGAAATAAATATTCTGACCATAAGTGTCCTATGAAAATATTGGTGTTCGAACACATTTGTTTAAAAATAAATTTTGATTAAAAATGGCTGATCGACAGAACACGAGGATTAAGACTGAGTACTAACTCTGTTGGTCTGTTGGATACATACTACCCGCTTCCCCTTGATACACAGTCAGTATGCAGTGCCTAAATCAAGATCTTTATCAAGAAAGGTAGACATAACTGCAGACTGACTGTGCCATGACAGATCTTGGGTTTAATCTGTTGCTGAGATCTTCATCTTTCTACACTTGTTTGGTTCAAGTAAATGAGCTATGGACGCTGCAGTTCAACTTTTTATGTCAAAGAGTTGTTTCGGGATCATGTCACTCCATCACATTTCAATTCATTGCACATTGTCTTCAATTCTTTGAACCTCATTGTAAAGCTGGTGTCAAATTTCCTGAAATTCAAGATATGACACGAAACAGTGGATTTGAGGACGGACATTGCCCCTCCAATAAAATATCACTATTTTGGCCTCCTATCAATGCAGGATTACCATTCATTATCATTGTGATCATTCATTGTGACCAGAAAATAAAAAATAACAAGAAGCTTCGAATGAGGTATGAGGTATCTCATATATTTCTGAAATGGCTGCACAGTTGTCATTCTGAAATTATGAATATTTTCTCAAAGCTGATCAAGAGGTTTCTCTTGAGCTACTGATCCTATTCAGCAATAGAATCATGCCGTCATCTATGTTTTCTTTGCCAGAGATTACATGAGATCTTGACAACCGGGAATTTGCTGATTATCTTGTTCTGGCTTTAAAATTCAAATTCTGTTCTATTTATCTATTTATGATTTTATGTTAAAGTCAGATTTCATAAAACATGGATATTACTCCAGAATTCTACCTATTGGTTAATCGAGCGGATGTACAGTCAATTTCAGTGGTGTAAAACGACGTCTCCCGTGACCAACCTTAATATGTCTGTTTGATGCAACAAGTTTGCAATAGCAATGGTTTCAAGGTTGTTTACAGAAAGATGACGGAAAAAGTTGACACCATAGCAACTTGAAATTTAAATAAACATTCACTAGAGTCCTCCCAGTATCACCATTGAAAAAATCAGAAAATTCTGATAATTTTAAGTATTTCTATTCTGCTTTCCAAGAAAATGTATTTTACAAAAAAATATAGATCAAGAGCATGTGGATTTTCTATTAAAGGGATTCCCAGGTACTTCATCAAAATAACGTCACTATTCAATTTAATATTCTCTTCAATCGACACATGCTAGTATAAACTATTATACTGTTGGTTCACAAGCTTAAAGAATTACATAACTTGACAGATTGAATAGAGTAAAACCTGTGTATGGTGAACACCTATGGAGCCAAAAAAGTGTTCACTGTAGGTATGTGTTCACTACAGAGATGGGATTTTATACAGGACTCAATAGAAAATATATCTTGAAGTGATGTTTGCTAAACACAGGTGTTCACTATAGAGAGGTGTTCACTAAGGCAAGTTTTTTTTCATAAATTCAAGTTCAAGTACAGGAAAGCCCACGAGTGAACAAGTGACTTTTGTGTGGCTGTCAAAGTTAATCATCAGAATGGATTTTTATCACAATCTAGACCACAATGATGCATGAATTGTCATATTTGCCAAGTGTAAAAATGCAGTGATCTCCCTAGGAATTTTTCTCAAGTGGGGGCAAAATTCTTATATTCTCAATGCACACTATAATTGGTCAAAATATGGATATTTTTCATGATTTTTCTCATTTTAAGTGGGTGCAGATGGATTTCAGATGGCTGCAAGCCTATTTTCAAAATCTCAGGTGGGTGCTGCGCCCACTTGCTTTAATGCTGGGGAGATCACTGGTTAGTGTATGACTTCCCGAATGAGTCCATGTATTGTACCTGAATGTCTATCTTGTAACCTTGTTGTATCTTTCAGGGTTTCCTAAAGCTGAAGCGGGTACTGTATATTACACTATGATAAAACATAGATTTAACATTAAGGACATGTATTGCCTTGTAGATCAATTTTTTGCTTCTTGTGATTAATGGTACATGGCAATGTAATGCATGGTGATGGTGATCAATCGTGGATATTTACTGTTGTATGCTTAGTGTATGCGGAACCCTTTTTTGATAATGCAACCCCTTTCTTTTTTTCCGCCAGTCAGATTGGCTATTTTTGGCCAGTTCAGTTTTAAAGTACATAATTCAGCCTAATTTGTCTTTGATGTTTGCTTTGGTTTTTAAAATTTAAAAAAATGGAAATCTTTATAGTAAACTATGTTTAGAATTTAAACCAAATATAGTGTTTAGTGGAACTAAATCAAATAAACTGAATACAAAAATGAGGTAACATAAAAAAAGTCTGAAGTCTGTTTTTCTTACAGAAGGTCAGAATAAACTTCCTTGCTCTGCAATACCCTTCCTTGCTGTGTAATACCCTCCCTTGCAGTGCAATACCCGCCTCTTTCTCTTTGCATGTTTCATAAATGAATCAATCTATTAAAAGTATTAAGCTATTTTGCATATTGTTTCAAAACCATTTATATTTGAAATAAAATAAGAGGCCATGATATAAGAAAAAAAACATCATTGACTTAGTTGAACATAAAGATTCCATACCCAGATTTAAATTTTATAGACATTATTGTTGGAATCCTTATCTTCTATCAGGCCCAATAAGAAATGATCTTATTCACCTTTCCCCAAAGTCAGCTCATGAATATTATAATTAGCAAATCTCAAAACTCTGACGTCAGAGTAGGGCAGATTTTCGCGGGAAAATCCTAACACATTAGAAGTCAATGGGAATCATGACGGAAACGGGTTAATTTTATTGTCAAATTATGTTGAGTAGTGATAATATTTATGATAAATGTAATGGAATTTAATTAATTATACTCCCGTCTATATTCCCCCTTCTTGTTATATTGTTCTGGGGAATCAAATGAATAGAGAAATATTGATGTGAAGAGTCCAATGTTCCCTGTACATTTTCACTATATCTAGAATGCCGACTGTATAAAACCCCATGTTAATTCTTGACTGTCAAAATGTTAACATCCCATGGTAATCTTAAGTTTGTGTAATATTTTCTCATGGGGAGTGAAGAAGGGGGTACGGCTTAACCTTGAAAAAAAACTATTCGACTCTCAAATCTGGGCCAAAGCGTTACTTTCACTTACAATCAGCTACTTATTATACCACATGAAACAATGTTACTTTTATGTCTGCCGAAGAATTTGACAATGGTTACATGAGTGATGACTAATTTCATTGAATGTTAAGGCCGTTCATGTATGCTTATTGAGACAATGTACCAGAGTTGCTTGTTTTACCGACAATCGTCTATTTGAAGAGATTTATCTCTTGAAAAGCCCATGGGCGTTCTTTTAAATATCGAACTTTTTAGAGAACTTTTAGGATATTTTTGGACGTAGACGTACAAGAGAGAAACTCCGGCGGTTTACCAAGGGGGAGCTTTATGACAGTTTTGGCAAAAAATCATGCAAAAAGTGCTCAGAATGGTAAAAAGCTGCATAATTTTGAAAGAGTATCTGACCAGACCTGCAAAAATACATGACCAATCCCAAATTATTTGGGCAACCCGATGAGAAAAATGCAAGTGGACTCTGACATTTAAAACTGTTGTTCATATATTTTTATTAGAAACATAATGAACTATTTAATTAAATAATCATGATAAATGTATACTGCTAATCCATACAGTCTTATTGTTTGAATAATTGTCAATTTTTGGTTTGCGTAATTGGATTCACTTTGTTAAAAGACTAGCACTCGTATCACAATTATTTCTATGGTTTGATTTACCGGATGGTGTATTTAAGACACAGCTTAAGGCAAAATAGTCAGAAAAATATATTTCACTTAGTTTTGTTATCATTTAATTTATAATGAGATTTATTTCACTCATTGGGCGATCTAATAGTAATTGAAGTTTTGGCGCGAAATGTGCCCTGCTTTGACGTCATTGATTTTCATCGACCAATCAGCGCAGCGGTCAAATGAGTACACTTTGGACTTTGGGGAAAGGTGAATACATGTACAGTAGTACACATGTAAATAGATTCAGGATTCTCTGACAGGTCATTTGTTAACTTAAATGAGGATTTGAAATTTTGATTGAAATCATTCAAAATCCTGTATTCAAAGAAATTCTCAATTCTTTTAGTTCAAATCTCCACCTTTAAAGGCTTAATTATACGATTTTAGACTATTGACTAAAATAGTCAAGGCAAAAGACTTATGAGTAAATAATTGTGTGATGCTATACCTCAGACTGAAAGCAAATCAAAGACGACCTAATATTGTATAATGATATCAGGCTGAAACAGAGGAAGTTCCCCAGAATATGAACCTCCATATAAAATAATCCTCTAGGTGTACATCTTCACATGGAAATAGGTTCATCCATGAATTATGGGATATATCCCCCAACAGTCATCCTGCATGCCAGACCCAACCCCCTTTGGTGGAATGCTTTGCATGTCATAGAATGAAATATTTTATTTATTATGTTGTAATTGTTGAAATTGTATTGTTAAAGCTATACTCTACTATGGTGTTAATGCCTGGGTCACATTTGCTGATCAATCAGCCGGTGCCCGGCTGATTGAGTGTTTTGCTCAATATTGTATTCAATTTTGAACAAAATACTCAATCGGCCTGGCACCATAGTGAAGATCGGAGCAAATGTGACCAAGGCATTACTACAAGATCTTGGGATTATCTGTAATTTTAGGAATTTATTTCCCTAATTTCAAAGTAACTGCTAATACAAGTTCTTTGAGGCTAATCATTTTGCCTGAATATTTTGGTTAGACAACTATATATTGAACGGTCCCTCGGGTTGCTGTTTTATTATGGACTTCAAATAATTTGACCTAAAGTTGTTGTTTTCTAATTCTATTCTATTTTTTCATTTTAATTTCTGTGACCTTATTTTTATAAAATGATTGCATGAAAAAATGTAGTTCATTTTTACTGAGCATATAACCTTGGAACTTTTCAATTTTTTTTCAAATTTTTCCGAATTAATTTTCAATTTTTTTTCAAAATTTTTTTGTCAATTTTTCAAAAATTTTTTTCAAATTTTTCAAATATCTTTTTTTCAAAATATTTTTAAAAATAGTATCTGTAGGATACGATTGGGTATCACGTCATATGGATCAGATACGATTTTAGTGGCGTATACGAAAATTATCTTGTGTTGGTATCCCCATATATATTTAGTATCCATTGGATAAAAGTTAATAAGTGAAGTAGAACTGTACTTTCACCCTAATAACAATTAAGTGACACAATATCTTTCATAAGTTTATTTTCAAAACTGATTAAAATATTGCTAATTACAGAGCGCAAAGCAAGGACGTAGATCGCGACGTCCTCCTGTTGATGATGACGTTGGTGTAGCTGAAGATGATATGATTGCAGAGACCACCCCAACAACATCAAACTCTAGTAAGAATCGTGTAAGTATGAGATTTAGGGTTTTATCGCCCATACTTGGTTGTAAGCTATCTATAAACAGCTGTATGGATAATGTCGACTCTACAAGGTAATTTTTGAGGTAGGGTTTTAAAGAGAGACTAGAAACATAGAAAACAGCAATATTGATGTAACTATTTTCTGAATATCCTTTTCTTCAAATTTTATCTCACATACATGTAGTGATATGGATAAAATGTACAGTATGTATGGTAATTTTTGAGACAGGATTTTAGCGGGAAAGAACAGGAATAAGCTTGAGGTAACAGCAATCATGTTATTGTCTCCATTTTCTAAAAAAAGTCCCAAGAATTCTGATTTTATTTCTTCAAATTTTTTTAATGTTTATTTGACGATAACTTTATTTAGTTATTCAATCTGTCAGAATGAGATTACACGCTTTATATCCTGCATCGTTATCTTCCTCAATTCAAATATTATATTACAGAGTGATGGGCCACCGAAACCACAACGTCGCACAGGAGGATGGGGAGATGACAGTTCTAAAAGGTGAAAACAATCAGATAAATGTCAAGAAAAAACACTCAATGGTCAATATCTGAAGGAACAGTCAATTTTAGTACCCAAATAAAATAATATCCAACTGATATGACGTGATGTTAAATTTATTTTCCAATGGATATATTTTTTCATTTCAGAATTTCAAACACCAAAAGTGGTGGTTTAAATGTTTCACGGAGCATCCTTCAGCAAACACCTATTTAATTTGAGAAGATATTTGACTTTTTGGATTTAAATATTAAGTTATTTTATTTTGATTTGAAGGACATGTAATATTTGAGCTATTTGTAGAATGCAAAAACTTATCTATATGAGTAGATATGAGATCCTATGATTTTCTTCAGCTATCATTTTTATCCACTCATGGATGTCAACCATCTCCTTGTATGGATAAAAAGATATCCCTAAAAAATAATAGGATATCCTCTGTTTATAAATTATTTATACATTCTTATTTATTTATTTTTAGGAGGAGGGGAGGAGATGTGGAGGAAGAGTGAGTTCAATTTTTTTTTTTTTTGGGGAGTAAAGACTGTAATTCTGTGATTTATGGCACAATATATGACCAATGACCAATTTTTTTTCGATCATTGTTAAAAGACCGAAAATCAGTTTTCTAATTGGATAAACAAACCAGAAAGCTTTTTGCATTTATCTTGGTCTATAATCAAATGGTGAAGTTACCCCATAATAGACTGGTAAATCAATTTAATGTCGTTAATGAAAAACATGGTAAATATTCCATATTAGAGAGATAGATGTCTAATGAACTAGGTTTGTTTTATAATGTACCCTCTTTATATATTTAGATAAATTAAATTAAACATTTTATTTCAGTAGTATGGATTTCTTGGATGAGGATTTGGAAGATGGGTACTAATGTTACTGATTTATTTTTTTGATGTGATCTAGATATCTAACTATTGTATTTTAGTGTTACTTAAAATAGCGTGCATAATATGTGTACAATTTTGAATGTGTATAGAACAAGACCAGAGTCATTTGTTGTGATCTTATATGACAAAAGACTATATGTATTTTATCACTTCTAATTGCGATTTTTCAATGGTGTAGAATGTGCTCTTTGGAGCAGTGTGTGGGAGGGAGATTGACGGCCTAATTATCAAAGTGAAGGCTTGCGACTGTAGCTTCACAAAATCGATATAGAAAATCTGCATCAAACTGCTTATCCCCATACAGTAAAACCTGTCTAATCCGAACACCATTGGGACCGGATAAAAGCATTCAGATTAGGAGGTATTCACATTTCATGGTTTTTGCATTCGCAATATTCCGGATTCTGAAGAATTATGAATACATTCTCGGTAAATATTTATAGTTCTTTTGACAACATAGCTGTATGGCATTCCAGAAATTTGAAAACTCGATTTAAATGAATCTAGTCATGCTGGAAAGAGAGACCATTCAAGATTTTTTCCCAAAGTTTTGATATAATGACAATATTTGAGCAATTTTGTATGAAACATCAGAAATTTTATGAAAAGTGTTCAGATTAGACAGGTGAATTTTTCATATATGACTGTTCACTGTTCAAATTGGGAGGTGTTCACATTTCTTGTTTTTTTTAACATGGGAGTCAATGTGAGGAAAAAATGGGACCGAAAAAAAGTGTTCAGATATACAGGTTCTACTGTATTTAATGCTGCATATTTTTGTCGATTTTGGGAAGCTATGTCCTTTGTACCGTTGCCATAGAACAAATGTGAATGAGGTATAAGTCAGGATAAGACTCCTGCATATTACCTGAATGCAATCTTTGGGAATTTTCTAGAGTTTGTCACTTTTTAGAAATTTAAGCACTTGCTTTTCCTGAATACTTTTAATGTTTTGCAGAGTTTTGAAACCCTCTGTTGTAAAAATGTTTAGGGATTTTAGATTTACGATAATTCATCGTGCACATAACTGGAGTGATTGTTTTATGATAACAACAACTGAATGTATATATATTGAGTGATGATGAGTGGCATTTATAAACATATTGTGTTTTGATTATTTTTATTATCAAAATTACCTGAGACTGCTGATGACAGTATATTGAAAATGTATTAAATATCTCATTTGTAGGAGGAGCGATAGTTATGATTTTCAGATCATATGATGCTAGAAGTATGATTAATTAGATCCTTAAATTTGAAATTTTAATATGAGAAATGCAGTTTGCATGTAAAATGCAGAAAATTAAAAATAAATTATTTTATTGCCAATCCCATTGTGATCCCTTCAGTGCATATTCATGAAGAACATCTTTATCTTCTTAAAACATCCGTCACTAAGTTGTGCGACATTGTTATATATTAAATATTATTAAATAGAAAAGTATAGCAATACAATGTATTTTAATGTTTGAAAGCATCTACAAGTACAAACTACAGTATATTATGATACTATAGCTGCAGTAACTAAAATTCAATGTCTGTCACCTAATTAAATAATGTTTAACCCCCTCCCCTAGTGCGATTTCATTTTTTGAGGTACATTGAAATGTTGACCCAGCCCATAATTTTAATGGTCAATAGACGAGTGATAAGACATTCTTTGATCAGATAATAGTTTACAGGTTTTGACACATACTAATGACAGATTTGATTAAAATTTTATGGGCTGATATTTAATAGTATAAGTGCACATAAAATAACAAAGGCTGCTCCAAGGTCTGCCTTCCATGATTACATGTGTTAATTATGACCATGTTTATACGGGATATACCAAAAAGGTATTGCTCACCTTCATTGGTGGTAAACACAATACAATACAATACAATACAATACAATGCAATACAATGCAATGCAATGCAATACAATACAATACAATTCAATACATCTGCTCGAAACTGAATTTCTAATTAATCACTCAATTCAAAATGGCCACCATCTTTTACATTTAAATATCTTTTCCATTTGACCCCAAACATGCCAAACTGTGTAACAGATTATCTAAAGAAATATGATGCTTTAAGACTTGAGTCTTCAAATCATGTATATGTATATTTATATATTTCATAGGAAACGTCAAGCTCGCAGGTTGCATAGAAGGTAGTATGTATTGTTGGTTATATGGCAGCTAAACAACTTGTATGGCATGTTACCTTCTATAGCTACTCAACACATTTAAGAGAACATACGCAAATGCATGAAGGCATCTAAAATATTTATATTCCTATTAAACACTTTATATGGCTATTAAATACTTTACAGCTCAGGGCTACTAAACACTTAATGGTTACTGAGTACCTTAAAGGGTTTGTTAACATCCTGGCAACTAAATACATTGTTGGACAATGTAGCATCCCATATCGCAACTAAACATTTTACATGGCAACTAAAACATTTTATAGGACAACTAAACTAAACATGCACTTTTTGTCTACTTAACGCAATAAAGCCACTATATACCTGACATTGAAAGGGCATCTAAATATCCAATAGAGTATTACATGTGTTAAAGGGTGACAAAACATATAATAGGGCATCTAAATACCAGATAATCAAATTAGATCTTAATGGAACTGAACACTTCAAAGGCAATTGTGCATGTTAAAACTTGTAAGTAAATCAAATATAAAAGTGTTCTGTTTTGATTTGTGTCAATTAAGAACATATTTCCAACAAGGACACTGTCTTCCCCATTTTTGGAACTTTTTCCCATTTATTGCAAGATTGTACTATTACCTACTATATACTATGTTTTCAAATTTTCAATTGAATGCAAATCCGTTTTCAACTTGGTGTAGGGCCTAGCTGCTTCAGTGCTGGGAATTCACTGAATCATTTGGTATCAGTGCTTCTTTATTTTAGCCATGCCAACACTAAAAATAATTGCATGAACTGACCATTTTTGTTAATTGTAAATGTACTTGACTTCCTCAAGCCCTTGTGGCCCCTCCCCTACACTCCTCACCTCTATAGGAAGGTGTAGTAGACTAGTTGATAGGAGGAGTGAGGGAGGGTTCTGGAAACTGTACATAAGACTAAACTTGCATGTATCTCTGTTTCAGTGAAAGGTTCCTGGCAAATGGGTAAACACATGTACTGTAGAACTGATACATAACAATAACCCAATGTACTTCTGGAACTTTTTGTGAAGTTCTTGTTAAACTTTTAATCAACTGATCTGTCATGTTGTCTTCCTTTCAGTCAATTCATACTGTGCATTATGGTACTGATACAATGTCCTATTGGTGTCACTAGCTGTTATGTGTAATTCTGTCTGAAAGTAATATTCAATGAAGGATCTCATAGTTGAAGAAATGTAATTTATTTCATCTGTGAAGATATATTTCACTAACTCCAATAACAGCATTGTATACCTTTGTACTATATGTACATCTTAAATGTTATGTATCTTATATAATATGACTTTTTGTATTTTTGTATGTATACCAATGCGGGATCTTTGACAAAGATTGCTGCATAGATGGAGCTAGATTTCCAGCATCAAAATTTTACAAAATTATTCACTTTTATAATAAACAATACCTGTCACTGTGAAGATTTACCAAGATCCATTTTTGAAACCCCTCAATTTTAGTAATATGCACATGTGTTATTAACTGGTATTGATATAAAATATGTGTATCTTTCACTTTGGTGTGTTAGTGTGTTAATTGAAAAATCTTACTACATCTAATCTTAATAACACCTTAAACACCCCCCCCCCCCTTAATTATACCATTTTCTTCTCAAACTCAGAGAAAATGTTTTATTGAAGCTCATAGTTTAAATAAACAAAAATTAACATATTCTAAAATATATACATGTACACACAAAGAAATCACATTAGAATATGGAATACCAAAAATATACATACAAATATGTAATTCTATATTTTAAATATATCTAATAGCCTACCCATAGGGCTACAATGATGATAATGTTCCAAATAAATTCTCAGAAGACTCATGGATGAGTTGTGGATCCATGTGATTGGAGAACGCCAAGGCCAATGAAACACAATGATAAAATTTTGTTCGCATTAAATAATACATCAAAATCCAAATGCTAACCATTGCTCTATTAGGTACAGTGTTTCACGTTCCTAAGACTTCAATTTGTGTTCTGATTTGATTTTTTTTTTCTTTCAGTGAAAGATTAAAGCCCACTGCGATATCAGATGATGACAACTCAGACAATGGTAAGCTTAATGAAAAAGAGCTAAGCTGTGAGCTAAAAACGTCATTATTTTTACGTTTATTATTTTCTTCTTAACTTTTTTTATGACAGAAACTGGGCTTAAAGGAATTAGAAGGATAGACATTGAACTGAAAAATTACTTCAGGATCACCCTGTAGTATGTATTTCTAATTTTATAACTACATGTACAACAGGTTACAATATTACAACGTTTGTGAGAAATAATACATGACCTATATGTATTTAATAATGAATGTTTCAGATATCCCTGTTATACCAGACCTTGATGATGTTCAAGAAGAAGATATGAGCAACCAAGTGGCCCAAGCTCCAACGTAAGTAGCATAAAGAAACCATTAAAGTGCCAATAGCTGTGATTCTTGTCCTAAATAAACCTAAAATAATTTGTTTAATAGTGTTAACATGTAACCTCTGCAGTTGGCCATTGGACAAGGCATATATTTTGAATTCATAATTATATGTAAGTAAACTAACACAATCAATAGACAATCACATTTTATTTTCTGAAAAAGCAAAAGAGCTTGAAATTCCTCATCCTCACCTAGTAGCTCCAATTTCAGTACATGTATTACATGTATTATATAATGAATTTACAAATATTAACTTCAAATATATGACATTATGTTGCTATACCCAGCTAGCTATATCCCTGTACAGTGTGAATCAATGTGGCAAAATCTTGTTATCAATGTAAACAAAATCTCTGTAAGCTGGTAAGTGGAACACCTCCAGAGTAGAACACTATTTTAAGGATTAAAAGACATTTAATTTAAACACAGGATTTAATGTATTTCAAAAGAATTATGTCATTAGCATAAGTGATTTGAAGAGATCCCCATTAGTATTCTTTAAAAATATATCTCAGTTTAGTGCCCATCGGGCATTGTTGTGAGAATCAGTTTGTGATATTATGTTCTAAAGTGTGTACTTGTACATTGTGAAATCAGAAACTAAAAGATGCAAATATTCCTATTTTTTGTAGCATGCTTGTGAACAGAGTCTCCACATTTCGGGAACTTGACAATGATCTCCTCAAGCATGCAGCTTTTCTAACTCTGGTAAGTTTCAGACTATAACACAGTTGATTTAAATATAATAAGCTGATACACTCAAAGTTTCAGAATTCAGAAGTTTCATGAGGAATGCTCATCAAATTGTCGAACTTCGCAAATATCTATCTGTGCATGCAATATGTATTTACTTAACTTTCTTATGGTTCTGATACTGCATATAATGTAAATATGCTTTCTTTAACATCTTATACTAAGTAAGTAATACCACATTTTAAACAAATAGTTGTCAGGAATAAAAAACTTACTGCCAACATGAGTTGCTCTATAGTAGGCTTGTGTCTGGACCCCATCACCTTTTATCATTGTCAATATGTTATTTCATCATGAGAACAATTTTGTGTGATTTGAATCGGAATGAACTGTCAACCAGTGATTTTATTCTACTGTATTTTTGATACATATATCTTAACCATCTAGTTTTGTGTTGTAGGATAATGAAATAGATCTCAAGATTCTAGCACAGTGTTTATCGTCCGAGGCTGATGTCACGGAGGTGAGCTATAAGATGTTATGTTCTTTACATTTCAAGTGCAATAAAACATATTTTGACAAAAATGCTAAGAAAAGGCAAACTTGACATTGATTCAGATGAAATACAGAAAACATTGGGCCCAAGATAGTCTTATTTCACAAGGTGCCGCCAGGATATATGGTGCTTTAAATTGTTATTCAACAGAAACAGAGTTAGATGTTAAAGCGTGGGATACAAGAATATCAGAGTGTAATATGGATTCTGTATGATACAAAAACAAAGGATGTTTTTATGTCACTTTAGATCATTAGAAATTTCACCATTATTGACTGATAATGCACTTTGTCTTTATTTTACTTTTCAGGAGGACAAGCCATGGGATTGGGACCGACTTTTTACTGAGGTATCATATGATCTCACAACTGAATGGGAAGCCAATGAAGCCACGGAGGAACAGGACACAAAATCATAAGTACATTGGAGGACTTTGTTCACTCGCAAGAGGTTCTCATTCTCAAACAAGAGGACCTTACCCTCCAACAAGAGGACTTTTCTCTCAAACAAGAGGACTTCTCTCTCACTTGTTGAGTTCATGATACTCAATATTATCAAATACTTCTTTCACGGATTCAGAAATTGCTGTTGGAACAACTCATATTGAAAATTATAATTAGTTAAACATCAAACTGAGTCTCTTGTCCCCATTGTATATAATATTCTACGATCTTGTTTTAAGGGAGAATGGGACACAGAAGCTTGTTGCAAAACTTAAAAAGGCTTGAATACTCAGAGTGACTTCTCACTAAAATAGTTCAATTTTCACAAAATATGGATGAAAATGTGTGTAATTTTTTCAATGTTCAGTAATGTTGCCAAAATGAACAACAAACATTGCATATTAAGATAGAAATATGGCAAAAGATATGCTCTGGTATTTAAAAGTTAAAAAAATTGAAAAGCTCATCAAAAATAATCTGTCATACCAACACCAAGAACATATCATTGGAAAGCAAAATTATGATTATGAAATTATATTGAAGAATATTATCGTTTGATACTGATTTGCATAGGTTATATTTAAAATGATCAGAAATCCCTCCATTTGTTGTATTGTTGTACTTTTGTGTATAGGTATGATCCGATGACATACATATTGACTGTATTTTATCATAGTAATATATTATTGTTTGTATATTTGAAATATATGTATATATAAGATGTGAATATATGTTTTGTCATTTACCTCCTTGAAAGAAATATGGGGATTGAATAGATTAACCCTGTCCAATTTTGTGCAACTATAGTCATGTATGGTTAAAGGGGCAACAAGGACTGTAGAGAGAAAATTCGAAATTTTTTATTTTTTCTGAGCTGTCAGGTCATATTTGGATTAAGATCTCCTTTGACATACCTATTTTCTTAAAATGTATGGATAAACTGTCAATTTCAGCATAAGAAGTGTGAATTCAGTTCAAAGCTTCTATAAAGGGAGTCCCACTTATAGATATTCATATCAATTGAGCAAATCTCAAGTTCAATGCCGTAAAAATACCATGATTATAACAATGGGTTGATTTTAAAATCGTTGAATCCGAAAAAGTCTTGCAAATCCGCCATATGCCATTTTTTTTATACAGGTGGACTGGAAGCTGTTATTCAAACTTGATTCTCCGTTGTATGACATAGATCGGTAACAATAGTACTCATATTTTGAAGACTAGAGCTGCCAAGGATATGAAGGAAGCTTCAATATAAAACCATAATATTGGTAATGTCCATCTTTCCACAAAGTACTTCACTTGGTTCAAAGAGAACCTTATAGAAATATTTTACTCAATTGTTCCACGCCCCACAACAGAAAAATAAAACTAATGAATAACATATTATGATTGGCATTTTCTATATTTAATTTATTTCTCAGTTATATTTGCTTTACGAAAATACAAATAAATACAGATTCATAAGATTTATATACATATTTACAATATATACAAACTGTACAATATTTACAAATGACAATATATTTTTAACATCTGATGAATGAAATACAGATGAGTATCAAATCTTAAAACATATAATATGAACATTGAAGATTTTGGTCGACATTTAATTTGGCGAATTGGTTATTTTAAAAATGCCAATAATCTGGAGAATGTAGCACATGGAAACTTAACTACTGATTGTCTTTATTTTGATGGTGTTTGGAGTCATCCAAAATTGGACCAAAAAGGATATTCTAGGTTTATGGTACTTTTTGAGGTTTAACTATTTAAGTAATATTTTTAGAAAGTTCAAAATCAAATAATGTACCCTGTATTTTCCATATTTCTTTCGATTTCATTATTCTCATATATTTTATAGGAAATCATCCATCTTCCATCAAATCACTTGTGTCAAACATCAAAGGTGTCTTTTAGATGCCATAAATGTTTCACATTAAATTCTACATGTAATTTCTTATGTTTACAGAAAGGCAAATACAAAAATATTGCTTCTTAAATGAATAAAAAGTTTCTTCAAAATTTATGTTTTAGCACAGCATTTTTATCTCAACTAAAAAATCATTCCATATCAAAGCTGATTAGTTGACAGGGTTGGGCAGGTGGTCAAGAAACAATGATATAGATTAGGTGTAGAATTTACTGGACACTTTAACAACCTCTTATGAGGCATTTACAAGGGCTTGATGGAAGACTCAATCATTTACACTGACTCTAAAAGTCTATTAGAGCTGGCAGATTGGGTACTCAGTATTCCACTAATAGGTGTCTCTGTTTCCATACCAGAGCCATCTATACTTGACCCTGAGAGTATGTGTCGTTGAGTTTCTCTAGAATTGGAATAGGCGCCACCACGGATTGGAAGGACTGAAAATAGAAACAAAGGTTAAATAAATAGACACACCCATGATTTCTTTATCATACCCAAATCCATCAATCAGTTTTGCTTATATAATTGATCTTCACCAGCTAATTTCAATTGAATCCTGTACTTTTAAATATCCAACATCTCTGTATCAAAATCTATTGAATCTAAAGTATTGACATTTTTGTGGGAAATGCAGAGTAAGTTTAACCCCTCTACTTGATTGCACACTTCTAATCTATTCATCTAGAAAAGAGCTGAAAAACATGAGATTTTAAATCTACAAGATGTCACCACGTAGGCCATATCACCACACACAAGTAGGCTATTCTAAATTTCTAAAATGATGCACACTCAATCAAAGACAAATTTCATATAGAGAGAATGGCATTCAAGATTTGATATTTGAAATATATTCTAAATCAAGCTAGAATACTAAAAATAATTGAAATTCAAATAAAAGTATCCAATCATCTGTTTGTTGAAGCATATTGTCACTACATAAAGGCAAATCATTTTTGGACCCAAGAAGGGAAGGCAAAATGTATCCAACTGATGCAAATCCTAAACTATTGTTCAAGCTATATATACATGTACTATAAGCCATGCTGCTGGAAGTATCATGAGGTGGGCGAATTGTAATTCAAGCAACTCTTCATTTTCCTAGCTGGCATGAGTCTAAGTGGGCCATTGGATGGTATTATAATTGTCATGGCCAATTATAGGCTGTTCTGAGTCATTTATTTAATTCAAGTATCTACATAATTGCAATCTTTTAATTAGAAATCATGTCAAATCCATAGGCTGTTTCTTTTACATGCGTAACACCATTTCATAAGATTTCACCAGCCCAAAAATCAACCAGACCAGCATCCGGTCCACCTCTAACATAGAACTGCATCTCAAAAGCACTGCGAGAATAAACTCTCTAGTCAATACATGAAATAAATAGGAAAGTATTCCATATTCAATCATCTTAGAGGGTTGTTCCAAAAGTGTTGAACTGATCACTTAAACATTTTTCCAATTTTGAATAAACATTTTCTGAAAAATGTAATAAGAGGATAATACATCACATCATTTTACAATCATATCAACAACCCGACAGTACAGCATATAATAAATTCTATTAATTTTCCAGCAATAAGAGTGGACATTTTGGAACAACCCTTGTAGAAATCTCAGAATAAATTAAGACATCTATCTACTTGTATATCTCTATGCAAACATTGTAGCACAATATACAAAGCACAATTCAGTCTTACCTCTGCTTCGCTATATTTCAATAATTCAATTACAATAATTAATATATTATTTCAAACAATGATCTGGGGGTCATTAACTTCGTAAAGTTAAGAATTCATAAATCAAGTGTTGTAACCATTGATATGATGATGTCACAGTTAGAGAACAATGGGTTTTACAAATTCTTAACATTTTACGAAGTTTCTGTTAATGGCCTCCTGGTTAATATATGGGTGCATCTGTAACTGGTTTGGAGTCACTTTATCCTAAAATGAGGATTGTACCTCTGAACCCAATAGCATGTTTTAGTTCATTGTAGTGGCAATATTGGAGGTGATGTGGGTACTTAAAGGTAGAATCAGATCTATGGGGTGATGAAAGTACAAAGTGGCAATGTATTTCTAATGATCTCAAGTATGACAATTCCCAAAAGATGCATGATACATTGTGAAAATGATACATTATTATAAGTCTTTTGTCTTCCTAAAATGAAGTATGCACTTTTGGGATTTAAAAAATATATATGACGAGGAATGATATGAGCCAATATATTCTAAAATTGAAACTAATTTTGTTAGGTTGCTCACTTGATATGACACTATACCTTTAAGCAACAAAGTGTACGAGTTAGTGGGTATAATGCATAAAAATAAAAACTAAGTCGGAACTGAAATAGTGAATGAAATCACATGTATACAAAGATATTACAAATATGTACAATGAAGTATTGTATAACAGATATATTGTATAGCATAACTACTCACCTGTTGTACTACATGCTTGTCTATCTTTTCTTCTCTGAAGTAATTAGTACCATACGGCAAGTGGCCGAACTGTGATGTCGTGTGCAAGAGTGGTTCGTAGTCTCGGTCTCGCCGTGAAAATGGCTGGAATCTGTAGAAAAGAAATATGGTAATGACGTGTTCCAACTTATTTTTCCGAAGTAGAATAAACATAACAGCAGAATGTTGTCTGTTCAAATTTATAGTTTTTGATGTTTATGTCCAAAAAAGGAATAGACAACACTGTTGCAAAGTAATCTTCCAAGCATTAGAGTTACTTTTTGGGTGCTGCACCCCTTGTTGAAAATCTAAAGATTACATGTACATGCCATCCTGCTCAAAATCTGTTTGCACTAAAGGTTGAACATATTTTGATCAAAAGCACCAGATTGAGAAAAATCCAAGGAAGATATTGTATTATCAGATACCTAGATAGCATACTCTCCCAATGAATAATCCCATCTTCAGTCCCATTCAGTAAATAACCCAGGTACACAGGTAATAGCAATGTATACATACGTGTTGTCATTTATTCTGTTGACCCACTCCTCTGCTTTCATAGCCTCTCGTGCCTCTTCTACAGAGAGATAATTTGTGGCGACCCGTAGTGACGGTTGGAATGGCTTGTAGCGCTGGGCTTGCACCTCAGCAGCATCACGGAATGGGCCCTGGATAGCAATGCTTACATGGTAATATGGGATATATCAAATATACATTTTGTATGATTTATGTAATATAAGCCAGGGAAGGTTGGAATGGTTTGTAGCGCTGGGCTTGCACCTCGACAGCATCACGGAATGGGCCCTGGAGTAGCAATGCTAACATGTTAACAAGGGATATGTCAGATATACATTTTATCCATGATTTTTTGTATACGCCAATGAAGGTTGGAAAGGTTTGTAGCGTTGGGCTTGCACCTCGACAGCATCACGGAATGGGCCTGGAGTAGCAATACATACATGTTAATAAGGGATATATTCAATATACATTTTATACATGATTTATGTATAAGCCAATGCAGGTTGGAATGGCTTGTAGTGCTGGGCTTGCACCTTTGCTAGGTAACGGAATGGGCAATGTTTACCATAATATGATGAAAGTAAAACATAAATGTATTGTAATGAATTTTCTCGAAAGACTAAAATTATACAGCCTAAAAATTCACAAAAATGATTCACAAAAGTACACCTTAGTCTAACTGATTCAGACTTGTATTTTCAGGTTTGATTCAGCATTGATTTAACACAAAGCTTTTGTCCAATGTCTAGAATCCAGGGCAGCCCTTAATTTGGATACAGGACTGCATGATGTAAGGTGTACATGTATACAAAAAGACCACATACCTGGGGCTTTGGTCCAATAGGAGGCAAAGGCTTATGTTTCGGTAAAGAATAACTTTTAGAAGTTGCGTCAAACTCTGGTTCTTTGGGCTCGACTATTTTATGGGATCTTGGACGAGTTGATCTTAGGAGATATTCTTTTTCTGAAGGGTACCTAAAAGTTACAAAAGTTAGATATATGTATATGTGATAGCATAAAATGTAGTTTGTTAAACTCATGGATGGTAGTTCAGTTGTCGACATGTGTCAAAAATGAAGTTCATTTTTTTGGAGGGGGTAAATCAAAATTGAAGTGAAATGGTAATTCAACATTTTCAAAATTTATTATATGAAGTGAGAAGGAGTTAAACCATAATGAAAGAAAGTTCATTCTTCCACTTCTGTCTACTTCTGGACATCATACTAAATCAGATATCGATGAACTTTACAAGATATTTTGTAACACGGGTTCCACAGAGGGTAATTGATTTGAAAATCAAAGCCTGACATATCTTTTGTCTCTAAGTCACACTTACACACATTTAACTCCACTTCTGGCTTTTTTGTATTTATTGTAAAAATATAATATTTATTGTATTTATTTGTAAGGTGTTGAGCATCTATGTTCATTTTCGATATCATTTTCTTAACAGCTAAAACAACATTTTCCAAACTTATTATATCATATGTTTGATTATTTATGTTTGATTTCAAAATCATTACATTTTTCATTAAATGTATAATATTTTGCTTACAATCTGGCATAAAGATGTCTGCGGTCAAAACTAGAAAAAAAAAACAAAAAACGATCAGGTCTTCATGTTCTTCTTAATCAAATTAGAGATCAAGCTGGTCTATGTGATCATGCAAAAGCATTATAAAGCTATAAAATAAGTACCACTACCTCACAAGCAAGATTTATCCAACCATAGGATTGCATAAGGGGGCGATTGATAAAGCTATATTTTTTATATCTGTTTTTTCATTTTTTCAAAAATGATAAAGCCAGATACAGTTTGTCAGATATGATGCATTACGTCAAGCATAATTCTCATCCAATGTCAAAAAGTAGTAAAAGGCATGAACATGCAATGCAAAATGTTCCCATTTGCCATTTGTTACAGATGCTGAATGCCAATCACTGAGCACCAATCCACCAACATCAACCGCATTTGACAAAAATGTTGGGGACCATAACCACCACTTCTGGTGGTGACATAATAAACTGAATAGAGTACCTCCCATTACTAATTACTCATTAAACCATGATTAGTACAACTAATATGCTATAGTGTTACAGCCAGTTATTAGCAACATTTAATCAAATGAATAAGCAATAACTAAGCATGCTAATTCTAAGACAACCAAACTTATGAAACTTTTCCCAAACATTTTGTCCGGAATTGGTTCAAAAATGGTCTAAATTAAATGTTAGAAATCTGCCTCAGAATGTCATTCTACTAAGAGTGGTGCACATTTTTTGAAAAATTTGGTGTGGCACAGAATACATATCACTGGGTCATTCTACTATTCTTTGCATGAAAGCAAAGAACAGAGTTTAGTATTTTAATGAGAAAAAAATTATCATATTTAAAGTTAGTACTAGCCATCACACAAGCAAGCAACATATGTACTTGGAATTCATATTTAAATAGGTGTAACTAGACAATTTAGCGAGTGTGGGCTGCATGTAGTTTTATCTCATCGATCTGTTTATATTTCATAATATTTTTTATTTTTCACCAAATATTTTTTTAACTTAAAAAGCAGTGTTGAAAATGCCTGCTATGGCTGCATTTATTATAAGAATAATGTTATTAATTTGAATATTTGTTAAAAAACATGATTTGAAAATGCTTTGTAAGATGCAACATAAGAAACCTAAGCTTATCTTGAACATATTGTATTCCATACTTCAGGTCTCATTGGGCTATCCCCAATCAGCAAACAGTACTGTACAGTACCAGCACTCGGCATTGACCAAGTACATGTACAGCACTTTACAGACATTTTTACAGCACCGTTTTACAAATGGTGTACTGTACAGTACTGTTTAGACAAACAGATACACAGAGCTGTGCAGTGCTTTTTGCGACTGGTTGTGTACCATGGTAAAATTGTTGAACTTATGGTAAGAAAGGAGAGCACTGTTTTGCAAATGGTGTACTGTACAGTACTGTTTAGACAAACAGATACACAGTGCTGTGCAGTGCTGTTTGAGACCGGTAAATACACCATGGTAAAATTGTTGAACTTACGGTAAGAATGGAGAGCACTGTTTTGTAAATGGTGTACTGTACAGTACTGTTTAGACAAACAGATACACACTGCTGTACAGTGCTGTTTGAGACCGGTTACACCATGGTAAAATTACTGAACTTACGGTAAGAATGTAGAGCACTGTTTTGTAAATGGTGTACTGTACAGTACTGTTTAGACAAACAGATACACACTGCTGTGCAGTGCTGTTTGAGACCGGTAAATACACTATGGTAAAATTGTTGAACTTACGGTAAGAATGGAGAGCACTGTTTTGTAAATGGTGTACTGTACAGTACTGTTTAGACAAACAGATACACACTGCTGTGCAGTGCTGTTTGAGACCGGTAAATACACCATGGTAAAATTGTTGAACTTACGGTAAGAATGGAGAGCACTGTTTAGCAAATGGTGTACTGCACAGTACTGTTTAGACAAACAGATACACAGCGCTGTGCAGTGCTTTTTGACACTGGTTGTGTACCATGGTAAAACTGTTGAACTTATGGTAAGAAAGGAGAGCACTGTTTTGTAAATGGTGTACTGCACAGTACTGTTTAGACAAACAGATACACAGCGCTGTGCAGTGCTGTTTGAGACTGGTTGTGTACCATGGTAAAATTGTTGAACTTATGGTAAGAAAGGAGAGCATTGTTTTGTAAATGGTGTACTGCACAGTACTGTTTAGACAAACAGATACACAGCGCTGTGCAGTGCTTTTTGACACTGGTTGTGTACCATGGTAAAATTATTGAACTTATGGTAAGAAAGGAGAGCACTGTTTAGCAAATGGTGTACTGCACAGTACTGTTTAGACAAACAGATACACTACGCTGTGCAGTGCTGTTTGAGACTGGTTACACCATGGTAAAATTGTTGAACTTATGGTAAGAAAGGAGAGCACTGTTTAGCAAATGGTGTACTGCACAGTACTGTTTAGACAAACAGATACACTACGCTGTGCAGTGCTGTTTGAGACCGGTTACACCATAGTAAAATTGTTGAACTTATGGTAAGAAAGGAGAGCACTGTTTTGCAAATGGTGTACTGTACAGTACTGTTTAGACAAACAGATACACAGTGCTGTGCAGTGCTGTTTGAGACCGGTTACACCATGGTGAAATTGTTGAACTAATGGTAAGAAAAGAGAGCACTGTTTTGCAAATGGTGTTCTGTACAGTATTGTTTAGACAAACAGATACACAGTGATGTGCAGTGCTGTTTGAGACTGGTTACACCATGGGACTGCCTGAGACTGCCTGTATACCATGATAAAATTGCTGAACTTACGGTAAAAATGGAGAGTTGTATATGCCTGGTATAACTTCAGTACTGACAAGATAATGTGTTTTTGCTGCATGGTCATCCTTTAGTTTCTTCTCAGCCATCTCTCTCTTTCTCTGCTCTATCATTTCTTGTTGTTCTGCATATTCCTCCAACTCATTTCTGGACACAACAGAACATACTTAATAAAACTAAAATGGCAATTTTTAATTTATGAACAATGCATGAACCAAAGGAAGTGATTCACCCATCTTGATTAATTAATAATTTTCTAAATTATCACAACTTAACAACAAGGTATGCCGCACACTTAACAAATTAACTATTTTTTAATGATTTCATATTTTTGTCTCTCAACCTAATTTTTAAAAGATGATTTTAAAATATTTGATCACCTCCAGCATTTTATATGCTCTTGTGCTAGTCTTCAATTTGTGTGCCAATACGAATATGAAATTTAATGACATAAAAATTCATATCATATAGACTATACTGAAGTGTATTACATACCCAGCGAAGCATTTGGATTGAAGTCAATGGAGCTGAAGGTCGGCTATATATTCCTGTATAGCCGCCAAACCTTTTACCATGACAATCTTATGACGTCATCGGGACGTCATGTTTCATTTCTTCCTAATTTCACTCGCACACAGACACGTGGCGTCATTGATATAACGTAGCCATGATATAAAAGTATGTAATACAACAGTTATGTCCGCATCATTGAATATATGCCTTCGGTCTGTCGTAATATAACCCTCGCAAGCTCGGGCTATATTGGTGACAGACCTCAGGCATATATTCAATGATAGGGACATAACTGCTAAGTATTGAGTACTTATAGACTGTACTGACCTGACAATTTCATTCTTGACTTGTAGTCCCTCTAAGTATCTCTTCCTACTATAGTAATTAGATATATACTTTCTAGTGTAGTATCCCCGCCAGATCTTTTGTACCTACAATCACAATTCAGCATTTTAATTGCAAAATCTAGAAAGGGGGAGGGGTGTATTTAGCGTACCAATAGGGGGAGGGGAGCTGTCTGAAAAATTCCTCCATGTGAATGATGATTTTCAATTTTCCATGTTGAATTTTATTTTTTCCAGAACAATGAGTAGTAATGATTGAATATTAGCAATAAATAAATTAACATTTAAAAGTCATCTGCTTTGTATGTAGTAATGCATATGTTTCTTTATGTAATTTTAAAAGTAATTTATTCATAACATACAGTATTTTTGACGTTTCATTTATTCTGTTATTTTGTATGAATCCTGTATGGTAGCAGAATATATTAAAAGTACTGTAAAACCTGTCTCAGAATAACACCTTTGATTACTTTAAAAAGTATTCCACTTGAGAGGTGTTCCGCTTAAAGAGGTTCATTTAACATTAAGTCAGTATGTCTAGGGATTCTGAAGTTTTCCACAAACAGGTGGTTCCCTTCTAGAGGTTTTTCACTTTACAGGTTTCACTTCGTGTATGAGGACATAAACCAACCTTCATTGAGCTATATGTAAAACAATGTGAATTAACATTTCCTACATAATATCACTATATTTTTTCTCTTACCTTGGTTGCCATGGCATTGTAGTGGTTCATCTTCATGATAAATACGCTATTCTGAAAACAAATAAAAACATATTACTCACCCAAAAGGCTAACTTACACACTAAAACAATTGCAAAATCACTGAAATTCTTGCAAAAGTTTACAACATCCAAATCACATTTTAACTTAAACATAGTACTATGGAAGTTTTGCTTCATACAAAGCATACAAAGGATGATAATTCAAAATATATGAAAATAATAATTATAAGTTTTTAAACGATCATTTTTAAACAATCTTATCATGAAAACCATTTACAAAACTCAATGGCAATATTTATTACCAAAATATAACTTTTGAGTAGGTACATGTAGGAATTCAGTTTCAAAATACAGTGCTATATTCTGTTTTTAAATGTTATATTTTGTGCCTCCTTACTAAACATCATAGATGTGCTTCCTTACTAAACATCATAATATGGAGTACCCTGAATTCCCATAAATTTGCAACAACTCTCTCTGACTATAACAGAGGATTTTAAAGTTTTGGTGTTGATAATTTGTGTTGATAAAGTCATATATCTTTGAAATAAATATTAGCGATTGGCAAAAAACCTTAAATGGTAGAATGTTGTCTTGTTTAAAGAGTGCAGACAAAGTCTAGATTTTTGCAAGGGTAATCACATGGCAAACTCACCTGTACACATATTCTATAATAGATTCTACCCAAGTAGCCTCTCCATCGGGCTTGTATGAACCCAGCACACTTATGAAGGTGTCTAAAAGTTACACAGCAAATCTAAATTATGGTTATATGGATCTATAAGATGTGGTGCAGCAAATATGTGAGCATCACAAAACATCTAGATCAAAAATGATTTGGGATGGTGATAGTGGAAATAAATCTGAAAAATAAGACACGACGATGGTTACACCTTTCTTCCAAATAGTTGATAAAGGTATTTCATGAATTAAACTGTTTTACATTTTGAAAGAAAAATGTAACCACTGAATGTTAGAATCTTCATGTTAGATATTATCACACACAGTGCTATTTGTCCCTATCAGAATATTTTATAGGCTAATCTGAAATAAATTCAAAAATGTGTTAGCACAAATGTAATGTAAGGTTTAGTCCAGGGATGAGATACAGAAAATAACAATGCATTGTCATTCCCACAATTTTTTCAAGCAGGTGGAAAAAATTTTCGCCAAAAGTGACTCAAAATTTATTTCAAAAATTCAAAATAATTTTCATATTTAATGTGTGTGCAAAAAGGGGTTTCAGTGGGAGAAAATTAATTGTCAGCATCTCAAGTAGGTTTGACATCCATTTGCCCAAATGCAGTATGGGATATATGACCACTCCAAAGTATTAATTCATGAAAGGTGCAATCCATGGGTGCAGTGTAGTCGAATCCACTGCACTTACTTTAACAAGTAATCTAGAAAACTTTCTGCCCAGAAATCCTCTAAATCTGGCTTGCATTTTGCTTGCACAATAGTTTAAATGGCTGAAATGATAAGAGATATGAATTATGTTTATACATGCAAAAGGGGGAGAAAACAGTTGAGAGTGCTTATTTGGCAATAATTTTGATTAACTAATTTTGACTGGCATGCACCAGGGGGCCTTTTTTCAATTTTAATGAATTTGGACATTTCATTAAATTTTTCAGATGTTAGAATTTAAAAAAATTAGAATTAAAAAAGGGAAACATTTGGGATTTGGGCCTGAGGAGTGTACATGTACTGATTTTCTGAACAATAGTTTAAACTATAAGCCAGAAGATGTATAAATTTATATTCTGAACATATGCTTCCTCAAAATGTGAGTGTAACTCAATATCAGCTCTGGTGAAGTATAAACTGATGATACCATGATTTACTTACCGAATGTATGCCCTGACCCTCTGGCCCCTAAACCAGGCTTGTATCCTCACAATTGCTCTGAATTCATTGGCCCTTGCTGCTTCCGCTTCACTGGAAAAAGTAATAAAACATATGTAATATACTTAACAATCTTTTCAAAACTGAAGTATCAAACTAGGCTAACAGTATCCTAAGAGTGATATAGAGAATGTTTTCTCACCTACATATACTTGTAGACTTAAAACAAAACTTTCTCTACTCGACAAAATCACTTGTGCACTCACACCTAGAATCTACATGTTCTTGTAAGCAAAACAAAACTGCCCAAACTCTATAAATTGTGTACTTGTGCTTCGAATACTTGCACTACATTTGAAGAATAGAGCTAGAGAGTGAGCCCAAGGTAACAGAACAAATGTCTTTGGCAACAGAATTGTCAACGATTGGGGGAACAGCCTCTGACATGGAAACACTACATTTGTCACTACTACATGTATGCCCTGAAGTGCTAATGCTTAAATTTACGTGTTCTACAACCTGGCCTGTATGTGTACAAATGTAAACAATAGATATACTACTAAGTGGTATTTAATCCGAGTGCCTAATTTGCGGAATGGCCAAATTTTATCTTTTTCCTCATTTTAATTTTCCCAATGACAAGAAACTTCCTATTGGATAACATTATGAAGACAATATTTCAGACATTTAATTTTCCGAACCTACAAAACATTAGGCAAAAGGCAAATTGAATGATTAGGCAAAATTACCACTTACACATTACTTCAAGCTCATTTCAAGTGTAAAACAAAGACTTTTGAATACCTTCATCTAAATCAATAATCTACAAAAAGTCTACTTAGTTAACAGTGATAGAATTTGAATATAGTTTAAAAATAAATCTACATGTATAGTTTAAATTCAACTCATTTCAAAATTGAAAAGAAACTTCCAGGTTCTGTTGGCAAATGTACCCCCTAGAAAATCATGTAACTAATAACTACCCATGTGCACTCGATCGCTCATCTGGGAAGCAATTGTGTAACGAGCCAGATACTAGACCTGAAAGGGAGTGTGTTAAATTCAATTCCAAGTAGGGGAATGGAACCCAGGACCTTTTGCTTCAAAGCCAGACACTCTACCGATTCAGCCATAAGGGCTAGCCACTACAGTAGAGACTGTAGTTGCGACTTGCTATGAGGGTCATTATACCATCCCCCTGATCAGACGATGTCCCGTCGTAACTGATTCATAAGGTCAATCCAACATCTGATACCACTGTAACGACCCTTGGGCACTCAATGGGCTAGCCACTACAGAAGAGACGTGGACTATGGTAGCGACTTGCTATTGAGGGTCATTACAGTCCCTATATGTTGAGACACTGGAGATGACGCCGTAGCTACCACATTGACATACCCAGAACTAATAAAGATCTGGATTGATATAGAAAATGGCATTAACCTTATACACGAATAATTGGCATATAGGTACGGAACTTAGGCAGGAGGCTTACTAGCTTACTAGGCCAAGGCTGGGTGACCAAAGCAAAACAAAAAAATTGAAAAAAATAATTGAAAAAAATACATTTTTTTCATTTGATCGATTTATTCACGATCTTGTGGACAGTTACTGATCAAACCTCGTTACATAAAAGATAAATATACATTGTTTCAAAAAAATACATTTGGTTTACTCACTTTTTCCTCTCATAGCACTCATCAACGATAGGAGGTACATCCTTTTTCAAGCGAACCATCGTCGCCATTTTGAAACTTTTTGTTGTCAAGGTCTGACGTCATCAATTTGTATTTTGTGAAAAACAGGCACTTCCTCCAATTTAAAATGAATATAATTGAAATTCCAGTATCTGATGAACTTTTACTATGTTTCGCTTGTATCATTTATGATTAAAATACCTTAAATTAGCGTAAATAAAGAAAGGTCAATTTTGTGACCTTGACCCCATGACCCCTTGCCTAGCTACAACAAACACATGTAGGACAAGGAGCAATAAACTACTCAAGTAGCTGATAAAATACTTTAATTTGATTTCTAAGTGGCGCAAGACTACAAATCTGTAACCATGTCGGTTTATATGCCACCTATTGACCGTAAGAAACCAGTTGACAACAAATATGAGTAAGTAATTGAAGGGGATTGAATTGATTGAAGTTTAAAAAAGTTTGAAACTTTCAAAAAAATTAGAATTTTTGAAATTTTTGTTGATGGCTCTAATAAAATGATTTTTCTGTTTCAGACCAGACACTTTCCGAGTTATTAGCATGGATGCAGAATTAGACAATCGACCAGAGGTTGTAAGTCATTACATGAAATGTTTTGAAAAATCCCCATATATTGGCGGTCCAGTCGCAGAAACGCGACCCAGAGAAGATCATAGACTAAATAATCCTCACCCCACAAGTTGTGGATTTTTGCGCTCAAATGTCAAACTTCTGATGGACCCGGTGTGTGATGTTCACACAATAACTACTCAACATGAACAGGACTCCTGGTGGCCACACAGGGAATCACAATCAAAGCTCAAAGTGCCAGATCATACACTAGATACAACAGCCAGAAAAGACTTTCAATATCGTGGAGATGGAAAACCCCAAGCCTCAAAACATTGTAATCCTGAAAAGAATGCTGCTTTGGGTGGAGGTAAATACAAAATATATAGAAACAATGATTCCAGATTCTTGTTTCTCATTAGATAGTTTCTTTTATACATGTAGTTTAAGTCTTTACTTCACCTTCTTAACACTTGTGTTGGAAAGATGAAATACATGGGGGGGGGTACACAATCCTGAAGCAAATTCAATTTACTTGCATATACCATATAATATACGTACATATACATCAGACTAATTCATTAGATAATCAAAGCAATATTTTTAAAAATTCATTACCGAATTATCTTACCTAAATTCAACACGATTAAGATATCACTTATCTTCTATTTTCTTTTGATGTTAACACAATATGACCTTATCTTGAAAAGCAAACTTATATCTGTCGATTTTCTGTCACCATTGTCTGTAAGCACCTTCAGATAGTCTCAAATCAGACACACAAAGTCCTTTGAGCCTGCATTATGGGCTTTCGGGCATCATACTTTAGTCTTGTAGGACTTTCTCAAGTAGGTTGCTTTGTCAGTCTTATCATACTTCAAATGGTGTTGATTTTAATATATGAACTGCATACACACTGTATAGACGGACAAACTTGCTAATATTGAAATATTGGACATACAACCACCCATTTGTCAGTGCTAGAATGAAAGAAGATCAATTTAATTTGTAGGAGTAATATTTCAACTGATTAATCAGATGTTCATTTCGAGTATCTACACAGAATGCACAATGTTGATATTGAAGATGGACACATTTAAAACGAATCACAGACATTGGACATGCCAGCTTTCAGTCACTACAATATACATGTAGAATGAAATGAACTGCAACTTGACCTTTTTTAAACAAGTTAGCTAATTGGATGCAGTTTTGATATTGGGTATATTTGTTACAGTTCCAGTCAATTTCATGAGAGAAAGGGATGGCAAACAGAGGTTTATCAAAGAAGGGATTTCCTATGAACACCAGTACAACAGCCGCCTGGACCCTCAGTACCCCATTAGAGGAAAAGTAAGTTCATACATTTTTTATTTTTTTATATTTTTTTTTATTATGTCACCACCAGACATTGTTATAATCTCCAATTGTTTGTGTACACTGTACAGTGTTTGGCATTCCATGGTTGGCATTTGGCAGTTGGCATTCGGTGTCTGTAACAAATGGCAGGTGATGTGGTGAAATTTTGCTTATTAATACACTTCATCCAATGAATAACAGCAGCATAAACAATCGAAAAATATTAAACCAATTTTGACTGAATGCAATTCAAGAGCAAGTATAAATATGTAAGAATTAATTCCTAATTCATATATCATGTGTCTATAGTAATTATACCTATGGTTCAACATCTTTATTGATTGTAATTCTGTTGAGCGCATTATTCTACTTTCAATGGCTTACCACAAATAATTGTTGACGGGAGCTACGTAATCAATATTATTATTGATTTCATATAAGTCATTAATTATCAAGTGACTTCAGTAATTCAGAAACTGCCTTCAACTATTTTGTATATATGCGCGTAGCCAAGGGGGGGGGGGGGTGCGATGGGTGCGATCATGAGATGATATTTAAAAGTATTGAATTTGAATAAATTTTACTTTAATTTTGTCCAAAGCTATTATTTGTATTTTATGATTTTTATGTTGCCCTTTGTGCACTTCGATGATGTTCTGAATTATTTTTTCCAGAGACATGGTAGTTTTGTGTGGAGTCAGATGTCTGAGGATAAAGTGAAAGATCTGCTTCATCACTATGGCAATGAGTACCTAAACAACAAAACAAACAATGGAAATAAGAAATCTACGAAAACTTCTGCCTCCAGTGCTAGCCGATCCGTTACCCTCCCCTCTACTGCTCAATCTGGAGGTCAGGGTCTCCCTGATGTTTCGAGTTAGATCAGAACATGCAGAGTAAACAATAAAGTACAGCAGATTTAATCATCAAATATTGGCTTAGTCGATCCAGACCATGCAGAGTTACACAATTTTGGACAAAATCTTCATGCAGTTAATTAAATGCATGGTTAGGGAATTGAATATGACACACATATATCCGATTGTTTCCATAGCAATGATAGTAGTCTCAAACCATACCAGATGAAAATATTTCAGTCCTCCAGCTATTGTCAGTCTTGCATAAAGAACTTCATTAGGTTTTATTTTCCAAATTTGCCACATAATCACAGGGGGAAGAAGATGATATGTTGCTGAAGAGGGTACATTCTTTATTCAAGATATATGTGATTGTAAATAATCATATCCATTTTACATAAAGCCAATAGAGCTATGAAGACTTAGCTTCGCTGACATATTTTGATAATACATTATGAAGTATTTCAATTGTTGTGCCTTGGGTGAAACTGTGTGTAACATGTGTGTTTATATATATGTTTTGTATGAATGCAGGCCCATAGCCAGGGGGTTCCGGGTGCGAGGCTCCCCTCCCCTAGGCCAAAAATTCCTCATAGTCATGTATCATGCATGCCCCCCCCCCCTAGATCTACCAGTTACCTTGACAAAATCTGGCTACGGGCCTGGAATGTGTCTTTCATGTTATAATTATATAATAACTCAATCTTGGAAAGCATTTTTTATATTTTACATGCAGTATTGTTATATATTCAGGCTTTACAAATGGCTTAATTTAATATTGTAAATGATGTCTGTTTTATATGAGATGTTGCACTATTTAAGAAATTATAAGAAAAATACTCAATTTTATACACATCTAAATATACAATATTTTGTATCAATTTGCATATTCAAGACATTGCCAATTGATCTATTCAGCTGTAAGATAGATGGTTGCTGATTATTAACTATTATACTCAATTTAATTACTGTAAAATGTGATATTGGTAGCTTTTATATGTACCAGAATCTCAATACTTAAGTCTATAGCACAACTCGTATACAGTAAAACCTGTAAAAAGGAACACCTCCATAAGTGAAATGCTTTTCAAAGTCCCACAACCTATTAACTCATTGTTAAATGGACCTCTATAAGTGGAACACTTTTAGATGTGCAAAATGTGCTTCACTTACACAGGTTTTATTGTAGTTCAAAATTAGCTATTTCTGGATTTATTTATATCCTAATACAAAATTTATAAGGGATATCATATCAGTCTTATTTCAACCTCTGGAGTTATTTTTTCTTTAGGCTCTTTCATCTTTGGGCTTATTCATTGTGACCTTGACCCTTGAGTTGGTCACCTTGGATAAAGTTCTTGGTCTACTTGGAATTTTGTATTTTTAAACCTCAAATATTGAAATTCTAAAACCAAATTCATTCTGCGGAGATTAAAAAATGAAATGACTTAGGTCAAAATTATAGATAATTGTTTTTTTTGGAGAGTTGTGCACTAGATTGATTTAAAGCAGTGTTTTGTCACGTTATAAATGTTTGTAATATGTGCTTTTATGCATCAATGAATTACCACATGAGATTACCTTTGGCTGGTTCTTCCCTTATCAAGAATCACCAGGGCTTTGTGAGATTACCGTTTGATATTATTATTATATAGCTGAAATATACATGTATGTAGTAGACTCTTGAACTCTGTCTGATGCCCAGCATCAAAAAATCAGATACAGTATATATAGTTGTATTTATAGTTTAGTTTTAGCCATTCTATAGAGCTGTGCATTGTACTGAATGTGCATTTGTAAATATGAACATGTGCAATACTAGAGAAGATAAAGTGCTCAGATGCATTCAATAATTATATGTGTATTATGATCCCGGGGGGTTCACTATATATAAACCTTGACGGGGATCCTCGGCGCATGTGGGGTACCTTTTTCAACGTTTGGTATGGCAATGGACCCATATTTTAGGATTTGATATGGGAATGCCCGGAAATTTCTGACTTCTGAGCTATGGCAATGGTCGGACTTTTGCTCTTCTGGTATGAGAATGGTCGTTGTAGATACGTTACCTAACATTTGTGGTATGACATTGGTCCAGTAGTTCCAAATTTGTATGACATTGATCCTATATTTCATTTACTTTGAATTAAGGTTTGGCATTGGTCCCATATTTGGACATTTGGTATGGCATTGGTCCTACATTTTGACATTTGGTATGGCATTGGTCCCATGATTGGGTATTTGGTATGGCATTGGTCCTATATTTGGACATTTGGTATGGCATTGGTCCTATATTTGGACATTTGGTATGGCCTTTGGGCGTTATTTTGGTTGGTATGGGAACATATTGAAATTTGACAGATTGGTATGGGAACATTTTGATATTTGAGGCTTCAGCCTAGGACCCCCCGTCGTGTTTTATATACAGTGAACCCCGGGATTATGATACTGTATACAGAAATTATAAAATGCATGACTCTTATGCAAGTAATTGGAATCACTATAGGTTGTAAAATAAAATTGTAAATAAATGTACATATACAATATAAATAATATATACAAAAATGTTTTGTTTGCTTGATGTTATCATGCCATCTCAGATTAAATCTCGGGAACTTCCATCCATCTCCCCACGTACTGGATCTGTAACTATCACAGGCATAGACAAAGTAGTAAGCCTATCCCACACACAGTAAGGCTATTGATCTGAACACCAAGGGATCAAAAATGGCCATTCCTTACCCCATTTGATACAAATTGGACCGAGATCTACCCTGTTTTATGAATATAAACTTCAAAAATAAGTATATATTACGGGACCTGAGAAAGTACATACACTGTCCATCACTGTAGGTTTGTTTCCCGGGGTTTGTCTATAGTCTAGTACAAAGTGAAAGTGAAAGTCCACGTGCGTTTGTTTACAGCAATTACGCATGCGCATATGCCGTGCCACCATTTTGTTGTGAATTTAGTTCTTTCTTTCTCATCGATTATTCTTGATTTGTGGTGGTTTCCTACATGCTACTCTCATGTTCAGAAGTGCAGTATATAGTTAAATAAGGTATGTATGTATAAATGTATGTTTAGATGGGTATGCGCACATCGAAAGTGTTTAGAACGGAATATGAATGAAATAAACATTAATTTTTTTTCAATTTTTCACTTCTTTGAAGTTGATATTCATTTTAAAATTCAAACTGAGTGGTTGAGAGTGAAAACTTTGCTTTAGTCTCATCTTTTGATAAATCTGCAGAATCCCCCCTCCCTAAAATCCACCCTCCCTGGGTATTAAGGACAGGGTGCATGTTGGGAAATTTTCTGCATTCCTCAATTGAGTCACATGTTATTTTTCAAACAAGAATAACTCCTTCCCCACATTGTCTACATCTTCCAAGTTTGCACAAAGAGTGCACTTATGTGCCTAGAAAAGCCTTGTGAGAAGGTTTGTTTTGTAAAATGTATAAAAAATGAGAAAATTCAGTGAAAAAAATTTCTGAAAATTTTCTGATTTTTTTCACTGAATTTTCTTGTTTTTATTGTACCTAACAAAAGGTACGATATTGTAGTCAGCTTGTTATCGTACCTAACAAAAGGTACAATATTGTAGTCAGCTTGACAGGCGGGCGGCGGGCGGCGTCTCACTTTTCAGCTTGTCTACAGGTTTCCAGCAAAACCATTTGAGGGATTCATCTGAAATTTTCAGGGATGTTTCTACATATCAACATCAAGAACTGATTAGTTTTTGGGTATTCTGGGTAAATCTTAAGGTGGCCATTTTGGATTTCCCGTCCTAAAATCTTCACTTTCAAGACTTGTCTACAGGTTTCCAGCCAAACCATTTGAGGGATTCATCTGAAATTTTCAGGGATGTTTCTACATATCAACGTCAAGAACTGATTAGTTTTTGGGCATTCTGGGTAAATCTTAAGGTGGCCATTTTGGATTTTCCGTCCTAAAATCTTCACTTTCAAGACTTGTCTACAGGTTTCCAGCCAAACTATTTGAGGGATTCATCTGAAATTTTCAGGGATGTTTCTACATATCAACATCAAGAACTGATTAGTTTTTGGGCATTCTGGGTAAATCTTAAGGTGGCCATTTTGGATTTTCCGTCCTAAAATCTTCACTTTCAAGACTTGTCTACAGGTTTCCAGCCAAACCATTTGAGGGATTCATCTGAAATTTTCAGGGATGTTTCTACATATCAACGTCAAGAACTGATTAGTTTTTGGGCATTCTGGGTAAATTTTAAGGTGGCCATTTTGGATTTTCCGTCCTAAAATCTTCACTTTCAAGACTTGTCTACAGGTTTTCAGCCAAACCATTTGAGGGATTCATCTGAAATTTTCAGGGATGTTTCTACATATCAACGTCAAGAACTGATTAGTTTTTGGGTATTCTAGGTAGATTTTAAGGTGGCCATTTTGGATTTTCCGTCCTAAAATCTTTACTTTCAAGACTTGTCTACAGGTTTCCAGCCAAACCTTTTGAGGGATTCATCTGAAATTTTCAGGCATGTTTCTACAAAGCAACGTCAAGAACTGATTAGTTTTTGGGCATTCTGGTTAAATTTTAAGTTGGCCATATTGGATTTTCTGTCCTAAAATCTTCACTTTTAAGACTTTTCTACAGATTTACAGCCAAACCATTTGAGGGATTCATCTGAAATTTTCAGGGATGTTTCTACATATCAACGTCAAGAACTGATTGGTTTTTGGGCATTCTAGGTAAATTTTAAGGTGGCCATTTTGGATTTTCCGTCCTCAAATCTTCACTTTCAAGACTTGTCTACAGGTTTCCAGCCAAACCGTTCAAATTTTTACATATTTTACACAGTGATAAGTTCTAGAGCTGATTAACTTTTCTGCGGCCATCTTGCTTTCTTGGTCAACAAGACCACAATGCTGTGTTTTAGGTACGATATTGTTCACGTCTGTGCCTTGTTTATACACTTTATCAAAACATCCTTCTCACAAGTCTTTTGTAGGCACATAAGTACACTCTTTGTGCAAAACTGGAAGATATAGACAATGTGGGGAAGGAGTGATTCTTATTTGAAAAATAACATGTGACTCAATTGAGGAATGCAGAAAATTTCCCATCATGCACCCTGACCTTTAGTGTCAGGCTTCCCTTTAGACTAGAATCTGAACACAAATTCTCAGTTTAAGTTCATATGGTGAAAATAATGAAATAATGAAATGTTACCGTGTGTCTACTTAGCAGTTTGTTCTATGTCATCCATCCTGCTAGGTTAGAATCTGAACACAAATTCTCTAGATAAGTTCATGTGGTGAAAATAACGAAATAATGAAATGTTACCGTGTGTCTACTTAGCAGTTTGTTCTATGTCATCCATCCTGATGGCTGCGTTCCACAATGTAACCTAGCAGGATGGATGACATACAGTGGGGATCATAAAGAATTGCAAAAGCTATGAAAATTACATGCTGTCGCACATGTAATAAATTCCTACCTCAGTGTATTCAGTGCTCTATTTTCTCCATCTTAGTAAGTCCAAATATAGTGGAATTTGTGTCCCTAATGACAAATAAGAACTTCAAAAGTTGAAGTGGATATTCACATGTTATGCCGACTCTTCAAATATTGAGGTGATTTTGTCGCCAGATTGCGCCGGAACGGAGGATTGGCTCCCAGAATGCAACATGACACGTGCCAGCTTTCAAAATGCTGTTCCGCCATTTTGAAACCTGTCATGAGTAAATACGGTTAACTGATGTTGCATTCTGGGAGTCAACCGTCCTTGGATAACAAACATGGCGATTCATGAAAACATTCATTTGATTTGGTAGGGATTTTATCCATTATTTGCAGGTATGAAGCTTTGGATTCATTTATTGTGCTACTTAAGTGAACGGGAATTATTTTTCTACCGCTTGGGAGAGTTTGAGACATGAAACTTTGAAATTAGCTCATTGTGACAACTTGTGAACGTTGAGTTTTATTTTTGTCCCCCACTTTAGAACAAAATGCTAAGTAGACACACGGTAACATTTCATTATTTTGTTATTTTCACCACATGAACTTATCTAAAGAATTTGTGTTCAGATTCTACATTGTGGAACTTAGCCAAACACGACACTGAAGGCAGTATTCTGAGGTTATAAAATCTAAATCGTAAAAATTTCCCATTTCTTCTTCTTCTGCAGCCCTTTGGAGACTTCCGGAATTGAAAAAAGTAGCGAACGTTGCGATCTTTCAACTTTAGTTCGTTGTTTTTCACCACTTTATGTGTAGTGTTTTCATTTAGGAGGCGGTCTTATTTGAATGCATCATTTCAGGTCTTTATGAATCAATAGATCAATAAGCAGACTAAAAATACAATTTAGCAGTTTCTTTCATTGCGTACTGGGCCTGTTAGGCACGAAATACAATTTAGCAGTTTCGTTCGTTGCGTAATTGGGCCTTCTATAATCAGTAACAAATGCTCAGAAAACATTTTCCAAAATATTTACTTTCGTTTTCCTTGAAGACATGGTCGGGTGACACGTTATTGACACGTCATTAAGTCACATGATCGATACAGTAACTAGTCACGTGATCAGACACGTGTCAGTCATGTGAGCTTGCAAAATGGACGATCTAAATTTCCCAAAATTCTGCTAAGATGAACATCGACATGTTGTTGCCTTCATTGTCGTGTTTGGCTGCCTTCCACAATGTAACCTATCAGGATGGATGACATAGAACAAACTGCTAAGTAGAGACACTAACATTTCATTATTTCGTTATTTTCATCATGTGAACTTATACCGAGAATTTGTGTTCAGATTTTAGGCTTCCCTTGGTAATAAGAGTGTCAGGCTTCCCTTCCCAGGGTAATAAGTGTCAGGCTTCCAGGAAGCCTGACACTCTTATTACCCAGGGAAGGGAAGCTTGACACGCCTAATACCCAGGGAGACTAACAGGAAAGCCTGACACAGGAAAACCTGACACACGTCAAACATTGTATCACATGCTTTTATTTCAAACATTGTACCACTTTGCCTTCACTTTCAAATATTGTACCACTTGCCTTCATTTTCAAACATTGTATCACTTGCCTTCACTTTCAAATATTGTACCACTTGCCTTCACTTTCAAACATTGTATCACTTGCCTTCACTTTCAAATATTGTACCACTTGCCTTCACTTTCAAACATTGTATCACTTGCCTTCACTTTCAAACATTGTACCACTTGCCTTCACTTTCAAACATTGTATCACTTGCCTTCACTTTCAAATATTGTACCACTTGCCTTCACTTTCAAACATTGTATTACAAGCTTTCACTTTCAAACATTGTATTACAAGCTTTCACTTTCAAACATTATATCACTTGCCTTCACTTTCAAATACTGTACCACTTGCCTTCACTTTCAAACATTGTATTACAAGCTTTCACTTTCAAACATTGTATTACAAGCTTTCACTTTCAAATATTGTATTACAAGCTTTCACTTTCAAACATTGTATTACAAGCTTTCACTTTCAAACATTGTATTAGGATTTAAAAATACTTGGTCAAGTAAGGTTCATAATATTTTAAAAGATTGTAATCTCCAAAGCACTTGGAATGAACAAGTTGTTGAGGATGACTATGTATTTAAAAAGAACCTGACTAAAACATTGTACCAACATTATAAGGAGAAATGGAAGTGTGATTTACAATTATACCCAGTTTTAAGAACATACATTAAATTCAAAACAACTTTTGAAAGAGAACAATATTTAAGCCTTCAAAACAAAAATCACAGGCAATCAATTTCACAGCTGAGATTAAGTTCACATAAATTACAAATAGAACTGGGTAGACATGTAAAACCACGGCCAAGACCTGAATATGAAAGATTATGTAACTTTTGTGGGGAAATAGAAGATGAGGTTCATTTCATGATTAAATGCCATTTACATAGAGAAAATAGAAAATTGTTTGACAACATCACTAGCAAAATTAATGTTGATCAACATGATCCTGAAAATACATTCATTATGTTAATATCTTCAAAAGATAAATATGTGCAAAAGCAAGTTGGAAGTTTTATTACAAAATCATTCAAAAACTTAAACTTGCCTGGAGATTAACATTTTGGATGCATCACACCTAAAGTATATTATAACATATGTAAATAACAAGTTCTTTGTATAAATTGTATATATTAGTGTAGTGTAGTGTAGTTTTGTAAAATTTCATTTTGTAATGACTAATATGTCAGGTCATGACATCTAAAGAGTCAATAAAAGATATATATATATTACAAGCTTTCACTTTCAAACATTGTATCACTTGCCTTCACTTTCAAATATTGTACCACTTGCCTTCACTTTCAAACATTGTATTACAAGCTTTCACTTTCAAACATTGTATTACAAGCTTTCACTTTCAAATATTGTACCACTTGCCTTCACTTTCAAACATTGTATTACAAGCTTTCACTTTCAAACATTGTATTACAAGCTTTCACTTTCAAACATTGTATTACAAGCTTTCACTTTCAAACATTGTATTACAAGCTTTCACTTTCAAATATTGTACCACTTGCCTTCACTTTCAAATATTGTTTCACTTGCCCTCACTTTCAGAAATTGTACCACTTGCCTTCACTTTCAAACATTGTATTACAAACGTTCACTTTGAAACAATTTATATCATATGCTAATCACTTCCAAACTTTGTATAACTATGCTTACTTTCTCTATAAAATTTCTAAATATATTTCCAGGCATCCATAAAGCAGATATCTTCATTGACTAAAATGAAGTTACACACCTTCTGCAATGATAACCTTCGGCACAGACTCGTAGCACTTCAAAGTAATACAGCATTATGTGACTTCACTTTCAAATTACATGATAGTACACAATTCAGCACCCATAAGGCAGTTGTAGCTGCATTCAGTACAACTGCACTGATGCTGTGCGATGAAACAGGCCAAGTTGTTATTCCCCGACATGACATCACAAGAGATATTTTCCAAATTGTGCTCAATTTTATATATGGGCAAAGTATTGTTGTGAAAGACACGTATATGAAACAGTTGGAATGGTTAGCGAACTACCTTGGAATAGAGGATTTGTCAAAGGTACTTGTGCCATTTAAAAGTTTGACCTCTAACAGTGATGTCTGTATCGAGATAAAGGAAGAACCTATTGAACTCAATGATGAATTGGATGTTCAGGAAAGTACAAGTGCAATGCTTCACAATGCTGTCTTTAGTGACACATATGCAGATGATAATGATATCAAAGATGAAGACAATGAACACTCAGCAATATTAACAAAACAGAGGCAAAAACGTCACAAGACATCCAAAGGAAAAGCTAAGACTAAGAGCTCAAAAAAGAGAAAAACTGATGACACTTCAATGATAAAATCTGACAATGCAAATAAAAAAATTAGCTGATGATGAAAATGATGATACTGACATTGATAACGAAGATGATATGAATGATGAAATGGACACTGGCGAAAGTAATACCAATGAAATTAATGACAATTTAGAAAATGTGACCACAAAGCAAGAACCTGCAGATTCAGGTATGTTAAATACTTATTCTTGCAACATATTTACAATCATTGTTTCATTGTGGCTTTTGACATCTGATTTTAACATACTCCCTTCATCACACTGATGGATCCAGAAGCTAACAAGGGGGGATGCACCTCATTTCAAGTCGGGAAAAAAATCCCGTGCTTGTGAGGAAAAAAATTTGGGCCTCTAAAACCAAAAATTGGGTCCAGAGTTTGAAAATTTAAGGTCAACTTTGGATAATTATGCCTGGGCCATGGCCCCCTGTATCCACCAGCAAGTGCATCAATTCTTCTTTTCAATAAATGTTACCCTATACAAAGTGAGCAAAAATGGATACTGGGAACATGATGAAGATGACGAAAATAAAATAGCATCACAATTTATATGCAAGTTGTATTACAATTGCATTTGTACTATATTATAATGACAATGATTATGATATTACAATATACATGTACAGTTTGCTGTCTTAAAACAACATTTTCAAATTTTGTAAACCTCTCGCGATGAATCAAGATGTGGTGATAAATTGCCATATGTATGAAGTGGTGCTATTGTTATTTGATTTTTCATCACCATATATAACCATTTACCATATTTTACATCTGGTTTATCTCTGCTCACTTTGTATATGAATATTTATTATTGAATCTTGACAAAAATGTTCAGTTGGATGATTCTTGAACTTTACAGATTTACTCTCCATCTCACCCTGCTTACTTTAGCATGCTATTTTCAAGCTCTAATATCATTCTAATATCCTTGCATTTGGTGTTCATGAGCAGCCCATTTGGCTTATTAGTAATTATGTTTATGTTATTTGTTTTTATTTTGTTCCTTATAATGGTTTATCGGATGACTGTTAGATGTTAATAAGTACTTTCAAAAATATACTAAACAATACAATTAGACTAACAGAGTATATCATGCATTTCTAGGGTTTAGGTAAAGTAGAGTGTATATAGAGTGTAAAAAGTTGTTGGTCTCTTTATTTTCTAATAATTGAGTTTCCCGCCATATTAGTATGAAAAGTTGAGGTTTTAAGATAATCAAATAAAGTACTATAGTATACCATAGAGCACATTCCTTTCCTGCATAATCTCAACCATGTAATTTCATTTTTTGCATTCTATGGATCTTGGATTCAGTTTTTTGAATTCGATGCATATCTGCTTTGTTTTCTCCATTACAGTGTTGGCAGTTAGCGTATGATCTCTAGTTTTAATGAGTGATATTAGTATTGCCTCAGCATCATCACATAGTGACATATTTATATTTTGAGTTCCCCACTTTTGTATCAGACACCACTGTTTTTTATAATGCTACAGAGACACAATATGTTGTAACTGAGACACCAACGTAATGTATTATGGAATTAAAAGTTAAACATATTTTTTTAACTGGTGTATAAGTCGGTTGTTTCATATCAAAATGTTACATCGACTAACAGATTTTCAAAATGGTCTAGGGTATAGATGGTCCATTGAAACCCACCAGGGCCGAGTTCAGAGAGGGACAGATTTAGCTTGCAGTAATGATCGAAGCGGTTCGGAAAATTGACAAAGGAGAGGCAAAAATGTATTAGAAATACATAAGGGGCCGGGTGAATATTTCAATGTCCATCAAAAAATGTAATTAATTTAGTTAGGTCTTAACCCCCCCACCCCCTTCTAAATGTTGATTCTCACGTGGTGTACACAAGTCAAAATGATGGCTAACGTTTGTATTTAAGCTTAGAAATTGTGCGCTAAAATAGTGGCTTCAAATTACATGTATTGTTCACAGATTTATCATCAGATGTTGAAGACATAGCAGTGTCTGCCTGTACAGTTTTAAAATATTTCTCTTTGTTGATATTTACAGGTATGTCCGAGTTTTCTTCCCTAAGATTTTTTCACTGGATCATTTCACATCGATCAATAATTTATCTAAAGTAAAAGTCTCGACTTCCTTATGAACTTTCCACCCACTTTCCTTGTAATTTCCTATCAGTATCACCCTCTGATCTCTGCAAATAAGCATCTGCAAAGTTCTCATAATTGGTATGCTTGTGGTTTTTTTGTTAATGCAAATGAATCGTTTGGTTTTGTTTCCAAAGAGATTCAACTGAGTTTTTCATTGGACGACGCCATTGTGAAAGTGCCAGGATGTACTTCATGCAATGGACGAAAAGTGAATGTGGAAATCGCGAAAGACGAAATCCTGGGAAACTGAAAATCGATGTCTGTCACCTAATTGAATAGCGTTTAACCCCCCCTCCCCCTAACCTAATTAATTAAGTTTTTTGACAGACATCAATGTTTTAACCCCGCCCCGAAGAGGCCCTTTTTGAAAATTTGGCCCTCTTTTTTAAATTTAAAGGTTATTATTGAATATTGAGAAAAATGCGACTAGACTGAAATGTATATTTTTTCCAAAGAGGACATTATGGTATTAGACAACTTGTTGCATGTCAAGAATGTAAGTATACAAGTTAAATATTTTTTTATATATTTACTTAAGATCACCAAATTGTAATATCTGAATCATCTTTAGAAAACTAGAGGTCCTCTAGACTTTGACTCTTGGGTCGTCAGTTCCGACCACGCTGACCTTGTTGTTCCTTCAACTGGAACCTCATTCTCACAACTCAATTCTTTAGTCGTGATTCACCAGTTCCTCTATCTTGAACTTATTTTATCCACTCGTACTCGTGCACCTCATATCGCAAACCACATAGCTGATCAATAAGTATGCAACTTTGTTGGTATTATTGCGTTGTACTGAAATTCCAATGGAGTGTTTCTTTGGAATTCAAAAGAAATACTTTATCAAACTTTCATTTATGTTAACTTATTAAAAATTCCCGTGCACTGACATCTTCAGTGAGAGGGCTGAGTCATAAACAAATATGACAGATGCAAGTACTTTTGATAATGGCTACTCTGTGGATTTTTGACTCTGTTTTAAGAAGGTACGTAATTCAGACTTATTATTATTATTAGAACTAGTCGAGCCTATAAAACTATCTGAACAGTTCTCCGTCAAACTGTTTGACTTCAATCATGAAAAACAATAGATTCAAAATGCTCAATGGGAGGAGACCCTCACGTTACATACCTTCAGACCTCAATTTTCCAAGTCCTACGTGTCAGTTTCCTTGGGTGCTGTGAAATTTCAATTTAAAATACAGAACATATTGTACAAGTGAGATGTTTCAACATTATAATTGCTTTATAAAAGACTGAACGGACTGGTGGGGATCTATGAGCATGCAATGACACATGCTGTTCCTCTGGGTGCTATTCATTTCCATTTCTCACCCTTTTCACCGAAAAGGCCTTTAAATCCATGTGTTGCACTTTCATCATTGTTTATTTCTTTAATTTTATTTTTGCAGTGAATGAAGGTCAAGGCATTTGTGTCACATATCGATTGACATCTGTCACACAGGTTGCTGATGTAAATACAGGTATGCACATTCAATTCCCACAATATCCTCAGGTTTATTTCTGTCAATTTTCACATGGTGGGGATCTAAATGTAATTATTATATACCTCAAATGTATTCTAGATGCTCTTTGGCTTATTCATGGTCACATGACATGGAATAGATGAACTAATTCCCTGGAAAGTCCTAAATCCCTGCTTTCAGGGAAGATGAATTGTACTAATCACCAGTTAGGTCATGTGACCAGTCAATAGTACATTTTATCTTCCCCCAAATCTGAGATTATAGGAGTTGAAAGGTAAAATGCCTTTCAATGCCAATAAGAACCTGTGAACATTTGATATTGAAATGAAAAGACTTCTCATTTTGTTTTTGTTTACAGAGTACTTATCAGGTATATAATAAAACAAATAGTGACTGCCACATTTTCGGGAAATAGTGTAAAAATGTTCCTCTCTGGAATATCCTGTCCACTGACTTGTTCCCTCGGCCTGCAGCCTCGGGAACATGTCAGTGGACAGGATATTCCTTTGAGGAAAATATTTTGCACTATTTCCCTCAATTGCAGTCACTATTTGTACACTATTAGCCTCAAAACAACAGTTGAAGGTACATATTTTCCAGGATTAAACAATTAAGGTTCAATGAAAATAGCATATATGTTACTTAAGGATTTAAGCCCTGGACTCACTGCATTGTTTGCTGAATCATACCATGGAGGTGTTGTTTCTAAATCTTTGCAAAGTTTAGGAAACAATGCCTTGCTTATTTATTCAATTAATTCATTGAGTGTAACCTAATTCAGCCAAGACTGCTTTCAAATAGGGCCCTCTAACTTTGTATCATCGTGTTGTAATTCATGTCCGTTTTACTAAATATTTTGTAGATTTCACTAATTACAGTGAAGTAACTTCACTGGATGCACCACCAGAAGAAAATGACACCAATGGTACAGATAATAATGGTGATGACCCCACAGATTATAGTGGTGCTTCATCTGATTACGCCAATGACAACACTTGTGATAAGTCAGGGGCTCATACAAATGATCATTCCACCCTTTCACAAAATCACGGCTTAGGTAAAAATGCAATTTAATTTGTTACATTTCACTCTTTCAATACTGTGTGGCATAATGTAACACCAAAGATCCCTTGCACATTCTTCAGTCTAATATGAATCACAAGTTTTTAAAGCTTTTTGAAATCAAGCTAATTTTTTCCTTGACATTGTCCTATACTGTTCTGTTATTTCAAGTAAAGGCAAGAGAAAATATTATTAGGTAAAAATGCAAGGATTTTGATAGTTTGTTTCATTTGTTTGTATACATTTATACCACATTTCACTCTCTCAAAACTGTGTGACATAATGTAACACCAAAGACCCCTTGCACATTCTTCAGGCCCCTTCAGTCTTTTATGAATCAGAAGTTTTTAAAAATCAAGCTAGTTTTTTTCTTCAACATTGCCCGTTCTATTATTTCAAGTTAAGTATAGGCTTGAGAAAAAAATAATAAACTACCACAAATTTATCAGAAAAAAACAAAAAAAGTGATGCAAAGGAATCAAAAACAGTACTCTCTTGAATTGTAATAATATTTCTTTCTGGTTGCAGCAACATGGACTTGTGGCAAGTGTCCGAAGACATTCCAAACCAGAAGTGGTTTACTGCGACACAACAGAAAACATACAAATATATACCCCTATTCCTGTGTCGAGTGTAGTAAAGGTTTCAATTCCAAAGTGAAGCTCGAAGATCATAACAGGATTCTCCATGGTGCTCGTCGGTTCTTTTGCCCCTGCTGCAGCAAAACAATATGCTCAAACTATGGAAAAAAGCAGCATGTTGATCTCCATTCAAGTGAGGTTTTTGCATGTCCCCAGTGTGATAAAAAATTTAATGCTCGCCATTACCTTCAAAGACACATTATCACTCATTCAGTGATCCATACTTGTGACATTTGCTTCAAAAAGTACTCGACCAAAGCACACTTAAAAGATCACATGAGGACACATAACAGTGTATTTTTTAAGTGTACCAAGGATGACTGTTCATTCCAAACCAACTATAAAACTTCTCTTAAGAGACATCTTGCTACTCATGATAATAGAGAATAGATATGGTATGTTTTTTTGGTTTGAATAGTGAGCCCAGCAAAGACTTAAGAGTACTACACTCAAGCAGACACTTCACTGCAATCCATATATAGTTGACAAATGAAATGCACATTTCTAGAAAACAAGTATTCTTGTCAGATGTTAATCTATGTGCAATACTGGCTGAAACACTAATTGAAGTATGAAGTGAATTGAACGTTCCTGGCAATTTCATTGAATGTCACCTGGCTGTTGGTGTCAACTTGTTTGGCAATGATGCCGCAATAATTGAAAATATGAAGAACAAAAATAACAAACTGACCATAACTAATTACAATTCAATACAATAAACATACATGTACATATAAAATAATTGTGCAGTAATGCTTTTTTTACATACAGTGTAATCTGAGTACAACTGACAAAGAAATTAACCCTGATGGAATTTACAAATTAAAAAAGTTAATTTTGTAATTGTAATTATTTCTGCAGCTACATCCGTTTTTGAAATTAACAGACACAAATAAACTTAATTTGTCAAATACCATGTTTTCTTTTACTTATTAGCTAATGTTTCTATTACTCACTTCAATACACTATGATGATCATAGTGAAAACATGCTGTTTTGAATTTGATGCTCTTATGATAACTATCCTCTTGATTACTGACACTCAGGGATATGATTGATATGAATGTACATGTATATCAATATCTGCACAGGTGAGCTTTGCAAGAGAGTGCAGATATCAATATCATGCACTTGTATCCAAAAGTGTACCCAAGTAAAAATAACACAGAAACTGATTTTCAAGATTACTGTAATTTTCTAGCACCATTTTAATGTTTTTAATATCGGCAAAGTAATTTTAATAGATATGCACATTACCCAACTTATACGCGTCTCACTAGTTTACTGTAAAACGCATAAAATTGATTAAAGTGCATCTCACAATTAAGTTGAATTAATCCAACTCATGTCAGTCCACAATGGTTCTTAATATATATTGCCTCATATCCTCCCTTGTTACAATAGTAACATTCAAATTGGTTGCCTCTATAGATTTATGAGTTCTGAATCAATACGATTGATAAACTGGTTTAACAGTATGCCATATATGGTCATCTCTACTCAAAACTAGTTGGTGTCTCTGTATCTTGAGAGTGGTGTCTGATACAAAATGTCTCACTTCGTGATGATGCTGGATGAACACTAATAGCACTTTCTGAAATTAGAGATCATGTACTAACTGCTTGCATACGATTATGGGCAAATGGGTTGTTATGGAGAAAATGAAACAACTTACAAAAGTCTACCACAGGAAAGCAGGCCATCCTGTTGCACAGTGATTTATGCAAAAAGACAATATTGAACAAATATTTCACTCTTTTGAGGTGAATACCTTTACATCTTTCACAAGTGATATTCCATGAAGCCCGAAGGGCAAGTGGAATATCACCTTGTGAAAGTGCTACAGGTATTCACCAAAAATAGAGTGAAATATTTGTTTTATTATATCACTGTCTAGCTTAACATCCCTAATATTATTAAGTAATTAAGTCTTCAGATATTTTTACGAATCTACTCGGTTCGTCTGCCATTTTGACTTAAACTGAACTAAATTATTTACACTGAACGAAAACAAATTCTTTGAAAATTCCCGGGAGCGTGGGATATCGCTAGATATCTCACGGTTGTCTTATCTAATTAGCATTGCCATTGAATATCGCCAGATATCCCACGACATGTGACCTGGTTTTGACCAATCATACTGTCGCTAGCTAGATAGTGATATAATAATACTCAATGTCTGAATCTTACGCAATCAGCTTGAGCCAAAACATACAGGGCTGGACAATCAAATTCTTTAATATTCTCGCTTTATAGCTTTAGTAGTTTTATTTTAGTGACTGTCAAAAACTCTTTGCACCTCATTCTCATTAGGTTAAATATGTTACAAGGACACCATGTCCTTGTAACAGTATGATGAACCGCGTGATTAAAGATTATTGTGAAACTTTTGCGTTCTTTTGTGTAGTTCTCAATCTGATTTTCATCAGAATAGTTGTTTACCTCGTTTACAAGAATGGCATTAGTAGTTTATTTCTTATATGTTATTGATAACGTTCCCAGGTCAGCACTTTGCTACATTAAGTTGTACATGTATATAGAATGTACATGTTATAACATGTATACAGCATGTTATAACTTATCAAAAAGCACAAGAAGTGTGTAAATGTTTTGGATAAATTATATTATATGATAAATAAGGTGATGGTCATACTCTCTCTCCTGATGGGGGGAGGGGCAGTTCCAGTTTCTTCTGTCTAAATTTGATTGCATCACCTCGGCAGGATCTGGTGTTTGAGAGAGTTAATAGGGGAACAGACAGGAGACAATGCTGTCATGAATATGCCTGAGTCTTTGAGTAAAATTTAATGGTTGAAATCAGATTCCACAACTGGCATAGATTTTATGGCCCCTCACCCCAATCCTTTTGTCCTCACATAGAAAAATCGAGATTCGAGACATACAGACTAGCTGGAGTTGCCTCTGAAAATCCTGTCAGGAATGTGAGTAGACCAGATTCCTCATTCTATTTAATTCATAAATTTAGGAATTATAAAGTCAAAATAATATCAAATTGTATTAAATCATGTCTGACAATCAAAAAAATATTGTCAATAAATTAACTCAAAAACCTGTTAAAACATTTTCTGCTGCTAAAGGTGTGACACAATAATCCTAAAAGTAGCATTTCTTCCTTTTTATTGCAGAGTCTCAGATCCTATTGCCTGTGGAGGGAACTGAGCAAGGAATTGGTCATGAATCTCTCTCTAAAAGTACCCAACCCTCTTCAGTACTTGGAAGATGTGAGTACACAAAGATTTTTAGAGCTTTTAAAATACAAGGAAAGACAAGCATTATGCATTATTTGGTTTCAATTTACAGTATTACAATCTTCTAGGAGTCTATAATACAATACAAAGATTAGAAAAGCATATAGACTACATATACACTGAGCAAGAAAATGAAACATTAAAAAGTGAAACCAGTAAGGAAAACAAACCCTAATATCCCAAACTATAATCTGATATGTAAAGAATGGATATAATGTCTTTCCTCAACTTACTTTATATAGCAATATTGTTCTGATTTTTAATTCATCTAATATTGTAGTATGCACTATTTGTGGAGTCAGAATTAAATCAATATCAGGATTCAAGGACCATGTAGCCATTAAACATGGAGAGCCTAGGTACATATGTCCAATAGATGGATGCAACAAAGCTTACCAGAGCAAAACTAAATTCAAGGCTCACAAACTAATTCATATAGAGGTAAGTATTGACACTTAATAAAAATATACATAGTCTATGCCTTAACACATCAGTTGTCAGTGCATCTTCCCAATTTTCTCAACAGGTGCCCAATCCTAATTTTAACTGCTTTGGTTAAAAATTCAAAATCTCAAAATTTCATCCTTTTGACAGTACATGATGCAAACAAATTTGTAGCATTGCACGGAAGTTTGTGACCGTAATGCTTTTTTAGAATATGAATTTATCCTCCTACCCATAACTCCCCAGATTATGGCTTGCACGATACATGTATTCCTTTAACTTCGCTAAAGAATTGTCAAATAGCCAATCTGCCACTCAAAATTTATCATCATTTTATACTTCTGAGGGTTTCTTTTTTTACAGAAGAACTTCAAAATCTTCAAATGTGACTCCTGCGAGAAAAAATATACAACGAAGAGCAACTTAGACAATCACATAGCAACCAAGCACACATTATTACATAAGTGCAGCAGTTGTTCAGAGTGCATCCACCCTGGAAATATGAAGAGACATGTTATGGCAGTACATGAGGGTATAAGATACAGATGCCCATTGTGTCATAGAGACTATTCATACAAAAATACCCTTATAAGGCATATTAAAACTTGTAGCAAGATTTAAACATTATCAGTTGTAAAGGAAAAATCATAATTATGATTAATCATGTGTCTCCCCTCAATGACATGTAAAATTGATTGTTTTGGGTATTGATTTGATTTATTAAAATCTGAGTGTTTTTTCTCATTGAAAGAAATGCAAAAACGTTCAATAAAAAGATGGTTGATAGAACAGCAATTTTACTAAGAATTCAAACCTGAATATAGAAGAATTACCATAGTGAAAAACCTGTGGAAAATGTGAATGAAATTTTCCTCTAATACAAGAAAAAATAGAAAATATATTGTCTGTAAACATAAATTAAAACAGGGCCAATTATGCCGAGATCCTATAAGTATAATGTATGCATTGTTGTTGCAATAAAGGAACTATACAAACTTTAACTTGCACCTTTCAGTTTAAATATACATATTATTCTCTTTCTACTGGTACATAGGGGAGATTCATCGAATTTTGATGGATGGGGCTACTTAGACCATGGTGTTATTTCCACCATGGCTACTGATTCAATTTAAAATTATGAGCAAATGTCAAAATAGCCTCATTAGCATAATTGCCACAAGGCAAAGAAACCCTTTATGTTAAAGTCTGACACATTCTTTCAAACATTAATCACTACAGAATCAAAGGTTTATTTCGAAATGTATATGGTATAAGCTACATAATTTAGGATATCACAGAAGCCAAGTCCTTTAATGTTAGTTTTGTAGTGTGTCATTCCGATAATTGATAATCATTCTGGAATGTCATTTGTTACCCTTAACTTTGAGCTGCCAATTCATTGAAATAATGCTATTTTTGTAGATTGACCATTATGAAAGACCAGATGAATGTGCTAATGATCTGAATACTGTCCACCCCTTCATTCTGAATCGTACCTGATTTATGCCTATACTTTCATTCTAAATTCTAACCCCTATCACCTATTCCCATTCTTAGCTTCACCATATTTATTTTATACTGCTATAGCCCATTACTATGCACACTGCTGATGTATATCTGCTAATGTTTAGACCCATTAATACTATGCACACTACTTGCTTATGTTAAGACCCATTAATACTATGCACACTTCTTCAGTGCTCTCCTTAAGTCAAAATTACTTACAGGACTAACGGACTGACAAGTTGGAAGAGCTCACCAGTCCAGACCAAAAGTAGCCAGTCCCTGGACTGACTACTGTAATTAGTACTTCTAATTTGTAGCCAGTCCAGACTGGTTCTTGTCAGTCCAGGAAAAAATGAAATACGCGATTAACAAGATTCAATTTTATATACATGTTCATGCTGTTGTATCTCCCTCATTCTGAGTGATCCGAATAGACAAGACTGGATTTGTTTGCATGTGTTTTTTGCAAAATTAAGATGATTGTGAAAAAAACATGCTTTACAACAAATCTAAAAACACTGGGGCCACCCAGGAATTCGATTGTGTTATGAACTTTGGGGGTCCCTTTTCATAAAAATGCCATTTATATCCATGATATATCAATGCCTTACCTGATTATCAAGTATTCCTGCATTGAATTAATGCCAGATATTTAACGTAATCATTTTTCTAAAAAAAGGAAACAAAAACAACACCAGCGGGAAATGTAAATTGTCAAATGGTTTTGTTAAGTTTTTTTAATTCATTCATATTCATGGGAGCCCAGAGCATGATTAGTTGGATTTGTTCCATGGTCTGACGCATAAGGAGAGCACTGCACTACTTACTTTTGTTTAGACCCATTTTAATGCAAGTTTTAGGTTTTGTAAAATTATCAATATGAAAATTGTAATATTCACAGATACTAGAATTCCGTGATTCAGTGGTGCCTTTAGAAACTTTCAATGGTGCAGTTAAAAATGAATTTTTCATGCATACAATCCTGAAATTGACATCCTAAATGTAGGAGTCATTATTTGTCAGTTGACAAGAAGATAGATGAACCTGTTTAACATCTCCAAATGTAAAAATATCAAAGGGGGTACTCTTAATATGTTCTTATCAGAATGTGTCTCATCAAGCAATGCAAAAAAGAAGAAAAAATGAATAGGATAAATTTCAAGTATCAACTTGGACCTGCTTTTGTATGATGAATATTATATGTGTGTTCATTGTTATACATTTGAATGAAACCAAGGATTTGAGCTACTGTATTTTAAGAGAAGCAAATGACATATTATTAAGATTGGTGGTGACATCAGTTTGATTTTCAACTTTAATCCCGAAGAGTTTTTTGTTTTTATGTTTTTACCAAAAATTGATTTGGTGTTTCCAATCATTTTGAATAATTTCACAATTTTATGCAGAACGTTTGATTTATGCAAGATGCTTGAAAAAGATTCGTCAATGAAATCAAAATATCACATCAAAACGAAATGAATTTTTAAACAAAATTCACATCTTTAATGAACCTCTTTAGCAATCAATAATTTCAAGTTATGTTCAAATTCCATACTCAGTTCATATTTCAGGTTCAGAAGCTCCCTGCGTGGAAACAAAAAATCCATTAGATGATACTGTGCATTATGCGGATGAGCTTGTGGAAATCAAGAAAGAACCATCTGACCCCACACCAACATTGGAAATGTCTGAACTTACAGGGGATGTGTCTGAACTTACAGGGGATGTATCTGAACGTACAGGGGATGTGTCTGAACGTACAGGGGATGTGTCTGAACTTACAGGGGATGTGTCTGAATCTACAGGGGATGTGTCTGAACTTAAAGGGAATAAACAAGAACTATTCAAGAACACCTCACCAGCGTTTCCTGAACGTATGGAGGACAGTCCAGAATTACTCCAAAGCACCCCAGTTCCAGAAACGTTCAAACATTCAGGGTATTCACAAGAATTACTCCAAAACACCTCCAAATCTGGTGATATAAAGCAATTCAGATGTGCATATCCAGAGTGTGGAATGAAATTTAGTCGAAAGTTTAATTTAAACCGCCACCATAAAAAATGTCATCTTGAAATTAAGCAAGAATTACTCCAAAACACTCCAATATCTGGAGGAAGAAAGATTTTGAGATGTTTAAATCCTGAGTGTGGAAAGATATTCAGTTCAAAGTTTAATTTAAAACGACATCTAAAAAGATTTCATTCTGAACTTAAGGAAATCAATCAAGAATTATTCCAAAACACCACAAAATCTGGAAGAATAAAGACTTTTAAACAAGAATTATCTGAAAACACCTCAGCAGATCTTCCTGAACTTGTGAAGGACAGTCAGGAACTATTTCCAAATACCTTAACCCCAAAAAAGTCTGAACTTTCAGGTGGTAAACAAAAGTTATTCCAAAACACTGGGAAATCTAGAAGAAAGGGGATTTTGAAATGTGCAAATCCAAAGTGTGAAAAAAAATTCAGTTCAAAGTTTAATTTAAAGCGACACCTAAAAAGATTTCATCCTGAACTAAAAGAAATCAAGCAAGAATTATTCCAAAACACCACAACTTCAAAAAAGTCTTCAGGGGATACTCAAAAATTATTCCAAAACACTTTGAATTCTGGAAAAATAATTTTGAGATGTGCAAATCCAGAGTGTGGAAAGAAATTCAGTTCAAAGTTTAATTTAAAGCGGCACCAAAAAAGATTCCATGTTTCTGTTGATGGCTTTCATCCTGAGTCTGAAAGGAAATCCAGTTCCAAGTTCAATTTGAATAAACACCAAAAAGGATTTCCTGTTTGTGATGAAATTATGGGGAGTAGACAAGAATTAACAATCAAAAAGTCTGATAAAATACTCTGTGAATTGTGCGCCACACCAATTTCACAAATGTCAGGATATAGGAAACATATGAAATCCAAGCATGGGATGGGCTTATTTACCTGTGATATATGTAAGAGACAATTTGTAGGGAAAGGTGCATTATCAGAGCATATATCTCTTGTTCATGTGGGAGTTGACCCTTTCCTGTGTGAACAACCTGACTGTGGGAAGTGCTTCAGTAACGAGTTCTCTTTGAAGCGACACCAAAAAAGATATCATTCTCTGTATGATGAGTGCTCCGATACACCTTTTCACTGTGCAGCACTTAGCTGTGGGAAAAGCTTCAGTACTAGGTTTAATTTAAACCGCCACCAAAGAAATCAACATGGTATTCATGATATAGATGAATATTCTGAGGCTGTAAAAAAAGAAGAGGAACCTGAAATAACTGCTGCTGATGTTGAGTAAAATGTGTGAAGTAGTGTTAAGTAAGTTGTGTGATAAATCCTATGAAACGACCTACGCACATGAAAGCCATACGCACATTGAAAGCCATACATGAATACTACCATTGACTTGTGCTATATGTCAGAAAACGTCTTGCTGTCATAAAGGAACGTTAACCTATGCTAAAAAACTTGCTTTAGAAAATGTATTAAAACGTAAAGAAACACTAGTCTCATGAACATGGACATATTTGCAAATTCTGTGAAAATATGTTTACATTCATAAAACTCGGCAAGCTGTGAAAATGTACATAAACTGTGGATAGTTTTGGCCTTAAATTGTCTTTTAGTCATTACTTTGTTTCAAATGAGTACAAATATGAAATATAGATTTAATAAAAAACAATCTGTCATGTATATGAGTTTTTTAATGGGATCGATCAGAATTTATACTGCTGAGCTCTGTTAAAATGATAGCTGGTTTCCAATGATCATGATATACAGTAAAACCTTTAGTAACCATCATTAGAAATCTGTCACTGGTTATCCACTTGGAAAGGCGGGCATTTCGGTAACAAAATGTCAGAACCTTAAAGGAATGATTTTACTGACCAAGGCCAAAAAGCTCATGCAAAAACAGAACTACTAAAATGCTTAAAATCTGCACTTGTCACCCATTCTGTTTATGTAACAATAGTGAGGTATTAAATCGATGATTCTGCTGTCTTCTGAACTATTTGTTCGCAAACATGTACATTTTCTTAAACATATGATACTGACACGACGCATTTATGATGAAAATGTCATGGGAAATCTGCCTACAGCTCATTGCTGTAACCAGCATAATCAAGTGGGATGTTGAAGAATAAGCTTGACATAAACTGATAACATTGAAAATAGTTATAAATATTAGTAGTCCCCAAGATCATTGTTTCTTAAATGTTGTGGGACAGTAAAAATCAATCATCTAAATCTATAAGACAGTTTTATCAATATGATATAATTTTATTGAAAAACCCTTTGAAACTTGCACCAATGTTCTCCCCACATCACTGAGGTACAACACCTCAATGTTGTTCATAACACCAAAATGCTCCTCAATTCAATGTACCTTCTAAAAGGACCATGACAGAAAACATATTGTTTTAATAAAAAACACTGTATTTATGGCGAGAAAGGACTCATGGAGAAATATATCAATGTTCAAAATCACTTGCCATACTACGCCTTGTCCTTAACAGTAAGAGGAGGAAAACCCCATGATTCAATTGATGACATACAATTTCCTCTTTCACGCACCTCCTTTCCCAGAAGTACGTATATTTGTTTACAAGATGGCGACTTTCATTAAGGAAAAATAATTGACCTAGTTTTAAACCAATCAATGATCGACTCGCTAAACCAATAGCGATGATGTCATCTCAATACAGATTTACATTAGAAGTGTATGTCATCTTTGAACCCTGGGGTTTCTCCCCCTCTTTTAACAGTTTAAGAAATAGTAAAGTTATGCACAAAAAATTACAAAGAACCAAAAATGTTGCACAAAAATACAAAATCATAAAATATTACACAAAAGATTTTTTGCCAATTGCATACTTTTGGAAGTAATTGATTCCCCGATCTTCTCATATGGTTCTTAACAAGTCTGTTTTATATGAAGAACAATATTTAATTTTAATTTAATTCACTTTATTTCAAATGTTTCAAATACAGTGTTTTACATTGACATGAAAAGACACCCCGAGGGGTGTATATTTTCCATGTTTAACATACAATATAGCATTTATTAAATTAACAGTCAGGTTATAATTTAGAAATGCTTCTCAGTTTTGTTGTTGGGAAATTTCTTTTTTGGCGTTGGCCATAAGTAAATGACATGCTGTGAGTTTTTGAAGTACTCAAGTGCCTCTTTGTGTGAGTCAAGTAACTTTGGCTTTATTTTTTTTCAAATTACTGACTAAAAGAGTTCAAAAGATATTGATGAAACTCATATTTTGGTACTGTTTTTCAGAACAAGTAGCTGAGCCTAGCACTTCAGCGAATGCAGATCAAGTTGAAGATGACACCAAACAGCAGTGAGTATATTTTTTCTTTGCAGATTAACATCTTCTGGATTGTCAGATTCTTGCACATGTGTCTCTTGTTTAGCAATATTTTTGAAATTCGGGAGAATCAGAATTATCGGGGTGAAAATTGAGATTTTTCCTGAAAAATCGGGAGAAAATCTTGATTTCTCTGAAAAAATAATCAGGACTTCTAGAATGAAATCGGGAGAAAAATTGGGTTTCAAAAACTATATCAGCAATTCAAAAAAATCAGGAAAATATCAGGATTACTAAAAATAAATCGGAAGAAAATTGGGACTGCTAAAAAATCGGTAGAAAATCGGGGTTTTATAGATAATTTGTTGAATATGTTTTTTCATTGCATTTGGGCCTTTTTATTATCTTAATTTAACCATCATATAATTAATAATGTGAATACACCCTCACAACATTATGCTCATTTAATCATGGTTTTCCATATCCATTAGGACCTCACACCACATAACTTGCAATAGTTAAATATCAGAAATAATTATGTAATCTTCATTGAGTCCTCACATAATCAATTATCTTTCTGATAAAGCAAATCAGATTGAAATCGCATGGATACTTGTTTGTGTTACATTAAGTCAAAGAACCCTGTCAGTCATAACATATATATTGAGAGTGGGTATAAAAGGCAGATGGAACAGCCCACAACAGCCAAATATGGGAGTTTAAAGAGACTCTATTGAGACTTCTCTGTGGCATTTTTTCTTTCTTCCTTTTTGTTTTGAATTTTTAACACCATAACATTAACTAACTAATCAATATGCAACTTTTCAGCACGTAGAATCTTAAAATATTAAGTTTGAACATTCCATTTTTATAATGGAGCTCAATGGGAAAAACGACACAATTTGAATTATTTTCAAACGTAGCGGTGCGATTTTCTTGAAATTGACAGATATAATAAATATTGGTAAGGTGAAATGTTTGAAGAAAAATGAAGAAAATTCACCATCCTGGTTACGCAAAATATAGAAAAATGTGAAATAATCATAAAAACCTGTAAAAATAGATTGAAGGGGGTGATTTCCATTTTTAATGTGCCTCACACTACTACAGGGTAACCATAGTTTTGGTAATGGTTTACTAATCTTAAAAGCATATCTTCCAGCATGTGTATCAAGCACAAGTAATACAATAATATATAAGTGAGTTATCATTAATTGGAATGGTATTATTGTATTCCTAAGCAATGACGACAAAAAGGTAAAAGCGATCATATCACATACTAGTTCTTACCATCAGATCGATCGATTATAATGCATTTTAAACAATATGGGAATAGATCTTCAAATTCAAGAATTGAGCTAAATTGTAAGATAATAAATTGCTTATCCCTTATAATCCGTATCATTCATACTTCAAATGTTTATTTTATACAATGTCCATGTATTTCACTTGCAAAAACCATAAAATCAAAGTTATTTTAGGTTGAAGAATTTTTTCCCCCTGATAGGGGTGAGTTTTGGGGGTAGGGGGACTAACATGGTATTTTAAGGGTTGCCAACATGGTTTTTTGGATTCAGCATAAAAAGTTACATAAGAAACACTTGTCAGAACACTTTTAACACTAAACGCCTACCACATTTTACAGAGAGACCTTTTGCAGAAAAGCACCCGGTCTATTATAACTGTATAATCCCCTTCTCGGAATCATACTGAATTATAATATTTCGATGTGCTTATTTTAGCTGCTGTAGTTTAGGTCACTTGATGAGATATTCAGTAACATGCTAAATAATCACTGGTAATAAGCAATATGAATTCTTCAACACAATCATTTTCAACAGCTTTTCAACACAATCATGAATTTAGTGATCTGACCCTTAAAATACTTTTAAGGGGGAATAGTTTGTCCACCTGTAGGCGTGTAGCATCTTTTTCTAGCCATATTTTCCTAGGCCTGCTAGCTGGAAAACCTATTTCAGTGTGCAAGTTTAGCATTGTTTTCCCATTGATCATTTGAGTTCTCACGTCAATATTATGTGGAAATAAAAATGATAAGATGTCAAAAAGAGTAGTTTACTTTATTGTAAGAAATCAAAAATAAAATAAGGTTTGGGCAGGAAGGGAACAGGTGAAATCCTTGGGATACATGAATTAATTAATAATTATACAAAACTTATTCATGTTTCTACCATTTAGGGTGACCCTGTGTTTTATTCTACTGGGACTGGTTATACCGGTGCAAAATATTACAAAAATATTATTTACTTATTATCATAATTTAATGTGACAATATCAGTCTTATCTTCAAATTTGTCTATAATAGTTTGCCTGTAAGGTTGGGCAAGCCGTCTTTTACGTTGATTGTATAAGATGTTGATTTTGAAAAGCTCTTATGGGCTCATTCTACAATATGTACTGTAACATAAATGTAAGGGTACCAGTATGTAGTCCAGTATTTAGTAAACAAAGGAGTATTTTGGTCAACTCAATACATCTGATAAACACTACATGAAGTCTTTTCTATGCAATGATTATATACACAGGCACTTATTCATTGTTACTGCGAATTTCAAAAGCCTCCAAATTGTGTGGAATAGAGCATGCAATGTTTTTCAGTTTCAAGCAGGTTTTAGTACATTCTGACCAATTGTATTTTCAGACTTATTCATTTCATGATTATGTAATACTGACCTACTTATCTGCCTAGCATATCTTTAAATGTCCAGTTCAAACAAAATTAGAAAATTTTCAAACTTTCTACTACACGGTGTTATAGCATGACAGTTACGACAAGGCGATTTGCAAAATTTTGCGGTAACGATAACAAAAAATGGCGGATGGGAAAGACAGCATGTCCTCTTTCTCGCCTGTAGGCAAGATTCACGGATAAGATTTCCTTTTTAACTAGTTCCGTTCGGTGATGTATATATGGATGGTTATAAAGACTGGGTCAAATCTGCCAGGTGGTTTACTAGAAGCGGAATATAAGGTGTAAACTTACCGACTGAGATGTCCAAGTTCATATTTTTTAGTGATTTCTCAGCATATGTGCCTCAGAGCCTCTCAACTTATTAACAGTAAGTAAACTGTGTATAAACAAGCCATAAAATGACAAATCCAGAACAGGAACGTGGTCATAATGTAAATAATAAGGTTTCAAACGCAATGTCGTTAGACGAGTACGTATGAATTCTATGGACAGTAACGTATTGTATTAGATGTACATTAGATATTTAGCGGACGGTTACGTGCATGCACATCTTTCAAGTTAATGTTGCTAGTTCTGATAGCCTCTTTCCATGTAATTGTTATAATGGGTAAGAAATGGAATATTGAATTGCTTATATTTGTTTTCACGACTCGAAAGAGACGCTCTTGTTTGAGCCTCTATAGGGCAAGGAAAAAATTGTGTCTTGCTTTATTAATGAAACCAATTTAAGTCAAAAAGAAAGCAATGAAGAGGCAAAAGAAGAATTAGCATCAAGTACTGATGAATATGACAAAATTAATAACAATGCATCTGGGATACATATTTGAAAGAGGTTCGCTTAACTGTCAATCATTTTTTGGCGTAACCGCAAATTAAAAATACAATACTATGGCTTAAGTAGAACATATTAGGTGATTTCCAATGCTCAATTGGCTTTTTATGATCGTTTGTAGGTTACATCTTTATACCCCGAGGTCGTTAGGCAATGTAGACCATGCCCTAACGACAAAAATAAACAAATTACTAAATTTTGTGTAGTTTTGAATTTCAAACTCAACAGTTTTTCGCTTATATCTTGTAATCCCCGGGCATCAATTTGCAAAGAATACGTTCAAAATACACATTACTAAATGTATCACCGAATGCGATGTCTACAAAAATCGTTCATCCTTTCATTGATACATAGTAGAAGAAAATACTACACCAACCTTAGTTTTCTGTTCCATCGCGGCCATTTTATTGGATAAATCAGTGATCGTAGTCGTCTAATCTCGTTTTCAGAGGTGTCGTAACTGTCATGCTATAACACCGTGTACTATAACAAGATTGTTACCATGACTAAAAATGTGAAATCAAATTCTGAAAATGTTTTTTAGTTTTTGTGAAATAAGACAATATCCTAATTATCCTTTTCGGAAATATGCTCATTAGTATAACTGAAATTTTAAATTTCAACCAATGGCCATCTCTTATCTGTTAAGAAGTAAACAAACCTAGCACTAGGCTGTATCTCTCTTGTAGCAGACCTAGGTGCATTCATTCACCCTCTGGGTCTCCTTACGACAATCCAACGCATTAGAGGCGGTGTTCACCGTCTAGTAGCAGACCATGAGTTTCTCTATATGCTGGACATTTAAACTGGCCACATTAGCACTGATTGGCTGAACTGTGACAGCTTGATTAATAGCTTCACCCAGGTCCAAATCTCTGGGCCTTTAAAGAGTCGCACAATCTTTATCCAATCAGCGTTTGCATTGTGAATCGGCTCACGCATAAAAGGCGAATCCAACTCCAGATCCATGCAGGGGTGTATGAGGTACTGTAGATTGGGTTAATTTGGTGCTACTTAATTTGGCGATTTTGCCATTTTTGGCATATTGGCGGCTATTTAATTTGGCGGATATGCAAAAAAAATTGTTAAGCTTACCCGCTGTTTGCGAATTATCATGTAAATGGGCATGTTTGGCTATGTTCATTTTATCTTTTGAGGACCAATGGCGATATTCACCACGTTTGTACATATTTGTGAGATCATTCTCTACATTTTGCCCCTCGATCGATGCTGCTCCTTATCCCGTGCCAGGACTATAGTCCTGCGAACGTCTTATTCTTTTGCCTGTACGATTACAACTTGGGAGAATTATCTACGCCCCTTACACTTAAGATACCTACTTCAATAGATTCCTGGGTATTTTAGCATTCTTTTCGTGTAGTTGAATCCACAATTGTTTGGGTATATTTGTTTCTTTGTTCTGCCGATAAACCCACACAGAGGCAAAAGAATAAGATATTCGCAAGACTACAAGTAGAACGTAGAGATAGTCTTGGAATGAGATAATGCTGCTCCTATACCGCGCTTTTTCTTTCTAGTTTTCCCTGAGTATTAAGGAGTGACTGACCAGTTCTGAGCCAATTTATGAGACATTTTTTCTTATTTTTGGAAAAAACTAAACCGGAAGTGACCTAGATACACTGGACGAAATACCCTAGATAATTCCTGGGGATTCATTCTAAATTTTGGCGAAGATTTATATTGGCGAATTTTTCAATTTCGCCAAATTCGCCAAATTAAAGCGGGCGCCAAATTAACCCAATCTACAGTACTCGAATCGGAAAGGGCTCGTGAAATCTGAAGTAACATGCACATGGTAAGTGTTTAGAAATGTTTCGATTTATTGAAGAAAATGTGATATGGGGGTGGTTCCGAACTTGAAGTCATTGCTGGAAGATATGATTTTAATACGTGAAATTATATCTCAGTATCTATAAATACAGCACTGAAAATAGCAGTACACATGAAGTACATGCATGATTGTGTCCAGAAATGTTTGAAACCCTTATGGAAATTCTGTCTGCATTTTGTCACCATTGCTCTTTCTTCCCGCATTCTAGTGCTATTTGGATGAATATATTTATGAATGTATTTCTAACTAAAATATATCTCATTTTTTAGCTCACATGGTGAGCTTTTGCAATCACTCATTTAGAAACCACAAACATTTAGATTATAAATACTTGAGTGAGCACGACCACGAATATGTAAAAATGTTATCATGTTTTAATGAAATAAATAAAAAATAAAAATAAAAAATACACAAGTTGACACAGTTAATGACCACTGATATTGAGTTAGTCCGTGCACATAGCGTATTCTGCCATTTATGTGATACACTGTTGCTCATAAATATGGAATATTAGATTTGGCAGCTCAGAATTCAAAGTTTGGAGAAAGAGAACATTTATTTGGAGTTGGCTCAGACATTTATTTTTTGGCAAATCATAACCACATATTTCACCTACAAATCAACATTTTTTAGAGAAAGAATATTAACATTTAAGTTTAGAAAATAACTGTTACTTAAACAGGGGTACGCTAAGAATTTTTGCATTTTCAAAACACCCCGATCCAAATCGTCATGTAAACAGATCAATCAAAATAAACATCTGGTCATGAAGATTGAAGTGTCCTCTATCCAATGATAGCACTAATATATGTTATGTCCTCTTTGTGTTGCAATCAGAGCATCAACCCTACGGGACCAGCATTGAATGAAACATCTGACCTTTCAAAGAGAAATAAGGCCCCATTCCTCAATCTGGGCAGTGTGTAACGTGTCTTAATTTTGAGGTTGGGGTCCAAGTCACGAATCTCATTACCAAGGTCGTCCCACATTTGCTCTGCATTAGCCTGATTGGCTGACTTTTGTGCCCATGGTAGCTGGTCCACATTGCTTGCCCTGGTGTAATCCAACACAATGCCACTAGCATATGCAACAGCATGATCACTCTGCAGTTGAATGTTGCCCCAAAACACTCTGTTTACATGTGGTACTTGATGGAGGTCCAAAAAGTCAATTTACACTGAAATAATGTTTGGTAATCACCAAGGGGGTGCAATTTCTGTAGTACTGCTCCAAACAACCTCTGTAATACTGCTCCAAATATAAATAGGGTCGCCTTCATGGACTGCCACATCAGTAAGTGTCCTTATTGTCTCTTTCCCCGGGTCTACGACAGAAACGAACACAATTATCAACTTTGTGAAGGACACATCTTATTTCTTCACATGCTGTCATATGACACCAAAGATTAGGTCAAACGTTTTGGTGCTTTCCTGCCCAATGAAGGCCAATGAATTGTTTTGATCAGTCAGCTGTGGACTCTTTAAAGGTCTCATGGCCTTGCATCCATTATAAACAAATCACTGGTTGTCTATAGCTCTGGAACACTGGTTTTTAGGTGAGACAGCCATTCATCTCGTAGACTACTGGTTGACTTTGATGACATAAATGCAGCAGGTGGTGGTCTTTTCTTACATTTTTCTCTCTAGGGCTACTATTGCTGTGACCTGGAGTCATATTCCAGTGGCTTTGGTACCACTGCAAAATTTTAGAGACTGTTCCTGACACACCTTTAGGGTCCGGGCAATGGCAGTTTGTTTCATGCCAGAGAGCGCCATCCCTATGACCTGCCATGCTCTTCTTCGCTCACTCTATGGGGCATGCCTTCTAAAAACTCTTCCAACTCTAAATTAAATTTTTATAAATTGGGCATAATGATTACAACTAAGATTTGGACATCTCTTTCAAGTTACTGATATAATGAGGTCATGGGGTCAACTGAGTGAATACAAGTTTAATCAACCATAAATGTTTTAATTTTTCATACCAATCAGTTTTATATACAAAACTGATGAGGGAATGAGAACACATTACAAATTTTCATCAAAATGTTACCATTTTGTAGAAATTCCATCGAACAGTTCGTATCTGTAAAATATTCCAATATATGAGCAACAGTGTATATGATATCATTCTTGAACTAAGTAAACGTGGGCTTTGTTCTAACGGTCAAAATTATGTTATTCAAAGTGACTTTATAATTCTGCGATAATACAGATTCAATGTGATATTTACGAACATTTAGTATACTGCTGACCTTGCTCCTAAATATTCTATTTGGCTATTATCAAAAAAATGTTTATTCCCTGCAATAAATGATTTGATTCCAAGACAATGACAAGCTGAAATCTTTTAGAATCAATTTACAACTTGAATTGCCATGTAAACTATGCTTTGTAAATAAGTTTGGCACAATAAAACAAACATAATCTAGTAAATTCCCTAAAATAATTTAAATTTCGAATAAAAACATTTGAAAATATAATCCACTCTTGTATTTTCAGAAAGATGTCATCAAAGAGAATTCGCAAAGTCATCGACATAGCATTCAGCAACTTAGATGAAAAAGAAGATTTCTTTCAGAGGTGGAACAAATTCCGAAAAAGACATCCTGCTCTCAAGAACTCGGCATCGGCCATGTCATATTTGTTGAGCTGTGAAAAACAGGATTTTGGGAACTATGAGCAGACCAGTGAAGATAGCTTCAATTATAACAATTTTAAAACTATTGACAAGGAAAGAAGCAAAGCCGAACCACTATTTGTATGCTGCCCTCAGTCTATACAGTCTCTCATAGAAGCAGTTTATAGACTCGGCCAACTATATTATTTCAAGAGAGATGGTGTCACTTCACAAATCGAACAATTCAGCAACGTTGTTGCCACCTTTACCATTAGTAACAACCATTGTACTTTTACATGGAAGTCATCCCCATATGTAAAAGGTGGTACAAAGTTTTTTGTAAATGAAAAAATAGCATGCGGTACAATATGCAGTGGGATTCTGGACTCCCATTTCCAGAGATTTACAAGGGCATCTAAACTTGGAAACACTTCCACAACTTTTATAATAGATGTTCTAAAGAGGATTTCACCAGCAGTGTCAATACAAGCTTCATTATCAATGAGAGAAGCCATTGACGCGAGTGAAGTACGCTCAGCTGACAACAAACTAACACTTGAAACAGATGCTTGTTTCTCAGCATTCAGAAACGCTCAAAGAAGCATAACATTTGCCTTATGTAATAACACTCACACGATCGTCGCTAACAAGGTCAAATCAACTAAAGATCCAGAATGCCCAAATGTTCAGCAACATGAGACAATATCCACTGACGAGATTTTGCAAGATTTGCACGACCAAGGTAAACAGGTCCGATGTATTGTCCATGATTCCAACAATTCTGTATCAAAGATTATTCATGAAAATTTTCCTGATGTCAATGACCAAAATGGCGTATGGCATAAAATAAAGAGCGCGATGTCTGGTTTCTTGAAATTAACCAAGGGCACCAAGGAAACTGAAAACATAACGTGGCATTCACAGCTCATAGATAAGTACGAAGGCGTAAAAAATCATTTCTGGTATTCTATAATGAATTGTGGAAACGACGCAGATATTCTCATTGACAGTTAAGATGCTATTGTCTTGCACTATCAGGGAGAACATGAAAATTGCCGTCTTTCGTCTCCATGTGTCCGGAACCCTCGCTACGTACCATCTAGGGTCCTGCTAACCGATCCTGTAGCAGTAAAACTCCTCGCAGACTTCATAACAAGCACCTCAATCTATAAAAAGCCCACTTTTGTATTGGAAGGACTTACAACGAGTTATGTAGAGGCTGCAAACAATGCACTTCGTTCGTTTTTACCAAAGCGGCAAACATTTGGTGACATTGCCTTCCAGCTTCGAACCAATTTGTTCATCTTAGATTGGAATGAAAACATCAATAGACCATTTATAAGAAAAACTGACCCTGCCCTGGATGGAACACCACGTGAGAATAGTGGAAGGAAATACTCAACAAGAAAGTCTTATGAATATACTCAAAAGATATGGGAACAGTTTTTACTCGAAGTTCCAAATTAATTACATTTTGTTACATTCAAAATACTGTCCATGCTTTGTTACTACTAACATACTATGTTCTTTGATGTATCAATAATGAAATACTGCAAGTACTAAAAATAATGTTTGATGGCTACTTAGTGTTACCTCATTGCAATTAGCAGCACTGTGGTGAATTGTTTGCATCATTTTACATGAACTCGGCGTCACGTAATTTGGCGCTCATCACAGAGATAACACATTTACAAAACCACGACAACTAAGATGTATTTCAAAATAATTTTATGCTTTTGTAATCAAATCAGTATTACTATCAAAATCTTAAATCCATTTGTGTCCCATATATGGCACTCCATCTTGGTTTGGGTATTTGTGTCTCACCATCTGGAAAGAAAATATAACGTAGGTTTGGACAGGGTGAATTGTATATTTGGTGATAATGGTGCGATGGTTACCAGCAGGCAAATAATGTTATACAAATTTGTAAATATGCATAAAAATATAATATTTTATTAAAGTGAATAAAAGTAGTGTAATATTTCAAATTTAGTACGTCTTACATTTATCACACAGAGCGGCATCATATCCCTCCTCATGGAAACGTGCTCCCCGGGCCTCATTTCTCTTCTCTTTGCTAGGTACTCTGGAAGAGCCCAGGCCCCTCTGTTGTTCAGCATAGACCATATACGTCTATGGATTCTCCGTCTTTTTACTCTGTTCTTTAGACTGTTTTTTTTTATCTGGACCTGACATCCAGTGCTGGCATTGTACGTCAACAGAGATGCACCGAGATAAGAAGCATTGATCGCACCTTTCCATCTAAAGATATATGCCATGTTATAATAATGGATAATAGACACCCAATGACATTCTTCATTCAACTTTCCAAATAACTATAAAAATAACGTCTAGTACACACGTATATTCTTGAAATATATGATATTACAATAATATAAACCCTACCATTTTATAGTATGGCATCAATTCCAAATGGTGAGCAGCGACTAAATCATCTTATATACAGGGTGGGCCATTTTTCATTTTGCAAAGACATTCTGAATTTAGCACTGTAATCAGAAGATTTCTCTATTTGATTCAGGAGTCAATTGTGCAGCTTCCCTTCGAAGCAGCATTGCAATATTACTTGATAACCCGATGCATCAAATATTCAATATATCTCAACACCCCTCATTTTCATAGTGAAGTGACTAATTGGTTTATGTTTACGCTTTAATGTATTTTGTGTTCCTTGTTACAGCAAGGGGGGCCAGTAAAGTAGACTAACATGTTTGCATGACAAATTTTGATTGAATATGTAAGACACTTTAATGCTTTATTTGTTCTGACTACGAGTACATCAACAAAACCATAAACATTTCAGCTAAAGTGTCAATAATTTTTGTATAAGAGCTATTTTACTTTTATCATTTGTTCAATGAAACAAGATTAAACTCTCTTAATTTGAGCCAAATTATAATCTGCAACTGTAACTTAAAGAGTAAAAAAGAATTACTGAAACTTAACACAGGCATTTCCTCCATTTTTCTACCTGTAGGTGACCTCAAAGTAACTACTTAACTAAGTAACTAAGTGTTTGCGGAAAAGTGTCTCACACTTACTTTAAAACTTTATTTCTTTTATTTCGAGATTTTAGATTTTGTATTAATGTAAGCAGAATTGCCAGGACAAATATCAAAAAAAATGTAAGTGAAAGTATAAAAAATATTGAAATACTCAAAATTTGTAGCATATTAATTACATAGGACACATGTGCAAACAATCCAGAACTTGTTACTATACTAGAGCATAAGGGCAACATTTGGAAAGCACAGTTATCAACATATTGGGTTTAATCAAGGTCAGTTTTTAATGTAATTACCATTTCGTGATTATGTCACATTTCATTGCAAATATCAGTAACAGTAATAGTAACATTTGAAACAATGGTACCAATATACAGGGTGGGCCTAAAAGCCAATACCCAGGTTTAAGGATGAATATCATATGATATAAGTTAAACATATAACGTTGACACCAGGGGTGTCATGAGCAACCAAAAAATTATCCACTGCCGATTTCCAAATTGTGGAAAATGGAGGTAAACTTTAACTTTGGCACCTAAAAAGAGGTACATTAATACAAGAAAAGTGCAAAATTCACCAATAATACAGTAGAACCTGCTAAGTGGAACACCTCCGTAAGTGGAACACCTCGCAAGTGGAACGCTTTTCAAAGTCCCATTTTAAAAACTAACCCTTACCCATTGTTAATTGAACATCTCAACATGTGATGCAACCACTAATTAATTTGATTATCAGCAAATTAGGATTTCATAAGATTATCATTCAGAAAATTGGATTAACATCATGTAGAGATGGACATGTGATGCTACCACTAATTAATACCTCTTGCTGTTTGTTAAACTTGATAAGTAAGATTAAGAATGTCAGTTAAAAACAATTAAATTATTAAAAGTAGGAACAAGTCTTTAAAATTAAAACTTAATTGCCAAATCTTTGTACCTGAGACTGGCAGAATGAGGAGGATTAAGAATGTCAGAAAACATTTCTGGCAGAATGAGGAGGATTAAGAATGTCAGATACCTTTTTGAGTAAAACAAATAGATTATTAATGGTATATACCTTCCCTACAATGAAGGATGAATCATATTTCCATCGATACATATGAACCCTATATTTGATCTTGTATGTTCTTTAAATGTAAAGCGGCATTTGGCCTATAGATAATTTATACATAAATGCTGATATGTGGGATTTTCGTCGCTTGATTAGTTATTCCCAAACTAGTGATTATCCCATCAAACAAAGTACGGAGGGTTATAACTAACTTATAAACTATAGAAGAAAAACAGCAACAAAAACAAACTTTAATAAAGACAAGGGGGAAGGGGAGTGTTACTGGTAGAAAAAGCTTTAACCCACTGATGTGTAGTCACAAGTCTGCAGACCCGACACCAAACAAGACCAAAGAGAAAAAGAAGAGCAAGAAAGAAGAAACTAAAGAGGGCAAGGAAATAACAACAGAAACAAAGAAGAAACTAAGAAGACAACAAGTGAAAGAAAAAGACCAATAAAATAAGAAGAAGTAAGAAGAAACAAACAGCAACTACAAATAGATTTTCAAGCTGGACTGAATGAAGATGACATGAACAGCATATGAACAAGAATGAACTTGCAGCTACAAAAATGTGGTTTTCTTCATTGTAAGCCCCATGTAGAGTTCTTGCACTAGCCATAAAAAGAAATGTTAGATAACTGTTAATGGTCATTAATAAGGTAATAAAATTAACTGATCAATCAGATTGGCTCTACGTGATTAGTAACGTCATACATGATATATAGTTTTAACATCACAACCTATTCGAATATTGCTTATTAAGCAGCTATAATGATCGTTAGAGTGAAAAAGTTTTCACAATACTGATGACAAAAAATGTCCAAATACATTTATCAAAACATTATATTGATTCCTTTAGGTCAAAAATACCATTTCATATCTGCTTTAAACTGTAATATCAATATGCTATCGCAAATCCATATCGCAATAATTTGTGAAGAAGTAAGTAATGAGGGACTGAATCAAAAGCCGCCGTTAGGTCAAGAAATATTGTAAGCACATGATTATCATTTTCAAGATCCTCGTTTATCTTATGTTTTATGGAAATCAATAGACTAGGTGCGAGTAGAAATAATCCTTATTTACGTCATTAAATATTCATAATTCAGTCAAAGTGATGTCATATTTGAAATCTGCATGTAAAAGTACATCTATAAATATGGTTTCGAAATTTTTTTATCAACTTTGAAAATTTAATTTTTTTTGAAAATGTGACTTCTTGTTCGGGTTGATTCCCCATAGACCCCATGATACAAAATCACAAAATGTGAAATATCTTTTCTTGTATTGGATAGATAACATTTTCTTTTACTGGACATATTTCAGTTTGCATAACTATTAGATACATAAGGGTTATATGAAAATTGAATCATTAAAACAGATGTGATTTAAGTTTAAGGGAACTTTCTCCTATACCCGCCATGCTATCTGACCCGAACGAGCCACCTGGCGGTGAATCTGGTAACTACCTACTCGCATCTGCGTTATTGGCCTGACTGTAATTTAAAGAGTAAATTTCTTGATAAAAGGAAATTACTTAAATTGTCATATATAACTCTTTCGTACACTTTGGAGATACAGTCGTGTAATGTAATTGGTCTATAATTTGAACAATCTGATCGTTTCCTTTTTTGTAAATGACTGATACATTAACATCTTTCGAAGAATATGGGAAGAAATTATTCTGTAAAAAATTATTGAAAAGCTTAACTAGTGATATCATGAATCATTCATCTGTAAGCTTGGATATTGGGTTTTTTGGCCCATCCTGTAGACCCCTATTTAGAACTGTTTTTTAGCTCATCCTGTAGACCCCTATTTAAAACCGTTTTTTGGCCCATCCTGTAGACCCCTATTTAGAACAGTAGCTAAAACATCTCTATATCACCTCATAATTTGAGAGTAAAGTGGTCAAAGTTGAAGATTTATTAACACAATTTTTCATGTTTTAAAATATATCAAGGAGTAAATTTATGTTTTGATAGTATTGTAGCACGGTGAAGATTAGATAGAGCTTGTCATTGCGTGTTATTTTGGTTGTTGGAGTCTGTGTAATCTGTAATGCATTCTAAGCCTCTAATACATCCTTAGTCCAAGGGTATTTCACTTCTTTCCATAAATTAAAGCATAAATGAAGGTCTAATACCTTATAGACCCTTATACAGTTTAGGGGTCTTACATATATTTAGGGATATCTTATCCCCAAACAACCCCCCCCCTATCATAAGGGAATCAAACTTAAAGAATCTCTCATTTATGGTGCAATACTGTATATATATGATTTTAATGTCATCGCCACAAGTGGTGACATCGTTATCACTGGCATGTAGCGATTATAGCGATCCTGAAATGCCTTATTGAATTGTTATGAAGTTACATATGTGCTATGGAATTTATAGAACAGATGACCATCATTTCAATGTTCTAGTTTATGCAGGAAAATTGAGATTAGGCCATTGGAGTATTTGTTTCAAGAATACGTAAAACATTACCCATTCAAGACTCACATTTATCATTAAATCAATAACTCAATATATATGCCCCTGTACACCGATCACCTGTTAAAATAAATAACAGCGATATATATTTAAAATCGTATTCAAACATGACCACGTCCCAACTTCTTATGTATGTCATACAACTAAGCTATGCCTGGAGTCGGGTTTTCGTAAAACACCGACCGCCGACCACGGACCACCGACCAGTCACTCTCCACAGTTGGGTACATGTGGTCGGTGGTCGGCTGACGGTCTTTTACATAAAGATGAAAAAATGCAAAATTAGAAGTAAAACTAAAACTGGGAATCCAATGACTATAGTACCTTTACTAGGTCGTGATTTAAAAAACGTATAATTATCATTTCAAATCACGATGAAAACGTTACATCGTCGTGGTGTGTAATGTCATATTTTTAAGTGATGTTTCAGTTGTTAGAAGACCAATTTCATCCTGGTTAGTCACTTTGGAAAAAAACGCACGTAACATTGCATTAAGTTCATTCTTCATTCATATGAAACGCAATAAAACACACAAACATCGTCGATGTTGACGTCGTAACGTTATGTTTGATTTCTCAGTTGTTAAACGTCAACTGGTAAAAACTACATTTGATATGACAAAAAAAGCTTTCTAACGGTGTACTGAAATGGTAAGTCACTTTTAATCCCGATAAGAGAACGCATGTAACATTATATCGTGTTCAGTATTCAGTAGGCTATGACGATAACAAATCATTTTTGTTTCGAAATTGTTAAATTTCAGTAAAAAATTAGGATAGATTCCCGTAGAAACGATAGGTTGGTTAATGATAGGTTAGGACCTAAGGCAGGGCAATTAATCGAGAGGAGACGGTCATGACCAATTTGTTTGCTTGCCATTCGTTGCAAGGTACAAAATCTGTAAAAAACGTTGCCTAGTCCAACGATTGACATTCAAAATCAAATTATTAATATTCTAAGGCTACAAATATGTTCGGTCTTTTACATGATATGGTCGGTCTTTTACACATTTTCTTCAAACCCTGTTTTGAGGCTACCAGTGGAAAACACCGACCGGTCTGTGGTCGGTGGGGTCGGTCTTTTCCGAAAACCCCCTGGAGTCTATTCAGTGTTGCGAATCGAACCTTATTTGTAGAAAGGAGAGTAGCTGTAAGCAGAATGTACGTATTTCTCTTATACATATTCTCAACTCAAGTCATTAGTTTTAATATTTAGGGTTTGGATCATACTTGAGCAAAATAGAGCCTCGAAGTGCTATCCTAAGTGATTTTTAAATTTCCTCTTCTACACTAAGGTTCCAATACACCGTTGGAAAGCTGAAAGTGTCAGCTTTAAGAATCTAACCTCCATTTGAATTTTGACTGGATGCAAAATTAGATATTAACCCTTTCATCACCAAGGTGTAAACTTAAGAAATCAATTATGCTCTTCCAATCAAAATATATTTTGACAATGGGTTTCTATTTTCAATCTAAAGGTTCAAAACAACAAAGTTTGTGGTCTGGGAAACACAACAGTATATAATTATGTTGTTTACACTGTATGGTTAGGATTACAATTTCTCTTTGAAATTACCACCCAAATATCCATGAAAACGATGTCAAGTTTCTTTTTACATCATAATTTTTCATTGATTGCCATAGAAAACAGGAGAATGTACTTCAATTGCATAAAGGATATATTTGTGTCACTCTTCATGATCAGTTGTGTGATTTTGCTCCTCTCCTTAGTTTATATGAGGGTGGGAGGGTGGTTGTATGTGAAAATATATGATTTCAGAATGCCTATATTGACTGTTATGTCCCGGGGGGTTCACTCCAGTATACTTCTTAATACCTATGTGCCACGCCAAAGACCCCTTTTTGAGCATTTTTTCCATGTCAATTTCTTCTCAAGATTTAAAGTTTCCATATATACTTCCTCTCGGATTTATAATAGGAGTAAATTTCCTGAAATATTGGTGTATAACTATAAAAACTTTTTAGGTGATTTATCCCAGACCTCGCCAACTGATTTTACCGATTTATTACCCACCCTAGGTATACGCAGCTAACGAAAATTGACCGGTACGGGTCAAAAGCTGGACCGGTACAGGTTAACGGTTTTATTTGAATTTAAATTAGCCATAAGTTGCTCAATATTGACTTCCTCGTGTCTAATTTGAAATATATGATGCCTCCCGATGCTTTTAAGTACCCCAATTTTTTACAGATTTTTAAACGGACCAAAACTCTCTAAATGCGCATTTATGCTCTTTTCTCTCGAGAACGACTGTCTCATTTTCACGATAACTTTTATTTAGTACTTCTAACATATAAGATCTATTTTTCCCCATCAAGGTATGATGTAAATGACATGCTATTTACATCTTGTGAGTTTCAATGACGGGCGTTTGATTTTATAAAAAATGCCAAACTTTGTGACAAAGAATTTCATCAGCTATTGCCCCGAACCGGTCCGTCTTCTCGTTGCAAGCAGATTGCCCCGAACCGGTCCGTCTTTTCGCTGCAAGCAGGATGAAATTCTCTCTCTTCGACAAATCTTCCATGTTTTTTCCTCTTAGATTGGCCAGCTTCCATGGTTTATGCCATAAGCCAAAATTGCCCCTGCTGCACATGCCTACCCAAATTATTTAGAGTGAACCCCCCAGGTGTTATGTCTAGGAAACTATTCATTGGAATCACTCCATATTAGAGATTATGCATGTTTGAGATGGAATTCTACACTAGAGTGAAAAAAGATGCTGTATGAAAAAATAGGTGTGGCAATAGAGGTTAAAAGTCAAATATATGTTAAGTCAATTCATGCTTGCTGCAATCTTAATATTCTCAGGAGAAGATAAGTAATTTGTATTGTACATTTCTAAATACCCAAATTACACATCAAAGTACTTATTATTTTGAAATATTAAATCTCATTTCTACTGAAAACGAAATAATTACGCATTTTATAGCATTATGATGTCAATGCACTTAATGACCCCTATCTCAGCTAATCTGGGTTAAGTATTCTCCAAAGTATAATTTGACATTGAATTAATTATTGTAAATCTAAATATAATCCATTCTGGCAATTGATTTTCATAATATTAATAAATGACCCCTTGGAGATGAAAGGGTTAATTTGTAATTTTGCTTTCACTAGAAATTCAAATGGAAGTCAGATTCTTAAAGCTGACCATTTCAGCTCTCCATTGGTGATTGGAACCTTCGTTCAAAGGTGGTCATTTATATCATCTAGTTTGCTCTACTATTATCTGAACATATAGAATACGCTATTGTTAAAGCTCATCCCTATCTAAGTATAATTTTGAGAAGTAGAATTTCAATTTTACATGAATTTGGAAATGTTGTGATAGTACATGAAGGATTTATGTTTTCCTGGGAATATGTTTGTATCTTTCAGCATTACAACATCTTATTTTAATTCTAATACTATGAATATATAATCTAGAAATAGCGTGATAAAGAATTGAACATTGATTGTTTATTTCTTTTTTATATAATAGCATGGACACGAAATACAAAACCTCTCAATGGGAACAAGAAGAAGATGAAAAACATGCAAGAGAGACAACAGAAGAAAAGAATACAGAAAATGTAGAAAGTAATAAAGTTGCCGAAATTCGCCACAGATGCGACATAAATCAATGTACCTATACTGCAAAATATAAGTGAGTATGCCATAAAAGTCATCAATTTACTTTAGATGGTAAATATTATTATTTAAAGCCAGAATCACATCTGCCAAGATCTAGATGAGTACCCTTAACAAAATTAGTTTCAATTAGTTTTAGAATATTTTGGGCTCATATCATTCCTCATTATGCCCATATACTGTATTTGATAATATTTCATAATACATTCATTTTTATTTTGGACTATTTCTTGTACCATTCTTTTTATTTGGGATAATTTAAACATTTTAAATCAAACCTAAGCTAATAACATGACCACAGTAAAATGTTATTTTGAAAATCCCAGTCCTTTGATGTTTCGATGGTTTTTCGACATGTTATTTTTGATGCATGATCTCAAAATATCCAATTTGCGAAAACTCTAAATTTCTGCACAATTATACCTGAAATCTGCATTCTGTCATTTGATACACCAAACACCAACCGTAGTTATAAAAAGTAGGAGACTATAATATGTCATCACTTCTAGTGTTGACACAGGCACAACTAGAAAAAAAGAAACTTTTTGAAATGAAAAAGTAAAATGTATTTTTCCATTGCGCTTCTAGGTCTATTTATTGTTGAACTTATTTGCTCAAAAGAGGATCTTTTTCTGATTTCTATTGCATGAAAACATTATTCAACAAGGGGTCTAAAACATCTTCAAAAGTAGAATGGTATTGAAAGTTTAGTATTGAAGGTATCAATTTTCGATAACCAAAATCATGCTGAAAACAATGGATAGCATGAGTTTTCCCTTTGATCGATAAGAAAATAACATGGGAAATGTGGTTTTTAATTTTATCGCATTTCAATACCCAATTCAAAAGTTATTAATATAGTGAAGAAGAAACTTTTCAAACATTTAAATTGAGAAAAACAAGATCCTCTTTTTAGAAAATGAGCCTTGCATTTTTAAAAAAAGTGACAAGGTGGGGTCCTAATCCATAATTTTTCAGAGAGTGGGATCGATATTTTACTATCATGGAGACTTCACATTAAAGAAAACATGTTGTTTTAATAAACACCACTACTATATGTATTTATACCCAGAAAATACTCATGGTGAAAGATACGACCACTAGCCATACTGCACATGGACCTTTAAATTTTACAAAATATATTTTGTTATGACATCATATGTTGATGCTTATTGTCTATTTTTCAGATACCTTGTTAACCAGCACAAGAAAATCACACATGATGGCCTGAGGTATCATTGTGAAAAATGTTCTAAACGATTTACGAGAAAACATATATTGGAAGATCACATCAATGTGGTTCATTTGAAAATTCAATCGTTTCTTTGCCAATTATGTAGCAAGGCGTATAGCTCAATGTCAAGCTTAACCACACATGTGAAATATAAGCATGAGATGGTTAAACATTTCACCTGTTGCATTTGTAAAAAGGGATATTTTCATAAAAACGATTATGAAAGTCACATGAACAATCATTCAAAAGTGACTCCATATCAATGTAAACTGTGTAAGAAGGAGTTTCAGATACGCAATTCATTCAGGAATCACCAGGTAGATTGTGGCAGAAAGTCCGAAGATAAATACAAATGTGAAGAATGCCAAAAGTACTTTTCTACAAACCGGTCTCTTAGTGAGCATATCAAGTTTCAACATCGACAAATTAATTTATTCCAGTGTTGTGGGAAAACATATAAATATCCAAGATCTTACAAACGTCATTTAAAATCAAACCAGCATATTGACAAATAAATGATGCACATTTGTTCGTATGATAACCTGCAATGGCATACTTTTTAAATATTTAGCACTCTACCATTCACTTCACTATTCACTTGAGAGTATGGACTATAAACTGATTTCATTTTATTGAGTAAGATAATGATGAGTGTCTTGCTAAACTGCTATCGAACTCTGAATAGAACAAGTTTATGGTTGATTCTTTTCCAGAATATCAGGCTATGTTAAATACCAGGTGCAGATAATAAATTATATAAAATCGCTTGTCATCACCTAATATAGATTGTAATTAAACATGTTTAACGTATAGAAAATAGTTTTGTTAAATGACCACAATATGTTGTTAAAATAGAATTGTCATGTATTCACATAAAGAAATACTATAGGCTTCATTCCAGAATTTCACCAAGGTTTGCACGTATGTGGGGCAACAATTTGCTTTTGTCAGTTGTATGGTATTGGCGAATGAGCCTTTCTCTTCTAGCACACTTTGATGGGGGTTAAAATTTCCTGATTTTCTGTTCCTGAACTGCCTACGTATTCTCTGCTGTGTGCCAAACATACAATCTCTGAAATCATATGTTGTTTTTGTTACTTTATCTTTCATTCCCATGTTATCAAGTACAAACGCTTTGAATTCCTTCTAAAAGCAATTAGACAATTTTACCACTTTAATTGTATTTAAACCTTGTCATATGTTCAAATAAATGTTAATGGTTGAAATCATTATCATATAATTATGTGTTCAACTTGAGATGGGAAATTATGGTTTTGCTCAATCTCTTCCGAATCACTGCAATTGTAACCTGGGCCATTTCGGTCTATCTAGTGTGTAGCCTTATAAATGAGGGCAAACGTTGTGTGTTTCACAAGTGATGAATATTAAAATACTAATATTAAAATTTGATTCGATCTTCTTTAAAAAAATGCCTCATATATTTTATATATTTTTATATTAAAAACATTCCTCATGAAATGAGATATTCTATGGACCACAACCTGCTTTGTCTTGGAACTATCACACTAACTCTCTATATTAACAATACTATTATCACTAATTACATTAAAAACAATCATTGATTGGGAACAAACTATGTATTGACTTATTCAGTCTGTATTCCTCTATTGCTACATATATCATTCGTGGGCGACACTGTTTACGATATCTTCCTCCGCTTAAGGTAAGGCAACTCTGATTTTGGTTTTACAGATAAGATAACTGATATGCGGTGATGCGGTAACGTTATGAGAGTTTATAATGGAGAGCTAAGATGATACATTATACTGTGTATTGAAAACTGACATAATCTTTACTGTATCTTACATTTCTAGTTATCTTCCCTTAAGCGCTAGAAGATATCCTTGAACTGTGGCGCCGACGCATGCTATATGAACAAATTATCATATTCCATGGTCCCCTTGTCATATGAGTCTGATTTGCTTCAAATATCAAAGCATTCGTCAACTATAAAGTAGTTAAATTCGATGAAAACTAAAAATATCAAAACGGACACTTCCCGTCCACCATCTTTGATACAAAGGTGACGGCCGTTACCTTTGCTTGATACTGACCAGTGTTAAGTGGCTTCCAGGTTGAGGGAATTTTCCTACGTCAAGCTTTGATAGAAACCATTAGCGAAGTTCCAGCTTTAGCAAAGTTCTTTGGAATATGCAGGGATGTCTGGTTCATCCTCAGCTTCATGCCTAAAATATAAAATATGAAGTATTCACATTACTTTTGATGAAGTATCGTTAACAAAAAGGCATTTAAATGAAATAGTAAATTGTTAAAGAAAATTATTTCCTATACATATTGAGATTTTGTTTCACCCATGATTCTACCCCCAAAAGCAATTTTCTTTTCAGTATTAATTATGTCACCACCAAAAGTGGTGACATATTGTTATGGTCTCCGTTTTTTTATGTCACCACCAAAAGTGGTGACATATTGTTATGGTCTCCGTTTTTTTGCGACGGCGGTTGGTGGTTGGCGGTTTGTGGTTGGAGGTTGGCGTCCGGCGTCTGTAACAATTTCTTACAACTTCCTATAACTTAACAAATACTGTTTAGACTGACTTCAATTTTTTTCTAAATCATCTACATGTTCTCAGAAGTTCAAATCTGACTTTAGATTTGACATTTGACCTTCAATGACCTTCTCAAGGTCAAAAAGGTCTTTTTTCAACTTGCTTCACATTGACTAATTTTTTTTTCAAAATCATCTACATGTTCTCAGAAATTCAAATCTGACTTTAGATTTGACATTTGACCTTCAAATCTGACTTTAGATTTGACATTTGACCTTCAATGACCTTCTCAAGGTCAAAAAAGGTCAAAAAGGTCTGTTTTCAACTTGCTTCAAATTGACTAAATTTTTTTTTCAAAATCATCTACGTGTTCTCAGAAATTCAAATCTGACTTAAGATTTGACATTTGACCTTCTCAAGGTCAAAAAAGGTCAAAAAGGTCTGTTTTCAACTTGCTTCAAATTGACTAAAAAAAATTTTCAAAATCATCTAAGTGTTCTCAGAAATTCAAATCTGACTTTAGATTTGACTTAAGATTTGACATTTGACCTTCAATGACCTTTTCAAAGTCAAAAAAGGTCAAAAAGGTCTTTTTTCAACTTGCTTCAAATTGACTAAACTTTTTTTTTCAAAATCTACATGTTCTCAGAAATTCAAATCTGACTTTAGATTTGACATTTGACCTTCAATGACCTTCTCAAAGTCAAAAAAGGTCTTTTTTCAACTTGCTTCAAATTGACTTAACTTTTTTTTTCAAAATCTACATGTTCTCAGAAATTCAAATCTGACTTTAGATTTGACATTTGACCTTCAATGACCTTCTCAAAGTCAAAAAAGGTCAAAAAGGTCTTTTTTCAACTTGCTTCAAATTGACTAAATTTATTTTTAAAAATCATCTACATGTTCTCAGAAATTCAAATCTGACTTTAGATTTGACATTTGACCTTCAATGACCTTCTCAATGTCAAAAAAGGTCAAAAAGGTCTTTTTTCATCTTGCTTCAAATTAACTAAAAAAATTTTTCAAAATCATCTACATGTTCTCAGAAATTCAAATCTGACTTTAGATTTGACATTTGACCTTCAATGACCTTCTCAAGGTCAAAAAAGGTCAAAAAGGTCTGTTTTCAACTTGCTTCAAATTGACTAAATTTTTTTTTCAAAATCATCTACGTGTTCTCAGAAATTCAAATCTGACTTAAGATTTGACATTTGACCTTCTCAAGGTCAAAAAAGGTCAAAAAGGTCTGTTTTCAACTTGCTTCAAATTGACTAAAAAAATTTTTCAAAATCATCTAAGTGTTCTCAGAAATTCAAATCTGACTTTAGATTTGACTTAAGATTTGACATTTGACCTTCAATGACCTTTTCAAAGTCAAAAAAGGTCAAAAAGGTCTTTTTTCAACTTGCTTCAAATTGACTAAACTTTTTTTTTCAAAATCTACATGTTCTCAGAAATTCAAATCTGACTTTAGATTTGACATTTGACCTTCAATGACCTTCTCAAAGTCAAAAAAGGTCAAAAAGGTCTTTTTTCAACTTGCTTCAAATTGACTTAACTTTTTTTTTCAAAATCTACATGTTCTCAGAAATTCAAATCTGACTTTAGATTTGACATTTGACCTTCAATGACCTTCTCAAAGTCAAAAAAGGTCAAAAAGGTCTTTTTTCAACTTGCTTCAAATTGACTAAATTTATTTTTAAAAATCATCTACATGTTCTCAGAAATTCAAATCTGACTTTAGATTTGACATTTGACCTTCAATGACCTTCTCAATGTCAAAAAAGGTCAAAAAGGTCTTTTTTCATCTTGCTTCAAATTAACTAAAAAAATTTTTCAAAATCATCTACATGTTCTCAGAAATTCAAATCTGACTTTAGATTTGACATTTGACCTTCAATGACCTTCTCAAGGTCAAAAAAGGTCTTTTTCAACTTGCTTCAAATTGACTAATTTTTTTTTCAAAATCATCTTCATGTTCTCAGAAATTCAAATCTGACTTTAGATTTGACATTTGACCTTTAATGACCTTCTCAAGGTCAAAAAAGGTCAAAAAGGTCTATTTTCAACTTGCTTCAAATTGACCAAATTTTTTTTTCAAAATCATCTACATCTTTTCAGAAGTTCAAATTTGACTTTACAAGTTCTCAGAAGTTCAAATCTGACTTTAGATTTGACCTTTGACCTTCAATGACCTTCTCAAGGTCAAAAGGTATTTTCCAACTTGCTTTAAATTGACCAAATTGTTTTAGGTGGTGACATTTTGTCATGTTAATGCCTTGTGTGCAATTGCTGCACTCACCAGCCTCAAATAAGTCTACATTATGTTCCTTTCACTTCATATCCAGTTGCAAACATGAATTACCCACCTCTTTGCTGAATGTGCGTCTTGTATTGCCATCATCTTACATATAATATTGTTTGTGAAAATTGTACAGGAGAGTCTCCATGTTCAAGTGATGTATGATCAATATATGAGTCGAAGGTATCCTCATGACTCGTGTTATAATATCCACATTAAAACATTTTTGGCCTGCAATGGACGTATCATGAATTCGAACATGACTGTATTCACGCCTTCTATAAACTGTAAACAAAGTCAACATTTCACCCGGGGTATATTCGCGAACAAAACCCCTGGTAATATGTGTAATGTGTGACGTCATAACAGCGGGCCGTAGTAATGGCGGACCATAATGAATATTCGAAACCTTTTGGTGAGTTTTCATGTTCGAATCGTGATATAGACCTCAGAGCAGGGACAATATCGTCGAATACACCCCTTAGGGCTATGGCACAAAAGCTTTCAGAAAACTTTTGTGCCTAGCCCTGTGGGGTGTATTCGACGATATAACCCCTGCTCTTTGGTCTATATTTCTTAATTAGGGTATGAAGCTGTGTTATCATTCAAATGTATAGTCAGGATAAGGGATTGCAAGTTAGTATCAGATTTAATGCAAATGAATCAAGTGATATCAGATGAGTGATCCATCCAATAATGTAATTTCAGGCCATCAATTTGATATCTAGCAGTTGTTCTAAGAACACGGTAGTACTAGCATATCATATTATAAATACACACACATATGAATTAATCAAACTGTTACACCACTGCTCTTTCTGTTTAGTATAAATGTTAATAAACTTACCCGAAAGCCAACACATTCACATGGAGACAATGCTATTTTCAGTTCAAAGTAAGAGTAATTGCTCGGATATCGAAGCTCTAACATGTAAAGTTTTAACCACGCAAGTAGGAACTGATTTTATAGTATGTAGAATATATCAATACAAGGCATCAGTTATAGTCTCAAACTTTTTTTGAGGTTGGTGGCTGGTGTTTGGCAGTTGGTGTTCTGTGGTCAGTTTTCAGTGACTGAAACAAATGGCGGGTCGTGACATTTTGTATGTGAACTCCTTGATAATGAATGAATGAGACATGTAAAATCATAAATTGTGTATTTGGGGATAATACACATGTTACTCTTGTAATGATTTGTAATAACTCACCAGGTGGTGACATGTTGTCATTATAATGCCTTGTCTATTATATATGAATAAACACAAGCAAGGAGCACACGTGTCTCGAACTCGCAACCTCGTGGTTACGGCGCCCAATCGCCTAGCTTGATCGTGCCGGCGCTTAAGCACTCTCGGCCAACTCGACAACCCCAAAAAAAGGTTGTTTTGTCAGTCGATCTGACTAGAGGCAGTTGAAGTTAACGCTCGAACACACCAGACATTTCTATCCCACCCCATGATTAGTGAGCGGAGCTAATTTCAAGGGTGATGGTAAAGACGAGGCATGGCGCCCACACCTAACTATGGCGGACCAGCAGTAAGTTTATTTCTCTAAGTTCTACTCTTTATTGGCCTTGTGCTGGCCTGTAACTAGGTGCACTGATCCTTCAGATGCCCATAATTAGATTTGTAATGTAAAAAGATTCATACTTATATTTGAAACGGATACGAAGTGATGTGAAAAGAAAATTTTTCAAAATAATGATACTTATCCTGCATAGAATTCCTTGATATTGCAATTATGTAATTATGTAATTATTGTTGATGAACATATTTATATCGTAAACCCATCCATTTGCAGTCAAATCAGGAGATTTTGATTCCTCGAAAGGAAGAGCAATGGTTATGGTAATAAAAGCATGTTTGGACGAGCCGTGGAATAGGGATTACATTTATCCTGTTTATTTTCAGATATGTGGGATTCCAGTGTTACTACTGTCACGGAAAATCAAAAGACTTTGATGAAATAATACACCACCTGATCAATAAACACCCTACAAATGAAATGAAAATTCGAAAAATCGTTATATGTCAACAGAATAATAAAATTAATTACAAGAAATTTTTCTCATGTGGTTCCTGAAGAAATTAAAGCAAGTGGCAAGAGGATTGTGGTACAAGACAAGGAGTCAATGACAATTTCTATAACCCAATCCTCAAGTGATTCTCATGTTGTCTCGAAATGCTCTAAATTAGTTGACACTACACCAGTTAAGCACAATGCAACATTTAACAATGAAATTGAATGTAATGAAATGGACAATGACAATGAAATAGAAAATAGAAATGAAATGAGTGATAGTATAAATATGACATCTAATGATAACAATAGCAATAATGATGGAGCTACAGATGAAAACAACGACGAGTTGTTAAGAGAATTTGCTAACATGATGCCTCAAGTCATCAATAGACTGTCAGATGATGGATCTTTGACAACTATACGTCAATTCTTTCACCTAATCACAACTGACGTGTTCCCGTTAGACAACATTGCCTATAGATGTTTTCTGGATGTTCTTGAGTGGATGGGGTGCGGTGCTAGCACACAATTTCGTTATAGATTCCCCGATACAATACGCTTCTGGAGGATTGGTTACCGCCTTTTCAAGGGTAAATTCCTGAGATATATGAATGGGGTCAACGATGGTGGTATATCCAACTTTATTGTTCCAACTAAGGCTGTTCTGAAAAAGAACAGCGAGATAAAAGAGGACGCTATGCCTGGCATAAACAGTTTAGCAATTGATGATATTGCTGAGAAAGATCGTGGTTCTATGAAAACAAGAAAAATTGTGGTTAGTACTGTATAAATATGCTTGTAATGTTCTTCAGTACTACATGTATAGTAGGGAATAAATACATTATCTTGATATGCTATGACATATTTAAAAAAATTAATACATGTCCATTAACCCTAAATATCCCAGGGGCCTTCACCTCAGTATGTTATTTGGATAACATTTGAAGTAAGCATCAGTTCTGCCAGAATTTTAATGTAGCTTTGGGATATTGGAATAATTTATTGCATGTATGGCCTGGTCCAAGCTTGCAAACTGCAACCAGGCTCCCAGTAACTCTTATTGTTTACAATTTGTTTTTATTTAGCCAATAGTAATCTGGTTCAAGTTTACATGGATCATGGCCCGGGGGAGGGGCTACTAGTTACCTTTTTTATGTTATTGATTAGCAACATTTATTAAAACAAAAATAAGAAATAGTGATGATTTTCTGCCCAGATGCTATTGACAAGGGTTCGCTTGAACATTTGAGACTTTGAGAATTTAGGGAAGATTTTGACATGAAGAGAATGCCTAGGAACAAAACCTCAGAGGCAGTAAAATTTAATTATATCATTCCATAAATTAACTAATTAATGTCAAAATTCCATTATATAACCTTGTATTCACGAATGCAACTAACGGCTGTCGGCTATCGGATTAACCTACTTTTTGTTGGCAACTCATTTGAATAGTATATTCCACAATTCCATTCATATTTGGATGAGCTGGTCATAAATAGTAGGTTAATCCGGCAGCCGACAGCCGTTAGTTACATTCGCTAATACAAGCTAAGTAAAGGACCGTATAGAGTTTGGACAGTCATGATCTTTCTTCATTAGTACTTTCTGGCCATAAATACTTGATAATAAAAATATCAATGCAACTCCATGAAAAATTATATTGATTATGACCCCACCGTGTCACTTTTTGTAAAATGTCAGGCCAATTTTCTAAAAAGAAGATTTTGTTTTTCTCAATTTAAACATATCAAAAGCTTCTTCTACACTATATTTACAACTTCTGAAAAGGGGATGTGGATTGAAATGTCATAAAGTTAAAATCCACAAATCCCATTTAATTTTTCCAAAGGTAAAGCTCGTGCTATCCATTATATCCATATCCATTTGACAAGTAGTTCACTTTTAAAAAATTTCAGGGGGTTTCACATTTGACAATTTTCTGACCAAAACATCATTTCACAACTCCTGGGTAAAATCAAATGATTTTGAAAGAATTTTTTGCCTGTACCCCCTGGCTATAGAGCCGTGTCCCACTCAACCAAGAAAGCTATCATGCTTTGATTTCTCATACAAATTCTTTCCATGAACATGCTAACATATGTACAGGAAAAAAGGTCTGAGTGTATTAATGAATTAGGCTAATCTCAGGTGAGATCGACATCTCAAATCAACCCATGTTTTAGAGAAAAAAACAAATCAAGACAAAAAATTTCCTAATCATTGTGGCTAACGATTTCGATGACATCGATTTAAATATTACATTTTGTATATTTCAGAGTTTTGTGCCCTACTACTATCCCTTGTGAGATGCATGAGATGCAAGAAAGTCCAAGTGACACCGACAGTTCATCTAATGATGAAATGCGAAATATTGATGAAGCCCCTGGCCCTGCGGAACAAGATGGACAGATGCATGTAGCCAATGAATCCATTGATGACATTCATCCAGCAAACTATTCGACTATAAATGTAGATGATGAGCCAGTCGAAGCATGTGATGAGAGTTGTATATCATTGAACATCTCTGTCATGTCAATTAATGAACCATTGGATGATGATACTACACCTACTAAGAGTAACATTGGATGTAAAACAAGGACGCCTCTTAAAAACAGTGAAAAGAAAAGAGTATGCAATTTGTGTGGATATACAACCAAATGGCACTACCATTTGAAACGTCATATGAAAACTCATAATGATGAGTTCGCAGTGAAATGTCATATTTGTCAAAAGTCTTTTGCTGATAAATACGCAGTTGGAAAGCATATCAGATCTAAACACCAGCATGAAACGTATATATGTGAACACTGTGGAAAGTCTTTTAAGTCTCAAAATTCAATACCCAGACATGTAACAGAAATACATGGGGAAGGCTTAAACTATAGGTGTGAAAAATGTGGTAAAGACTGTTTGAGATATTCTCACTATCAAGACCACATAGATTGGCATAATGGAGTTAAGAAATACAAATGTAAATATTGCCAAAAGTCTTACTTTTGGACAGGTAGTTTAAGTAACCATGAGTCTGTCTGTAAGGCAAAACAAGAAAATAAGCCTATAACAAAGAAGTACAGCTGTCTCTTATGCAAAAAAAGTTTTTCTCTACAAAGATATCTCAAAACCCATGTAAAGCTACATGATACAAATCAACCAAAAACAAAGTGCTCAATGTGTACAAAATCATTTAGTTCTAAATCAAATCTTAAAAGACATGTTAAGATAATACATAAGGCTGTGTTTTAAATCTCATCTGGTGATGGTTACTACAGATTTTAAGTATTGTGTTCATATTAGATAAAACACACTAAATGTGGACTTTATGTTTATGTATAGCCTACAATAAATTTTAGTGTTAAAAACATGCTACCCGGTGGAGTAGCGTTTTTATATTTTTGAAGTTTGAAACTTTGGTCTATATAAAATGTTCAATTGCTTAAGAGTGCTATTAGCAGGAAGAGAGTATATTCTCAAGGGATGTTATTACCCTGTTTGTAATTAGATTAGATATTTTGTTTAAACATACACTGTATAAGAAATCAGTCATATAATTTAAAATGTTGAGGTAATTATTAGTCTATTCCATGTATGTATCTTTCATATCATGTGACCAATGATAGAGCAATAGCTATTTTTAGAGGAAATATTGAGTAGCCCTCTGTAGTAGATCTATCAGAGGTAAAGTGCTTATTTATGTTTATAAAGGTTTATTTTTATATTGAAGCAGATGTTATTTGTAAAAGTTTTGCTCATACACTGTGCATGGTACTTCAGATGGATGGACAGTGGAACATCATCTCAAGTGAAAGTGTCACAGGCATTCATCATAGAATATTTGATAGTTTAAATGTTGTTTATTATAACCTTGTTTGGGTATTGCACATTTCATGACCCTTTTTAGAATAAGTTAATAAATGTTTCTATTTTTAAGTCACTTGTCATGTTTTTGATAAAATAAGAATGGAAGAAAGCCATTTTAGGATGTCCCCTGACAAAGTGTACCATAATTTACACTAAGCTTGACACTAATTGTTTTTAATTGTTTCATCATAAAAATGTTTATTTTCTCATTATTTACTTAGGATCCAATGGATAAGTGTCATGGCCACTTCAGTCAATCATTAACAATTTACTCAATGTGTTAACAGTGATTATGTTGTCTCAGAAAAAATTAATCTGACAAAAGTTTATCCCACAGTGCAAAAACTTGTGACTACATCTGCCATGGATGTTAACAACCTCTGACTACATCTGCCACGTTAACAACCTCTGACTACATCTGTCATGGTAACAACCTCTGACTACATCTGTTATGTTAACAACCTCTAACTACATCTGCCATGTTAAAAACCTCTGATTACATCTGTCATGGTAACAACCTCTCACTACATCTGTCATGGTAACAACCTCTCACTACATCTGTCATGGTAACAACCTCTCACTACATCTGTCATGGTAACAACCTCTCACTACATCTGTTATGTTAACAACCTCTAACTACATCTGCCATGTTAAAAACCTCTGACTACAACTGTCATGTTAACAACCTCTCACTACATCTGTCATGGTGACAACCTCTGACTACATCTGTTATGTAAACAACCTCTAACTACATCTGCCATGGTAACAACCTCTGACTACATCTGATGTGTTAACAACCTCTGATTACATCTACCATGTTAACAACCTCTCACTTCATCTGTCATATGAACAACCTCTGACTACATCTGTCATGTTAACAATCTCTGACTACAACTGTCATATTAACAACCTCTGACTACATCTGTCATGTTAACAATCTCTGACTCTATCTGCCATGTTAACAGCCTTTGACTACACTTGTCATGTAAATAAAGTCTGACTTCATTAATTATGTTAACAATTTCTGAATACACCTGCCATGTTAACAACCTTTGACATCAACAATCGCTGACTACATCTGTCATGCGTCTGATTTTTTATGACTTTGTCAACATTTGTTAAAAAGTGTTGGCCAGTTACCATTTATACAATTTTAAAATTCTTTTAAGTTATTCTATTTATTCGTTCAACAACCAACACTTTTTGATAAATCATAAAATCAAGTGACTACATGTTTTGCAAGTTTTTACCATTGATTGAAGCCTATGACAACCTTGCCCAAATTCATTAATTTATTAATTGACAATGTACATTTTAGCTGAATTTAGCAGTACACGTAGCAGCTAAGTGCTTTCCCATAGCCACTCCTCTTCACAAATTACATCGCCATTGCTCGTCATCGGAATTCTGATCGCCGAATAGTAAAGATTCATTTTGTATTGGATGAACATAACTAGAGACCGACTTATTTCGCATATATGAAAAAATAAAACATCCGGGTACACATATCTTTATATGTGACATCAATCAGGAATTATTGACATATTGACAATATTAGGTTGTAATTTCTTGCGGTAAATTCAAATTGTATCTTTAAACGACTGTTTCATCTTAACTATTCGTTTTATTGCATGTAAAACAAACGGTATGCATAGTTTAACATCTTTCACTTCTAAAACAGCATAAAATATCACAATATCGTCACCTTATGCTGCAATAATACGACTTAAAAGATTATGGTACTAATATTCTTTGGTTTTTGGGCGCCATGCCTCGTCTTTACCATCACCCTTGAAATTAGCTCCGCTCACTAATCCTAGGGTGTATCCCTTTGGCACTCGTACATGTAACAGGTCATAGAACTTAAACACCTGTCTGAGTTGAACATTCTTAAACTCAAACAATTTTTGCTTGGTCCCAGAAGTGTCTAATCTATGGAGGTTTTACAGCACTGCTTCCTATCTATTTTACTCATAACTGACATATATCTATGACTCATAATTAAAATTTATAATTGATTTAGTGATTTTTAAATTGTGCATTCACCCAGTTAAGGCCTTAAGAGCCAGTCCGCTGGTCATTTGCAGGTTATTTTTGATACGGATACTTTACTGTATTTGTAGTCAGTTAAATAAGCAAATCCTAAGAAATTGACTCGCTTCATCGTAACTATAAATAATGTTCAAATTTCCTATCAGCTATTCGGAGAAGTCTGCATTGGGTATCAGTGTCATACATGAAGTGTATAAACATATTTCTAACAACACTAACATTAAGCGATATTTACAGGAAGTGATCCTGATCAATAATGGCATTAATCATTAGACTGTGATCCTTATAAATAAAAGTATTAACAGGTCTTATAATAACAGCATTAACCGTAAGTGATCATGATTATCACCAGCAGTAAAAGGAAGTGGTCATGATTAAATCAACATTAACAGTAGTGATCATGATTAAATCAACATTAACAGTAGTGATCATCATTAAAAATGTCATCAACATGACAACATAACAACAACAGCATTAACCTGAAGCGATTATGATGTATAATTCACGCATGGCTGGGCAAGGTGTGTCCGATTCCAGCGAATCAGAACAGAGTACTGCTACGTGTACTGCTAAATTCTGAGTGACAGCAGTGCATGAAATAATCAATAACGCATTTGTTATGTATGGTTACTAATGTGAGGAGATGTTTTGCCAGTACTTGACCATTGCATAAAGTTTCATTGAAAGTATGTTCTTTCAGTGATTTTGTATCTTTTAGGTGATTTTATAGAAAATACGAGGCCAACACTATGACGTCACATATTGTTCAGGTCAATATAGTAGAATAAAAGTCTTCTAAAATAGCACTTATACCCCTAGAACAGGCCTGACTTGGTAGTGATAATTTTAACAAAATCAGTGATCATGATTAATTAAAGCATTAACAAATAGTGGTTGTAAGTAACAAGATTCACAGGCAGTGATCAAGATCAAAATAACATGAATAGTTAGTCATAGAATGAAATAAGATAAAATATACGATATGTACAATTCATATTTTTTAAATCTTCGAAATATATATACTTTCAGTATGGCGCATATTTGTCATTTTTGCGGAGCTGGCTTCACAACAAAATACAATATGCAGCGGCATTTAAGAAGCGTTCATCAGCTGAATTTACATCACAATTTATCATTTATATGCGATCAATGTCCGGCAATATACACAAGAAAAGAAAAACTTGAAGAACACGTTAACTCGAAACATCCTTCAGACAGTAGTCCTGTTTTTACATGTAACGAATGCAGTAAAACATTTGCCTACAAAAGGTTGCTAAAACGACACGAGGAGACCCATAGTGATGTCACTTTTTATTGTGATATATGTCTTGCAGAAAAGGGATTTGATGTTGGTGTTCATTGTTATACGACCAAGGCTAACCTCAATAGGCATAAAAATGTCGCACATGGAGGAGTGGAATTGGTGTTAATGCCTTGCCCCCAATGTGGTAAAACATTTTACAAAAGGAATTCTCTTCAAAGACATATGAAAAGAAAACATTAGACCACAACAACTGCACAAAGACAATTTATGTTCAAGCATGTAACATTATAGCAAGAAATAAAAGAATCGAAATTTATTTCACATTTGAATCTGATCCCCAGGAGCACTCAGTCCCCATAGTGAACAGGATATGTTAAATACATGTAAAGGATCCTATAACTGAGTCTCGCAATTACTTCTATATAACGAAAGCATTTTTTAGAGTATAATAGCTTAGCCATTTTAGCTTAAATAGTAGTGTATTGCCATTGGACTTAGAATAAAACTATGGCATAAAGTTATTCAGCCAACAGTGGTGAATGTTTTCTGAAAAAAATCAGCAAAATTGTACATAGGATAATTGATTTATTATGATGTAATCATCAGCTTCAATTGACCAAATCGGAAAAAGCTAGCACTATTTCTACCATACATGTTGTCTTAAGAATAAAATTACGCAATCTTACAACATCATCATTGTTAAAGTTTTTACACCAAGTTGTAGATAATTGAATGAAGTAAATTTTGGAAAAGTTTGAACATCCTAACTTTACTAATTAATTTATTATGATGTAATCATCAGCTTCAATTGACCAAATCGGAAAAAGCTAGCACTATTTCTACCATACATGTTGTCTTAAGAATTAAATTACGCAATCTTACACCATCGAAGTTGTTAAAGTTATTACATCAAGTTGTCGATAATTGAATGAAGTATATGTGGGGAAAGTTTGAACATCCTAGCTCTAATCATTAAACATTTACAAGGGGGCTGCCCTTTTGACCTCCCCCCTTGGGTGTTCGTGTGACTATTTTTACCTCAGAGCTTCTAGGGTTAATATTTGACATGTGAATATAAGCATGGCATACTGTCTAATGACACTTTGGGGAGTAGGCGGTCATTTTGAAAAATGTCCACCATGTATGTGTGTGCAATTTTGTTGCAAACATATGAATTGTACATTTGTTGAAATTTTATATGTGCCTACTTAGAAGCATGTTACATTTTGTTACACTTTCTTATTAAGGTTAATGCTTTTAAAGTAGAAATCGTCAAAAGCCATATAGATTTTTTGAATAAATACAATAATCTTTCCTTTTATTTACTTGACATCTAATTACATAAATACCCTTATAAAGCTAGAGTTATTGCTGGTTCTAAGTCTGTTCCAATACCAAATTGTTTTGGTTATACACTAGATTTCCTTAAGCTGTTAAAAATAATAGTCTATGTTTCAGAACTCTGGGGTTAATCCAAAGATAATTTATCAACATTAAATCATTTAATATCATTCTCCAAAAATGTATTTCCACTTGGGGAGATATTTTCACATTGGACTTTAACTATTTCACCATTAAAAAGTGGTGACATATTGTTATGGTCTTCGTTTTTGACGACATTCGGCGGTTGGTGGTTGACGATCGGAGTCTGTTAGAACTTCCAATAATTTAACAAATATACTGTAGAGACTGACTTCAGTTGTATTTCAAAATCATCCATATGATTTCAGAAGTTCAAATCTGATTTTATATTTAAGATTTGACCGTCAATGACCTTTTCACGGTCAAAAAAGTATTGTTTCAACTTGCTTCAAATTGACCATTTTTTCAAAATTATCTATAAGTTATCAGAAGTTCAAATCTGACTTATGATTTGACCTTCAATGACCTTCTTAAGGCCAAAAAGGTCAAAAGGTCTTTATTTCAAATCGACCAATTTCAAAATCATCTACAAGTTCTCAACAATTCAAGACATTTCGTCATGTTAATGCCTTGTTTGGGTTCATTTTTCTTTGTGACTGTGTGCTCGATGACGTTTGCTTTTTCTTGCTGGATTATGGAACCATTTTGGTCCTTTCCCTTTTGCTTTTGTGCGTTCATATCTTAAATGCCTTGATATATTACGATGTGCTGACAACTAATATTATTTGAATAGAGGTAAGCCTCTGACAAGCCAATACTTAAATACTTGAATCTTAAATCAGTTTTAGAATTTTACAAGAGACCGGATGATTAATGAATCTGGAAATGTCACATAAGTTTTATTAGTCTTTATCCGTTTCAGAAGCATGTCTTTCGAGCCGATTGGAATTGGGGGAAATCAGTCATATGTGGACACACATGACAATGCTACACCTAAAAGCGTGGGAGCAGAAAACACAGTTGGAAAAAGCAAAAAATCAAAATCAAATCTTTTTCGTTGTGGACTCTGTGATGTTTTCTCTACATTCCATAAATCTAGTTTGATACGCCACATGCGAACAGCACATGAGGAAAAGGACATAACGTATGCATGTGATATTTGTCCGAAGGTTTATCGCTCGAAGATGCTATTGCAAGAACATATAAGGGGCGTACACGAGAAGAGGTACAGGTGCAGCCAGTGTCCAAAAGCACTATGTACAGCTAGTGGACTCAGGAGACACGAGGAGTTCATTCACAATGGAAGCATGCCTCATACGTGTGTGTTGTGTGACAAAAAGTTCAGAGATATGCAAGACTTAGAGGGACATATCAACAACATACACAGAAAATATGCACCGTTTTCCTGTGGTAAATGCAACAAAATGTATCACCATAGAAAATCATTATCTGAACACAAGGTGATTTTTAATGACAAACTTTATCTCACAAATTATCTTCTGTATATCGAATAAAAGTTAACCTAATGTATTGCCTACTTTAATTTTGCCATAGTTGTCAGTACTTTTGAGGCATGTCAAAATTACTAAAAACAATATTTTTCAAGATAAATTTCATTGATAATACTGAAGCTTTGAATCATTCACGCATATTTTTTAGAATAAGGAAACTTGGGTAAAATCCCCAATGTATTGCTCCATATAGGGATGAAATACTTGGCTGGAAAGGTGTTATATTATGTGTTGTATTGTTTTATAGGTAACCTGTCAAGGGATGAGAAGGTTCCAATGTAGAGTTGACCAATGTCAAAAGGTCTTTGAAACAAGAGCTGGAATGAATGATCATGAACGCGCAAAACACAGTAGAGACTTTCCTTATAAATGTGACAAGTGCGAAAAGAAATTTTCTTGGCGATCTTCATTAGCTAAACATAGGATGTCAGAGGGACATTAAGAAGTTAGTAGTCATAGGCTGAGTGTTGGACACAAGTTTGTATTGAAAAAAAGGTTATTGAAGTTGAAGTTTTTCATAACATATACGTGCTATTTAAAGAGAATTACATTACACTCTATACAATAATTTATTTTATGTAGAAATTTAAACACTGTGTTCAACACAGTTATTGTATAAGTTTTCTGTCATTAAAGAGTACAATTTATGGTACTTAACAGGAAATGACAAAACAGCAAGTGACAAAATATCATTGAATATTATTTTAACTAAGATAACAGAGTTAGTATAACTAGTTCAACATATCATAAAGCCAAAACATGAAGAAATAACTTTTTCAGTCCTTTGAAAATGTGACTGAAAACTAGCTAAAAGTAGCACCCTGGGAAAGGTCACTAAACAGAATCTTTTGAATTTTTCAGAAAATATGCCCAATATATTGCTCTAAATGATACAAGCTGTGCACAATTGTCTGAGTCCAAAAATGACCAGAAGTGACCCCGTATCCAAAAACTTTGATAAATTGTATCTTTTTTCAGGGTCGCCCCTGGATTCTGGAGCTTTGCAATTTCGACTTTCTATGATGAACAAAATGATAAATGATATATGAAATGATAGGGTAGCGTTGCTACATGTATGAGTATTTGGGGGGGGGGGGCATACACTAGTACAACACTTCCACATACCTCAAGAGGAAATCTCACAAATGGCGATAGACACCCCTGGGGTCACTTAACATTTTAAAAAAATGCTTTGTCGTTAATATCCTTGATATCTAGGATCAAATTGTAGATAAATATGCATTATTTAAGAAATAGCAATAAAAGCAATATTCCTGATATAAGTATATTTTGGTCGATTTTGCAAGTATGTATCACTTCCTGTGAAAATATAGTAGGCATTTTTATCAGTTTCAAAAAATGTCTCCAGAATGTATAAACCAAACTTGGCAGATGTCAAATTGTTTAATTGTATCTCTCTATACACCCATATTTCATACAAATAAACAGTCATATTTCAATAGTCATTGAGTGGGTATTAGTTATGTTTGCGATTATATGTTGACCTACTTATTTTTAGAGAGAGGAAGGTCATGATAAACTCTTGCTTTGTTCATATAACGCATGGTTCTGTCCTAGAAAGTTATATGAAGTGAGGGAATGGTGCACCTCTAAGGTACATCTTGAGATATGTAAAATCTAGGTAAAGACCAGGTGTTGTGCAAAAATGGAACTTTTATGCAATTTTCAGCATGAAATAAAATGTGAGCCATTTTGAAAATCCTTAGAATGATTGTAACAATTGTGTTTTATATATTCAAGTTTATTTTCTTATTTCATATGATCATTTCATGAACCAATATGTATGCTTGCACTGAAGCATGACCTCTAGAGAATCATATATTTTACCATGGCTCTAAACAACATAATAACATGTAATTCCTTTCTATACATTCATATAATTGCAAAATTAAGATAGTTGTTAAACAATCATGTAATCCTCACGTGACAGGTGTCTTTTTGTCAATGAATAATAGTTTTATATTATCACAGTTCATTGGCTGATCCTACCAATGTTCATATTTAAAAAGTCAAGCTCAACTTTATTGTGCAGAAGAAATATAAGTCACAATCAGGAGGTGCCAAAGCATTTTAAATTACATTTTAAATTCAAAAGATATGCCTGAGAAATGTTGTCATCTGAAGAAGATGATGATGTCATAAGAGTCTTATAATGAACAAACATCGTCGCATGAGAATAACTTTGTACTATCTCACATTTTTACGGAACTGAGAAATCAAGGTTTGAAAGTTTAGAGGTCTGTATCTTACTTAGTATTGCTATGTGAAACTTGATGTTTTGTATGTCACCTGGTCTCACCCTAGAGATATCTTATATGAAATATCATACCTTGAAACAATTTACAAGATCCTGTTTTAAAACTATGGAAATGGAGTTGATACAATTTCCCACCGGAATAACAGCTTATTTCTAATTTCTAATTTCAAATTGTCATATCTGATATTAACTGTTTCAACCAATCAACTCTCTAAGAATTGGTCATGCGACTTGCAAAACTTGGAGTTATAACAATCTTATATTAAAACAAAGTATGCCAATATGCATGTTATTGTATCGAGAATGAAAAATAATGTTTTGCTTTGTAAAAAAATCTTCAAAAACCAAAGAATATTATTTAATAAAATAAGGAAATTCAATTTATAAAACTTTAAAATCAATTTCTCAAATAAGTACAATTATTTCTTAATTTTGGAATCTCAGGACACCCTTCAAAAAGAATTTATTGCCTTTGAAATTAAGGCAGAAGTACAATGCATTGAATCCAATGATGCCAATACGGTCCCCCACATATTTCCCTCGGTATAAACCCTGTAGCCTAAACCTCCCAGCACATTACAATGTAGCCCCTAAGGGCCGGTCCGCTGGTCATTATCAGGTTATTTTTGATACAGACCAGTTGATTTTTTCACTGGGTATTGGAGAATAACATTGCAACTGGTCCGTAATTCCATTTTGACCAGCAGGTTTCAGATCCTTAGGGCCTAAGACATAACCAATTTTTATTACATGCACATGGAAGAAATTTGAAAATAGAAAAATAATTTCTAATTCATTTTAGATTAATGAAAGTGATGAAACCTCGATTTAGGTAATCACATTTTGTTCATTGGGATGCAGCTATCATTATCCATTCATTTTCTGTTGTTTGCTACTCTGTGGAGTACAATTGAGAATTGAAGCAATTGTAGAAGTGGAGACTAAGAGTGGCTCTTTGTAAAGAAATTGAACCAATTTGTTACTTTTCCAAAATAAAATCTAGATGATCTAAAAACAATGGTCCCCAAAATGCAAAAGAAAGGACAAGTCTGAAAAACATACTAGTAATAAAATAACTAAAAAGATCTTAGATGTTCAGTGAAAAGCGCAAAGTAAATCATAGATGAAGAGAAAATAAAATAGGTGTTTTAAGGGACTATACTAACATAAAGATAACTCCTTATTGATATAGTGTATGATCAGTAAAAGTTAAAGCTAGTTTAAATAGATTTAGCTTTTTTCCACAAACTATAAAACATCATTTTGAAAGAGATTTCAATAGTATACAGACAGTGATTGCCTTTGAGCAATGTAGTGCAAAATATGACAGTTACTATTTGTTTTGATTACTATATCTAGTATATAACCTATTATTATGTACTCTATTTGAAGAAACAAATAAGTAGTCTTTCATTTTCAACATTTAATGATGACAGCTTCGTATATGCATTTCTATTGCATTTGGCCATTCAAACCCCTATAAGACCTGGTAGCAGTGAAGATAAAGGGTACTTTTGACTGCTCACATGATCTAATTAACTGGTCATTTGTACTTTTCATCTTCCCTGGTAGCAAGGATTTAGGTTTTCGAGGAAATTAGTAATTCTATTTCATATCATGTGGCCATGAATAATCCAATGAGCATCCATAATACAAAGAGTAATTGAGGGCATATAATTTGAATATGCATGGGATTACACATACTGTATCATTTTATTTTTTTGACTCTACTTGTAATAGTTCTAAAACTAAAACATGAAAGGCCAGGCATGCAAACTGGCATGGTATTGTGTTACAAAACATTATTTCATTCTAGATACAATAACATGCATATTGGCATACTTCGTTTTAATATAAGATTGTTATAACTCCAAGTTTTGCAAGTCACATGACCAATTCTTAGAGAGTTGATTGGTTGAAACAGTTGATATCAGATATGACAATTTGAAATAAGAAATAAGCTGTTTGTCTGGAGATGGTACAATTTCACACTGAATTCTAGCTTAATGAGAGGGAATTGAGATGGGGCATGTATCTGAGATGAAAGCCTGTGTTTCAAATAGTAAAATTCCATGTCTATCTCAATTTTTTTGAAAATGGCAGTTAGTACAAAGTTATTCTCACGCGACGACATATAAATGTGCTCATCTACACTTTTGAAGATTGAAGAACAACAGTTATGTAAAGTCCAGAGTAACCTTTGAGAAATTGTTATTTTTCATGTGTTTTCAAATGTTCCCCTTTGTGCTTCCTCACTGTAATATGAAATAATAAATTCAGTAATTTACTTCCACTTAAAGCAATTGATCTTTGTGAGCACAAAATGTTTAGGTTTTCCAAACACTGTTACAACTGGTACAATGCCTTTATTTGTTTATAATGTTGCAATACTTAAATGACTGAAATTAAATTCAAGTCTGATGATTTCAGAGTAATCAGCATGAACATGCACTTTTTGTTTAAGGCAAACAAATCTTTATTATTTTGGATCAGGGTTTGTCAATTTTGAATTAAATTTTGATAAGGCAACTCATTCACATATGCATGAATAATAGTGATTTACAGAATACATGTGTACTAACTTTGTCTCAATAAAATAGCATTAAAACCCATATCTTGTTTTGTATGATATAAAATAAAATTGATTGTCACTTAACTCATAAAATGCATCTAATCAATGTCATATCCTGAATGTTTTTGATGGAGTACATTTGCTTTGATTCTTTTGTGAATCTGACTTATGAGAGGTGCACTGAAAATGACCTGTTCCTGGTTCTGTCTGATCATATGCTATATAAATGGCATAGCATCATGTCAAATGGCCCTGTGCTTTAATTTTCATATGGTTTTCCTAATTAAGTGAATTCAAATGAAAATTGAAATATTCCATGGCCAGTTGTGCAAGTGGACTGCGTATTGCTGGCAAAAGGAAGAGAATGCCTATGACAAATGCTGAACGATCCAAGCGGTGACGACAGAAGCAAAATCTTCATAATGCAGCAGAATATCGTCAGAAACGCCAAGAAAGGTACAAACGTACCTACATCTTACTTCCTGCGAAAGCTATTGGATTTTGACATAAGTTTCAAAATCTAACATGGCTCTCGAAGTGAGTAACCTACATCCCGCATTGTCAACTTTCTGCGAAGGAGCTCAAAGCCACGAGAGAACGCGATCGAACATTCAAGAGACAAACTCGAAAACGCAAACGTCAAAAACTGAATTCATCGCTTGATTCAGACAAAGCAGTGACGTGCTACCAAGGTCCTGGTTTTAAAATAAAGCTACCAAATAAAAGCAAAATACCACATGTGCTCAAATAGCAAACTGAGTAAACAAACATTATGGAAAACAAGGTCACAAAACAGAAATATATTTGCAACAATTATATGAAACAGTGTTCACCAAACAGTTAAGATATGAGTTTATTTTAATTTACGAGCGTAGAATTAGAAACAAGTAGTGGTCTTTTTCCATTTTTACCTGTTTTTACATATTTATACTATTTTGAAACAATTATAAACTATAGTTGGCTCTCAACTAATTTTACCTTTTTGATTAGTTATACTCTTTAACTCTTAAACGGTTATGCTATAGAGAATTACACCAACGGTTAGGGGGGGGGGGGGCAGATCTGAAACGGACAATCATATGACATTGTATGAAGGTGTATTAGGTATCATTGAAGGTTATTCAATTCCCTGCAGTATTTTGAACTTACTTATAAGTATATTGAGCTTTTTATTAATTAAGAAATTCATATTCTAAGAACAAAGGGGGATTTCGTATCAAAAAACTGACAATTTGGGTATTTTACGAACTTCGATCAGCTGTAACATCCTAGGGGGGGGGGGGGGGTACAGTCACAATAATTCTTGCGCTAAAACATGCCTAATTCAGTTTCAGAAAGCTCAGACCCCCTAACCGTTTAAGGGTTAATCTAGCTTCACCAGTGTAAAATAAAATTAGTGAAAATAATTTAAAGTTACTTTTGTTATCTATATAGTCTCAATTTTTTCCAGTTTACCCGTGAACAATTAGAAAGAATAAGCAATTCTAATCACTTTTGTTATCTGTATAATCTTGACACTTTTAAAACAATTATCTGTTTTACCTGTGTACAATGAGAAGTAATATATACTACTTTTGTCAGCTTTAATCTTGACACTTTCAGGATAATATTATAAGGTTTAACCTTCAAACAATTAGGAAGGAAGAAGTAATTCATATTGCTTTTGTGTTCAGTTTGTTGTCTGTATAATCTTGACACTTTCATGATAGAAATATTCAACTTCAATTTTAAGGGGCTCTACATGCATGTATAGTTTGGTAGAAAAAGGATCAAATAATCACTGAAACACGTTACACACTAATTTGCATTGATAGTAAAGTTAGAAAAATAAACCATGAGAACCAGAGATCGTTAGTCGTACATGAACACGTTTGACAAAGAGCATTGTTGGTAAATAATTCTTGATTGAAAGGATGGCAACATCACAAATGAATGAAACACGTGATACAAATAACTTCGCCATCTTTCTTTGACATGCCGACCGCAGAACTCTGTTACAGACGCCAAATCCGATCACAAAAAGTTGGAGACTATTGAAAACTATTCTTGACGTGTCAAGTTTTATATATTTTATAAGATTTTACCCATTTCAAAGAAAGATGGCGAAGTTATTTGTATCACATTTTGCCTTGTCGTAATTTCCAAGTGGCTGCAACTGAGAAGATGGCTAACACTAAGTCACAGTGTTAATATAGACTGTAAGGTATTGATTGCATATTTTTGGAATGTTTCAAAGCAATTTTATTCTTCGGAACGCTCATAAAACATATTTATGAAGACAAAATTGGATGGGGTTTATTAATTGTATGCACTCTAATGAGCTCGTTTTACCCCAAAATAATAATAGTTGACTAATGAACGAATATTATATATAAAGAATTTTAAAAGTGTTAAACTAGGTCAATGCTGTGCTTTTCATAGAATCTGCTTGAAGAACGTAATATTTTTGCATTTGTTAGCATTTGATATGGAGGGAGCAGCAAAGGGGCCATAATTCAAAAACAAGTTATCAATAGATTTGATATTTTCATGCACTAAGTAGATGGCGTCATCTCATTTTTGGTAATTTTCAGACAAGTACACTAGGAAGGTTCACTTACATGTATGTCTTTTGAACTGTAGTGTAGTTTTTGTTGTGCTCGGAAAATTTTAAGGAAGTCATTCTTGATTTTAGGAGCAATATTGGTCTTTCTGTGCCTTGTTTATGCCTTCAGTACGCCATGTGAGTGTCATTAATCGTATAAAATGGTGTTTGTTTTAAGGTACACTATTGTTTACTATTTGCCTTGTTTTTACTTTCAGTATGGCGTATGGGTGTCATTTTAAAGTACAATATTGTTTACTTTTTGCCTTGTTTTTGCTTTCAGTATGGCGTACAAGTGTCATTTTTGTGGAGCAAACTTTGCGACGAATTTCAACAAGAAACGACATATAAGAAGTAGACATTTGGGGGATAATCCATTTACTTGTCATCATTGTGAGAAAACATTCAAAAGAAAGGACAGCTTTATCGACCATGTGAAGAAGAGGCATACGTCCAATGATGAAACTGAGAAGTTCATTTGCAGTAAATGTGAAAAACAGTTTATATGTAAACGTGCTTTGCGCAGACACGAACATATTCATATGGACACAAAGTATTATTGTGACATCTGTCAAAAAGAGGGCCTTCAACTCGAAGTTCCAAGATGGTATAAAACTAAAAGATATTTAGCTCAGCACAAAAGGCTCGCTCATAGATATACGTGTACTTCATTTGTTTGCCCAAATTGCGGTAAAGTATTCAAAAGAAACAAGAGTTTAAATTATCATATTAAACATAAACATCCTGGCTAATTTCTGGGATTCCACTGGCAAATGTGTATTCACTTATATGTCATTAAATAAATACTAGTAATTAGTTTTTATTACGTTTTTATTACTTTAGATACATAAAAAGTGTACCTGTTATTAAATAAATGTTTTAATTTTTGATAACAATTAAAGAATGTGTTTCTTGGTGTTACAAAGTTGTTGATGCATTGATTGGTGGCCATTTATAATTTCAGTTCTGTCTTGTCCATTTATGACAAGGCAGTGCCAAATAAAAACTAAATGCCCAGATTCCCAAAAAATACCACTTTGACAAATTCAAGAGCAACATTCAAGATTTTTTGTTCGCATTTGATCCCGTGAATATTAGCCCTAGGATATATCTCACCGTGTCAGCATGCATGGGGATAGACAAATATACCCCATGTTTCACCCCCTTCTTGAAATAGACTGTTTCTGCTTATAAAATGCACCCCTCCCCATTCGTTTTATCCCAGCAACGTCCCTATTATCCCAGAGATGTAATGCGTCGTTAACAAACGTTTGAGTACAAAAATGATGATCACTTCTGATTGCACATGTAATCTTTTATTCAAAGATACGCATAAATACAACGATACAATCTGATTGATCGAGAATTATACAAGAAACACAATGATATACCACAATATGAATATTGAAACGAGATAAAAAATAATTGCATGTCCATTTGAGATTTTGTACATTGATCTATTTTACATAATTGTCATGGATACATTGATAATATGAGATTACTGTTATTATGAGACTGGTGGTTATCACTGTTAATATTGATTATTACACATGAGCATAGTTTTCCTTTTTTCATTGGAGCCCATACTATATGAAAGGAAATATCCATCTGTGAACTGCTAACCGCATCATTGTAATAAATCACAAATGTTAAAGAGACACGGACGGTAGTATGTTATAAGTCTTATTTGCGATTACTGAGTTCCAATATTTTGTTATGTTTTGCAGTTGGATTATCCTTTCCCTTTTGACTTTGTTTCTTCTTTAGATTTACCTCCTTTTTCAGCTTTACTTTTATCTCCATTTTCATTACTTTTACCATCATTTTCTTTACTATAGCCTTTCTTTTCTTTTTTATTAGCTTTTCTCTGCGATTTTCGCCGCTGCTTTAAGTCTTCTTTACTCATTTTTTCTGAAACCAATATTACTTAATTATGAATTGTAGGAGACAGACAGAAAGTACAATTTTAATGTAGACCATTATAATAGGCCCGTGTTAAAGGGCCGGCATCTTATCTACCCAATTTTTAATTTATCATGATAAATATGCACCAACATGAACATGCATCAACATTATGCTTTGCTAAAAATTGTTTTGTGAAATTATCACCGTTCATGTAGAAAATGCCTTTTTAGAATTGAAAACGATGAGTACAGGGTTGTACAACGTATGATTCATTTTGAAACTTGCCATTTTGCTAAACTGAGCAAGCTATTTCTTTCCAAAAATAATGTTTGTACACACACCAGATCAACCCTCTATATTTTGATCTGAAAAGCCCATTCGATTGTAAAGACAGAATTTCATAAATGGCAGAATTTCAAAGACCTTTAAGTTGTATTATATCAAATAATTTTATTTTCACCATGTGTTATTGGCAAAAACTTTATAAGAATCATGTTGTTCTAAATGACGTGTCTAGCTATCAACAATTATGGAATAAAGTTCATCGTTTTTCTTTTTGTTTATCCATGTCCCATCTTGACATGATTGGACGAAAGATAAAACCATACCCTCAAAGACTGGACTGAACTGCCGTTTTATATACTTAAGTATACTATTCCTTACTTGTATTTTTGTAGAAATTAGTAATTATGTTTATCCTATTGTCATTTGTTGATTTATCTTTAGGGCACGCGCCAATGCTTACAGTTGGCGGATGCCTTCTTGGCGCAGCAAGGCTGTCCTGGGCATCGTTAGAAGTAGCATCATCAGAAGCGTTGTAACATAGCACCGGATGAGGACCAAATAAAACATTTGTATGAGCACTGAAATATAATTTCAAAATTGAAGTATGTTAAAATACAGATTTACACCTCGACGACAATGTGCTTTTGACAAGTCTTAGCCCTGAGCTCGAATTACTTTGTAATTGTGCATTTTACTAGGCTTGTACATGTGTTCGGATTACTTTGTTTGTGGAATGGACATTGTTCTTAAATTACTTTTATGTGAGTACTGGAGTAACAATCACTTTAACATTTTTGTTTTTTGAGAATCACCAAAATTTACTTTTATCAAATCCAAGCCCATGACCTTACTAGTTTTCCTTCAGAATTTTCCTCTAAGCAAGTTTTTTAAATAACTGAAATATTTAGCATTGTGTCGGGAAGTTCATTGTTAAAGTTACAGATTTTGCCTACCATTTTTCATACATCCTTTGTCATGAAATCTACAGGGATATATCAGTATATGGTTACAGTTAATGATTTTGCCTATCCATGATGCAGCAGCTGTAAGGAAATCTATTTTTAAAGTAATAGATTTTGCCTACCTACAATATTTGTTAGGAAACCCATTGTTGAGTTATAGTTTTTTGCCTACCTACAGCATTTGGGAAATCCATTGTTAACGTTAGATTTTGCCTACCATGTTGCATACATTATTTGCCACGAAATCTATGTGATTACATGATTTAAGTTCATGATTTTGCCTACCTAAAATATTTGTCAGGAAGCCCATTGTTAAAATAGATGTTTGCCTACCTACAACATTTGTGAGGAAACCCATCCTAAAAGTTATCGGATGTTGACCCTTTGAAACGCCTATGGACTTGGAGACTGGATTTTATCTATCCCACATCATTTGAGACTGAATGCCCTATCTTGTATGCGTACTTGTATCTACAACTATTTTTGAGGTTATGAGTATTGGCTATCAATTTCTAATTTTTTCTTCAACATGTATTGTAATGACTTCAGTATGAATGAAATATCCCTTGGTCTTCTGGTCTTGGATTGTGATATTGGTTCTTGAATGGTGGGGGAAAGGGGGTATTAGACATTGTTTCTTTTCAAGTTAGATCGTGGTTTTTGGCTATATGGGGTTTGTTTTTCTTGACTGGTATGCACTTAGAGTTTGCTTTTCTTGCTAAGTTCCATTACAACTTTTGGTCATTTCCCTTTGGCACTAGTGCTTATATCATGTATATATTTACCTATACCTATTCTATTTGTCATGAAACCCATTGTTGAACTTATAGTATTTACCTTACTCCATTTGTCATGAAACTCATTGTAAAATTATAGATGTTGCCTACCTTAAGCATTTGTCATGAAACCCATTGTTTCTTGCTATTTTTAAAACCATTATTAAAATATATCTGTCACCACGTTTGCCTTCTACAACAGTAGTCATGAAACCCATTGCTTTTGCTTGCTAATTTTGAAACACCATTTGTTTTAAAATCTGTAGCTATACATAGTTAAAGATATATCGTTTGTCTACCTACACCACTTGTCATGATATTCATTGTTTTGCTTGCTAATTTTGATACACCATTTGTTTTAAAATCTGTAGCTATACATAGCCTTGTTAAAGATATAACCTTTACCCACCCACACCATTTGCTTTAGCTTGCTAATCTTGATACACCATTTGTTTTAAAAGCTGTAGCTACCGCGTGACACGAAAAATGACACCCATCCCCATTATGTTTCATAACTTTTTTGTCTGAAGAAATTCTGACTTGTTTTCCGCACATTAAAACGTCACTCCAATTTGCAACTCTACAAGAAGTTTCAAAGGACTAGCTCACCTAGATGCACATTTATGAGCGTTACAACATGTGTCGTCTATTCCTTTGCTGGCACAACTTGATCTTACACAAAAAATGACACCCACCCTTTGTAGCATAATTTTGGAAATAATCTATAATGATTTTATCAACAAAAACTACATTATTTTGTGTTCAATTGAATGGACTTCATTTCCCTGAAAGTACAAGCCAAACTCATTAGTATTTACAAAGCTATGCTAAAAAAGTTTGGTTGCATTTTTGTGTAGGATCCATGTGTGTCTGCAAAGGAATGGATGGCATTTAGAGCAAATGTTGTAACGCTCATAAAAGTTGACCCTCTTGAGCTACACTGGCTTTGGAGGTGCTTTCTCATTATGTCTACTTTAAATGTGTTAAAGGACAAGTCTATATGTCAATAGTCAAACATGTTATACAACATAAGATGTGTGTTATTTTTTGTGTCACCCTGTATATAAAAATAAGATATATCGTTTGCCTACCTACACCATTTATCATGAAATCTATGATTGAAGTTAAAAATTTTCCCTGGTTGGTCACATGTAAAGTTGAGTAGATCCAGAGCTGGTTGCATTCCACATCCCACTTCATCTAGGAGATAACAAAGCTGCATCTCCATGAGGTTGCTAGGGCAGGGTTCACAAGGGTTGCAGGGGCAATTGGGTGGAGGATCCGTGGGGCAGTTGTACAACCCAGAAACACCGGGGAGTATCATTACTCCCACTAAAAGCAGTATCGACATTTTGTCTCGTTGTTGCACCTCTGATTGGAGGACTGAAACCAGAAGATAATATCCGTCAATTTTGCATGATGTGGAGTCTTCTGTGAGGGTATGGGGGTCGTAATAGGAGTGCAGGGGGGGGGGGTATTTTGGTAGGATGTAGTGGAGATTGTAGTCAGTGGGTTGTGGAATGCAATCCGCTCTGAACAGACAGCTGAATTTTTGGGGTCCATTCTTTGTATTGGCTGAATTTCGAACCAATGATCCAATACTAGTGTGAACTTTGTGCGTAATGCATCATCTGATGTCCATGTACTATATTGTTAGGGTTTACTTCCTCCAGTCCTCACGTTTCACAGTCGGATGTCCACATTGGATGATAAACCATATTAAAGCCTGATTTATGTTTGAGTATGGATCGGACATTTTGACACATTTTATGAATTTGTTAAATTTGCTAAACACAAACAAGTTTTAACACGAGGTCAGAAAGAGACTTCCTTTTGTCAAACTGTTTGACAATGTTTGAAGGAAATATAAACCCGTTTTTCCATTCTGACCTACCTACACCACTGCTTGTTGTATCTATGCTGTGACGGTGTCACGATTTGAGTCTTATAAGAGTTATCCACCGTGCAATTGAAATATGCAGCAAGTTTGATCAGAGCTTCTCGCATTCCACATCCCGGCGTGTCCATTATGTAACATAGTTGGGTTTCCATCAAATTTTCTGGGCAGGGAGAGCAGGGGTCACAGGGGCAGTTTGGGGGTGGATCGTCGGGACATATGTAACCAGACACCCCGACACCAACACCAAGTGTAACAAACAACACGCACCAGATCATATCCTAGCGATAAGAAAAGAGTACAGTATAATGTCGAACACTTAAAAGACTCAAACATGCGTGAGAGCGTGAACTAAAATATATGCTAAATTAACGTAGGTAATATACATTTTTTAGTTTCCATGTTTTCTAGTTTCAAAGTTTCCCCTCTGTAATTTTCGGTCAATCATCTTGCTCCATTTCAACTAAATTCACCATTTTACATGTTTTACACTCACGAGGATTACCTTTGTAAATCATTTAAATTACCATTGCACAAATATGAGGTGTCATATGCATATAGGTCTACTGAACGCTTACAATTTGCATTGTGTAATCTATACGTAGATATAAATAATAAACAATTATACTTTCATTTAAATTCATCATTGATTAATAACCAGGATACCCAGCAAAATATATTTAATTAGTGCTTGCATCAAACCCAATATGTCAACTCGTTTCAAATTTAATCTTGAAACGAGTTAACAAAAATGAAACTCAGAATAAATGTGGTTACCTCCTTTCGCTTTCCCGTCTTGATGTCGTGTCCCAAAATGCTATTTTCTCTTACTACTCACTTCGTCATTGTGGACGTTACTGTGACGCTTGGAGTTACATATTCCTTATAACATCCCACTCGCAGGAAATTACCTTTAATCTTAATTGTATTTATTTTTTATAAAACACCACTGATTGTAATTAAATGATAACTTTTACGAATAAATTATAAAGCAAATGAGCAGTAATTATAAAGAATTTATTTATAGCTGATTTTGAGATTGATTAATAACTATTTCTATTTAGATTCATCGCTCATGGATGCATAATTCATGCACTACAGATTTACTTGCATTAGAGGGGGTATATCATATATATCATAGTACACCAGCAATTGGGGAACTAAACCTGAACGCGATATCTGTAAACGCCCACTTCCCCGTCCCCATTAAATACGCCTTCGTGTGGTAGAGCCCCCTCATTACACTTATCTTTCTGGAATAGAGTCCCTCATAACTCAACACATACTCTTGTGACATACCACTCTTTCTATTGTAGATACATGTATGCCTCCTGATACATCCCTTAATCGTATTCTCCATTCTTCCAGAGTCATCGCTTATTTGTACATATCTCTGTTTTTTCAAAATGCAGCGATGATATAAAAGTGCATATGATCCATAACTAGTAACAAAAACACGTCAATCGTACATCAGTATTTATATTCTAGGCTATCTACTTTGTCATACAAGTGGAAAAATTGTCTTTCACGATTTTTGTCAACAATTAAAGTTTACCATTTTGTTGCCAGCACAACAGGTAATCATGGCCATCGTATGTTCAAAAGTTGGCTCACCTTTTCTTCAAAATATCTTTTGTTTGACAGAAAAAAAGTTTTATTTTTATGCGGCTAAAATGATCTAAAATGATTTTTCAAAAATAGTAAGTTACAGTAAGTAAGTAACAATATTTTGTTGATATTCGTTGTCTGTCATTTAAAATGTATTACTTAAGGGCACTTTAAGGGCACATCAACAATGTTTATATTCAACCAATATGTCGGAGGATACACATATTTTACAAATCGTACATGTATGGTAAAAGCATTTCATTTCATGGGTAAAACGTATCTATCGTCGCCCATTTGGGAGCCGATCGCAAACATAAAGTATTTACAGGTTGGAAAATACAAACGCAATCAAAAGCCTGTACTGTAATCCGAGTTCATATTAGCCGCAAAAACCCAAACTTTTTTTCAAAAATTCCATTATCAAAGCTCATTTTAAATACCTCGTGGTCATGATTACCCGTTGTGATGTCATCAAAAGAGAGCACATATTAAATATCAGTGATATCAAGGTACATGGCTCAGGCCTTGGTAGAATAAAAGATCTTGAATATCTAAAAAGCCCACATAAAAATGGGCTTAGCGGATTTTCTCGCATATAAGCCCTGGGCGTATAACTGAAAGAAGGGGTAATTTCGTCTGTTATTTTACCTCTTATTTTTCGCCCATGGGCGTATAAGTGTACTACTTTCGATTTTTGGCCCAGTGGGCGTAAAGGTGAGAAGAGCTGATGAATACAAAGACTACCGTACCTACTGTTGTAGTCATACCGCATGTTTTGTAAGAATTATAAAGGAAATGTCACCTACAACCTTGGACTTAATGTTGAAACAAAGTAACAACAGAACGATCCACCACTGCCACTTACGGCACAGCGTTGAACTTAATGTTGAAACAAAGGAACGACAGAACGATCTGCCAGTGACAAAATACTCTTGAATTTATTGAAAAAAATGAATAAATAGCCATTTTTATAAGCCCATGTGCGTATAAGCGTACTACATTCGATTTTTGGCCCATGGGCCTAAATTTAGGGGGGGGGCGTATATGCGAGAAAATCCGGTAAAACGATGAGGGTCAAATTAACCTACTTTCGATTCCAAATGTCTATTAAACAAATTTCTGTAGCATTGCAGGTATAAAAGAAAATGCAAGAATACATACTTGGGGAACTTATGCATTTAGAATTCGAAATAGAATGCATTGTGTTTTTCAGGAGTTGTAGATATGGGCTAACTAAACTTATTAACGCATTGTCAATTATTAAACAACATGATAAGATGTCCCATTTTTCTATAGACATTGTCATAATTAGACTGTTGTTTGTTACACTTCTGTTGAACTGCAGTATCGGTATGTATATACAGGTTGTCCAAGAAGTTTTGTATCGGAATATATATACAGGTTGTCCAAGAAGTTTTATATGATGGTATGATATGTGCGATATGTCCGTGGCATTTTAATAAATAAACAATACAATACAATAGAATCGAGCAATCCATTAAACTTATCCAAGTAGCCTTACCCAAGGCTGTGCCTTTTTATTTATTTTATTCTATTTTTGTATATAATTGAAAATAAAAATAAAAAAAGATAATACAGACTTGGGCAAGGCTAAACACCAGGTATTAATTGATGAACTGCAATTCGAGTTGGCGTCTTTTCAATATTAGTAAGTCCAGAACAAATAGGTTGACAGAGCTGAAAAGGACTGACACCATTGTGGTTTAGCCTGTATTCCTGCCTTCGTTCAATTGTGCCCACCATCCTGTTGGCACAGCATCGCGCTGGGGTAAAGTTTCTTTTCGAATGTTCTCTGAAAACAAAAAAATATTTATAACAAAAGTCAACTTTCTTCTTCAGTAAACTCACTTTCTGAAAATCTTCTGAAAAATTATAATTTCAACTTGTTGGCTGGTTTTAAAATCAACATATATTTTGAAACACTATTTTATGGCAATATGAATGAAGGATACATGTATGTGGTACCCTAAACACACATGCGCTTCCTTCAATCCTTACGCGACGTGTCCTAGCGTATTATGAAATGCATACAAAATACTACTTTCAATGTATTGTTTGATAAAAATGTCCATTACCTCAAACCTGTCAGTATCTTCTATGGTGTAAAGCAAAATTAATTTTTATTAATTTTTATCTAATAAAAATTCTCCAGGTAAAAATAATATTAAAAAAATCATTTTAAAATCGTGGTGCTATTTTTACAAATCTATTTTCCTCACTTAACTATCTCAGTTTTAAAACAGGAGTTTTCCTGACGATTTAAACGTTGCCATAGGAACTTCCTTATGTAAAATGATTTTTAGTTACCACTGACTTATACCTTTGGACCCTATTTACAATTTAATTTAGACGGGTTACGCATGGCAAAAAGACTAACTTGAGAACCAGTGTGTCGGAGGATACACATATTACGAATTGAGAAATGCAATCTTTATGATTGTGTCAATCTCGAAAACCAATTAACCTATCTTGACAAACTCGCTTTTATAAGATTAGAAAATTTAATGTTTAAGGAAATGGGTATCATTGGACCTTGCGAGAGCTTCTGACACAGTCGAAAATGAAATTATACAATCTAAACTAGATTTTCATGAAAATAAAGATAATGTGAACGCCTTTTTAGAAGTTATAAACGGAAACATCATACTGTGATTAGAGATCATGTTGTGTTATCGTAACAGAAATTAATTTCATGCGGAGTTCCACAGGGTACCATTTTGGGCCCCCTTAAATATGCTCAAGTACCTTATTATTTGCAGACGACACAACAGTCAGTCGTCGACTAGGGGGAAAACTATGAAAAGTAGTCCTCGGATATGCTTGATAACAGATCATAAACACAGACTAGACCAGATACATCACTTTGCAGTACGGAGCTGATTACGAAATATAGAAACTATTTAGAAATACAGTACAACTCGTTGCATTTTGACGTACTTGTTTCTTTGTAGAATCCGGTCATGACGTCAATCCTCAATTTGCTGGTATTCTCCCCTTGGGGACACTTTCCAACTTTATTCGTTTTCTTTCGAGATCTTGTATGAGAAGATTTACATATAGGGTGGGGGCCAAATAGTGTATTTTCATGGGCCCTGAAAATAGAAACATCATTTGAGACCCCAAAAGTGGTGCCATTGTTATAACCTTTAATAACAAACTTTTTTGGGGACGATGTTCGGCGGTTCAAGTTCGGCGTCTGTTACAAATGACAGATAGTGACATTTTGTTCGTTAATGCTTCGTTCAATTCACATATGTGTATACACGCGGTCCTAACTGACCGTTAATTTGAATTTTTGACGTACCGGATGTTTGAAAATCAAGGATTACGAGTCTCATACTGCACCGTTTTTCAAACTTGTTCCATTCAAATCATAACAAAATCCCTTTCTGATGGTACATTATTCTCTTAAACAGAGTCCCTACTTCCAGCGGCATTTTGGTCCCCAGCTGTAAGAAGGCCTTCTAACAGCCGGGGACCAAAACGCTGCTAGAACGAGGGACTCTATACAATAAAGTAATGCACCGACAGAAAGGCAATTTTGTTTTGCTTTTAATGGTATAAGTTTGAAGGAAAACGGTGCAGTATGAGACTTGCAATCCTTGATTTTTAAGCATCTGGTAGGTCAAAAATTCAAATTAACGGTCGAAGTGAGTACCGCGTGGTAGATAGGAAATCTGATGTATGATAATTTCCCGAAATGGAAAAATTTCCTACTTGCACCATCTTTCGTGGAACTGATGTTTCTTGTTGCGGACTTTGCCAGGCTTATCACATGGAAAGGTGAGTAAATTAAGAGCTGCTGGCATGCCGCATTCGGCTGTATCCAGGAAATAACAGAGCTGCATCTCCATTAGGTTCTCGGGGCAGGGTTTGCATGGGTCACATGGGCAGTTTGGAGGCGGATCGTAATCACAATTGTAAACAGCTAGAGTTCCTTGCAGTAAAAAGTAGGTACATGGCAACCATACATAATACATGCTATATACTCCTTTCTCAAAGCCTGAAATATATTAAACATATGAGTTACAGTCAAAAAATGAATAAAAATACATGGATGCTATGGTATAGCTAGCTAGCCACGTTCTCATAGTTTTTAATACAAAAATTAATGCAGGATCAGTTATTGATGGAAAGAGCCATTTTAGATAACCAAGGTATGAAGTTTTGATATTGATTGATAATCAAACTGGTAAACGACTATAGGAAAGGGCCTCTGAAGGCCAAGAAAACTGTAGAAGCTTTCAAAACATTTAATAAACATTGGATATAAAAGGTTCTGCCAGATTTGCTTAAATATGGTCCCATCTGTCGACGTCTATAACACACACTCACACAAGAATTTGATAAAACTGTAGTTATGTTTTCTAATGTAGTTATGTGTAAGAACCTGCTGATAATTTATATATTTTGGTTTCACTATTAATATCAATACTGAGATGAAATGAGATGTCATGGTTTATCATGAATGTTTAAGGGCGATTTAACTCGTCAAAAGGGAGGTCAAGATACACGTTTTTTAGACTTGTACGTGAACGTGTAGGACTATAGTCCTCTTCTGGATTAGTTCTCCCATTTCTACTGCCACTCGGCCGATTGAGTATAAAGACGGAAAATAACTATAATTCAACGTCCCTGGACATGGAAAAGTGAATTGAAAGCGGTAGAGTTATCCCCGGGGATCGAAATATTACACGCTCACGTACAGGATCTCTTAAAATACTTAAACTCCCTAACAGTTCTCCCTGATAATAAACATCAATCCATGCATCTTTTTCAATGAGACAGATTTTCAATATATAATAGCTTAACAGTAAATAAATATACAAATAAAAAATTAGTAAAATGCAATTTAGATATTTACCTTGCCTTTCTTTACTTGCCTTGGTGTGTGAAAAGCCTCACTTTTTCAACTACTAACTTTCCATTGCGAGATATTTAACTGTTATCAGACAGTACAAACCTATAGAAATGATAAAATGAACAGAGAACACAACAAACCGGAAATTCAATTTTTATCTTCACATAGCGAGTTATATTTGAATACATCGCATTGTGTTGTTTTATTGTGTTTTGAGTAATGTAATAATGATTCCAAAGGAAATATGAGATGTTTAGTTCTTATCTGAAAATATGATGTATCTACAAGGATGTAGCCTACAGACTGATCCAGAGAAAACAAAGCTATTTATCTTACTGTAACGGGGCGAGTGGAAGGCCCTTGGGTGGCAATCAAAAACAGTAGATGTAGTTAAAATGTTCTCTAAAATATCTATTTGAAATTCTCTGTGTATGTCCAGTCACACTCTAGGCAACACTAACAAGTAAAGAGACAACACCCCAACTCAGCTACATGTGAGTGAATGCTATTATATGGAATACAAAAACAGTATGAAACCATCACACCATGAAAAGCTAAAAAAACTGGTTTAAACAAAAGAAGCTAAAGTAGAAAGTATACAAAAGAATTGAAAACATTGGAATTAAATATTTGAAACTGGTGTAAAGTAATGAAGGGACCCGTTAAAATGACATGGATGGGGATTGGTCAATATGAATAGTAGAAATATAAACAATGTGAAAATGACCATGTTACATCCACGCGGACACGTCCTAATGCGTCCCGCATTAAGCCTTACACGGCCACAAAATATGGGAAATATAAAACTTCACTATTCAAAATGGTTTACAATAAAATATTAAGTAATGGTTTAAACCTCCCCTTTTAACATCCACTACCAGAACAAAATATAGTATAAATAACACCATAAAGAATATAGTGGATTGTTGAATCAAACAAAATTAACTGAATTACATTTTACGATGATATTTAAATGACATATTGAATCAATGCTACACCTTAAATGTTAAAATAGGCTTAATTGTATACCTGAGAAATAAAGGCAAAATGTTTATAATCAAACAAGTATCCCTTGGCAACACCATTGTAGGCTTACATAGGCCTAATCTACATCATTATAGACAAAATATTACACCATGGTAGGCTGTGATACACCATTAAAGGCTAAATATACACCATTCAAGGCAAAGTAGTACACCAATTCATAGGCAAGTAATACACCACTTAGGCAGTTAATACACCATGATGGGCCATTATACACCATTTTATAGGCAGCAATACACCATTTTAGGCAGTTAACTTATACACCATTTTAGGCAATAATACATCAATATAGACGGTCATACACCATTTTAGATTAAATATTACACCATTGGGGATTTTAGACAATATGAACATTAAATGCAAATATTACGAGCATAACAAATTAACCTACAAACAGTTTTAAATGCAGCAGAGAAACAAACTTTATCACTTGCATGAATAGCATAATGTCATTCAATTAAAATATAAGAATGTGTTAGAATATAAAACATATGGTTGCAACCAGAATTGTTAAAGACATGATTAAAATACAGTCATTTAAAAGTCAATGCTTTAATTTCATGAATCAGCATCAGAATCAGTATCCCAGCATAATTATATGGCAATCAGCATCAATTATATACCACATTATTATCAATAACAGGCATAATTATTGCACATCAAAAGTCGGCATCATATCATTGTAATATGGCAGATATAGATTGTGTGGTGTCATCATATTAGACTATATGGAAGATGAGAATTTTTAGATTCCTACATTATTTAGCACTAGGCTTAATATCTGCTGATCGAATTCTCCTCTGGTGGTACATCTGACTTAGATTTACATTGTGGCGAAGTAGTTATTTTGAATTGATTGCGCATTCCAAGAAACTCCATATATCCAGAGGTGTTAACTGTATTTGGCAACATGTTCACATAATTCTTGATTTTATCCTGATACGCACATATTTGTTGATGTTGATCTTCTAGTTTGCGGGTAAGATCTTTGATCAATTTAGAAAATTCGTTGTTTTGAGACCGTAGATCATCAATCCGTTGTTGTGATGCATTAATATGTGAAAAATCCCGATCATTGTTTGCTTTGTATTCTGCAACATCTTGTTCCAATAATTTAATAGTTTTCATATATGACTTAAGTTGAGCTTTGTAGATATCATTTCCTTTCTTCTGACCAAACAATTCACTTTGAATACGCTTAAAATTGGCCATATTGGAACTGTATTCATTCATGTCAACAGTTTCTGCTTGGGTATATTTGTTGTGACTTTTCGGTTTATCAGTGTCCTTGCACTTCTTCGTCTGAATTGACACAGATTTCACATTCACAGGCTGTATGGAAACAGTCCTAACATACCTGTCTGGCTGACTGTGGTCTCGATCACGGTGTCCATAACAGCTGCACATCGAACAAAAGTACTTCGCTTGTTTGAACAGTTTACAACATCTTTTAGTATGCCCGGGAGACTTACAACAGGTTATCATTGTCGAATAGTAATCCATTTGTATATGTAAATGTTTTCAAAGCTTGCTTAGCCTACTGTCTTTACTGCTACAACATTGCCTACCCCACTTTAGATCCTTGCCTACCCCACTCCTGGTACCAAATGTAACGGGGCGAGTGGAAGGCCCTTGGGTGGCAATCAAAAACAGTAGATGTAGTTAAAATGTTCTCTAAAATATCTATTTGAAATTCTCTGTGTATGTCCAGTCACACTCTAGGCAACACTAACAAGTAAAGAGACAACACCCCAACTCAGCTACATGTGAGTGAATGCTATTATATGGAATACAAAAACAGTATGAAACCATCACACCATGAAAAGCTAAAAAAAACTGGTTTAAACAAAAGAAGCTAAAGTAGAAAGTATACAAAACAATTGAAAACATTGGAATTAAATATTTGAAACTGGTGTAAAGTAATGAAGGGACCCATTAAAATGACATGGGGGATTGGTCAATATGAATAGTAGAAATATAAACAATGTGAAAATGACCATGTTACATTACGTAACAACCAGATATAGAAGAACGAATGCATGAATAAATATAGTACATTGATTTTACAAGGTGACCAGAAAATGTGTACCTAGATATACACGGATTAACTTTTGAGTGATGTGGGAACATGTGCTTGATCATCTGACAGACAATGCAATAATCATAAACATACTAAAGTTCAACCATTTAAACTATTTTAAATGTTAGAGCTTGGATTAATAAATCTCCCCCATTCTTAATGTGCTCCGGTGATCCCACACAGGAGCTTTCCCATTAATAAATAATAAACTAGACTATTTGTATAATCGTATTTCATTTTATTGTACAATATGTAGATACGGCATAAATATTTACATTATGTTGAATATCTAAATCTAAAAACTATCTAATGGTATATCAAGTCATGGCCTTTCTCTTGAAAGCCCAACACTTAGTCTTGGTCTAGGTTGTTCACAGCGAGATTGGAGTCAAAATGGGATGGGCGGACAAAGATTTGAAGTTAAACAATTATTTAATAAGTATTGCCGCTAATATGCATGTACATCATAAACACAAAAAATAAATTATTTTTATCACTATAAATGATAAAATAATTTATAATTAAAATGTTAATTCTTGAAAGCATTCAGTTGAGTTTAATTCCCCAGAACCCTATACAGGGTGCCCACTTTAAAGGGGTGCTTATATCGTGGACACCCTGTATACGTACATTTATATTATGCTCAAGGTTACTAAACACAATAATGTAGATGGAAAAGCAAGAGTTGAGAGTATTAGTTTTGAAAAATGTCATAATATTTTTTTGCCTTCGTCTGATTTCATGTCATGTCCATTTCTAAAAACATTTCCAACAGTTCTGACTTCATTTAATGACAATCCTTCAATTTTATTGTTATATGGCAAAAAAACTGAACAAGTGGAAATCATTGGGTCGTTTTTTCGAGGACATTTCTGCAGCTTAAATCTTCAATGAGTACTTTTGTATGATAAGATATCTCAATTCTTTTTTTTCATAAAATAAATTAAGATTGTTTAGTTAAACATTGTCATGATTTTAAAAATATGCTTTCAACATTTTAGACTCTCTACCCATTAGCAATCCCCTTTTCCAACTGTTTTACAAGTATTACTCCAACACACATAGGTCTTGGTGATTTTTTCAGATTAAATAGAAGACCAAATGACAGAGTAATCTCCAACCATAAGAGCGAATGGGATCTGTTGAAAATATGACAATTACATGTCACACTGTCAAATTCATGAAACATTGACATACTTTGACTAAAATGGGTGAAATTAAGAGTTTTGCACCCTGTTTTTTTAGAAATAATTCCATGAAGGTCACTGTGACATGCTATTCATTTCCTGGAATGATGCCAATCATATATCGGTATTTGCCATTTTTAATTCTTTGTTGGCTGATAGGGTATACATCACATTCAGTGCAATTTGAATCTATTTACGCTCGTCTCTCTTTATCATCAATGACACAGAAAGAGCAAGAAAACCACAAAAAGATAGCAAGAATTTCCTTAGACAGTTATACCATGCACGCATTCCCTATGCAACAAGATGTGATGTCAACTTTGCTAGCTCAGCTATGCTAACTCAGAGTAAAGATTGAAATACCATGTCTAATAACTGCCAAGCTTACAAATATAAGAAAGCATCGGAAAAATATATCCTCACAATTTTTTTTCTAACTGGACCAATCATTACTTTTATGTGTCCAGTCATTAATCTCACAAGAGAATCAACTGTATGAGCTTCACTTATATTCTAACCGTCGCTTTCATCCGTGTAATCATCAATTTCTCCTGGTCGTGGTGTTTTATCATTCTCAGAAAGTCCGTCATCATAGTCATCATCATAATTAGCAGTGTATGACTGCTCTTTGTCAGAGGCATTATCTGCATCATCATCACTAAGAGGGAAATCAGCGCTATCAACACCTGATCCTTTCCTGCGAATAAAATCCTCATCAATCCCAGCATTCAGCAGGGTTTCCTGGTACTTTCTCTCAGCAACTTTACGGGCATTCACCTGAAGATTTCAAAGATAATGTTAAACATAATGTAAGTGTATTTGTATTTTTGTTCTTTGGTGAGCTAAATAAGTATGTTTTTGTGAGTACTTTATTTTATAATCAAATAGGTTTTGCATATCTGATTTTTTCATTTGTATTCCTTTTTATTAGTCATTAGTTCATGAGATACCATAACCATAATACAGAACATTTTTTCCAATGTTAAATGAGTTTTTCAAACTTCAACATTTTTCAAACATATGAGAAAATTGGCTTCAATATTGAAGTAGTGTACATGATCTTACTTGGGATTGTCTCTCAAACAGCAGGGGTTGCGAGTCCACTCTTTCTTTCATCTCATTCAACTGTTGTCTGTATTCCTCCTGCCTTGCTCTCTCTGCCTCCCTAGAGGAAAATATGTTACATTAGTAGTTGGTAAAACAAGAGAGTAGGGTATCCTGGTATATTTAGTAATACAGGGGGCTCTAACAGAGATATTGTTCGTCTGATGACACTTCCTGTTCTTTTTTTCAACCTAGCCTGAAATTTTAGTGGTGGGGAGGGCTCATAAAGAGATGCATGTATTGAGCATCAGCTCTTTCATTAAATTTTTTTTTCTTTGAAGGCGTTAAGACCATGCAGGATCATTGTTATATTTTTAGCCTAAATATAAAAAGTGGGGGTCAAAGGAACAATCACATACAATTGTGCCTCTTACCAGTTAGGGGAAATAAGTCTCACTGAGTCTCAGCTTGAACTGTTTTACATACTGTACTCCCAGTATTTTTATCTGCAATTTAGTTTCGCGCTTTTCGCGATTGCGGTAAATTCGTGAAAATTAATCTTCGTGAAATTGTCAATTAAATCCCTGGGGATTTGTGGAATTTCTTGTTTCCTGGGATTCCATCGCATTTCGTGTTTTGTCAAATGTTTTTAGGCGATCAATGGGATCGGGAGTACAGTATTAGATAATTTGATAGTTTTACCTCAAAGATGTATACTGTAAAACGGGTAATTTTGACACCGGGAAATTTAAGCAATTTTTCAATTTTAGGGGGTTTTAGTGCGGGAAATTTTAGCGAAATGAAGATTATTGAAAAAAACATACGATTTAAAAATATTTACCTTTTTCAAATTACAAACCGGAAGTCGAGCACTGAACGAAAAGCTCCTTAAATACTAGTATTCATGTAGTTTTCCTGGGAATTTGCAAATTTTAGCGCCCGGTTTATTTTAACCCCGGTTTATTTTAGCGAATTGAATTTTTAGCGAAACTATAGCGATCGCAAACAATCGCTAACAATTACCCCTGGCTAACAATACCCGTTTTACAGTATTCATGATAATTTAATTTATACCTGAAAGCTCTAAGTTTTTCCTTAGATTGCTGTTTACGGGGGACAGTTGTGTCATTTGCAATTGCTTTTTCTGCCACTTGTCGTCGCAACTTAGCCTCTTTATGGCGTCGTTTTCTTTCCCGTTCCAATTCTTCAATTTCTTTATCTACTGTCTTTTTTAGAATCCCCCTGAAAATAAAGCAAAATATTGAAATCAAATACAATATCATCAGAAATTACTTCTTGGATATTTCAAATATGTGACCATAAGAGAAAAACTGACATTAAGTCTAAGGCAATAACACTAAAAGAAAAATAATACTTAAATCTGGAGCAAGTTTCTATTAAAACATCAAAATTCTAAACTAGGTACAAATGTTTGTTCTTCAGCTGGATTCAAATTTTTTCGAGCAGGTTGTATTTTTCTTCAATTTGGCACAATTGTTTTTACAGTTGGGTGCAAATGCTTTTCAATTGGGTGCAACTTTGAATTATCAATGATCATCTAAAGGCAATCATCCTCTGACTCGGGTGGCTCATAATTTTATAGTAGTACCTGAGTACCAGTTATTCTGGCAAGTTATCTATCTAATTTTGGGTCCAAATCTGTGAATTCACTCTGGGTAGAATAATATGTGGGAACACAGATAGTAAGAAACATTTTTTCAAGGGGTGCTGATTTTCTCCCAAACATGAAATGAGCAACCTTTCTCCAGATTGAGACTTTTGATGTTTTTGAGTCAATCGAAATTTGGAGGGGGATGGGTGACCCCATCTGACTGGACCTGGACTTACTTGCTATGGCTAGCTCGTAACTCAGCCGTGTGTGTAAATTTGGCAGGTATGGAATCTAGGGAAGTACTCATCATGGATGCAGGGCTCCATTCTAGAAAAGAAATAATGAAAAATTACATGAATATAACAATGTTTTTTTGTATTTGAATGATATGGGAGGGGAGCTATTGTTAACTACATCTCAAAATGAAATTAACTTTATTCCTCCAAGACTGTTGACTTATCACTCACTTTAATTCTTAATTATTTGCGTAAAACATTCGTCTCTTACAGAGCTTATTAGGTCAAATAAAATATCATGTAATAGAGGTTGAGGTGCCGAACGATCTAGTAATTGTCAATCTTATCCAAATATGAAATTAGGTAGGTGTTACAAAAGGTAACTTAGTTAATTTAGTTACAAAGGATTCAGAGAAAAGGTAGGATTCATAGAATAATGAATTTTAAACTTGTGAAATCCATAAAATTTAACTGCCACAAAATCGTCAAATTCAAAACGTTGTAGTTATTATGGATAACCAACACTTAGGCTATATTTATTTCTCTATGACGTTAATTTACTTAGATCTTACCTTGTGATGTTGATGGCCGAGCCCTGGGGTTCTGGTATGGCCATCTATTTTCCCGTAGTGTTTCTTCATCACGCATCATATCCTCATAAATTTTGTCCTTTTTGGACGGAATTTGAGAAGTCCTGAGTTTAAATGGTTTACAGACTGTTGCTTCCTTCTGCTGTTTTTGATATGCAATGTCATATTGCATTCGTCTATGTTGTTCCTCAAAATCAGGGATATCGGGATTGATTTTTGGACGGAATTTATGCTCAGTTGTCATATGAGCCTTTTTAGCACGCTCAGCATAAAGTTTCTTTCTCAATTTCCCAACTGTGATTTCTTTTGATCTTGCTTCCATATTTGGTGGTAATTTAGATGCACGAAGCATCTCTTCCGCCCTCATTTTTACGCGGATTTTTCTATACTCCTCTTCCTCTTGAATCCGTTCGGTGATAGAATCGTCAAGAATTGCACTGGGGGCTGGTTTTGCTTTGAACTCTTTTGAAGTTTTTTTGTTGGTGTCCTGGATTGCATATGGGGCAGAGCTTGTGCGTTGTCGTATCCTCTTTTTGTCATCTTCCCGTTTACTGAATTTGAAAGGTTTTTGCGTAGAAAGAAGAATTTCTTGACTCATTTCTCGGATAAACTGACGTCTTGATTCTTGTTTTTCTTGAAGCTCATCATACATTGGTACATACCTGTAAATCAGAAATTCTATAATTATAATTTGATTCAATTTGTATCATATTTAGTCACATTTGTTGTAAATATAATTTAAAATAAACAATTAGACAATAGTTGTGGAAAGTTGATTAAAAGGGGTAAATGTGAAGAATGTTGATTCTTTGAAAATTCTAGTAAAAGGCAAATCAACATTTTCTTAGTTAAAACTAAATGTAGCTTAATTTTCCATTTTGACTGTTGATGTGATTTGTTCACCACAAGCCTGACTAATCATGCTGATTAGATAAATTTCAATACATTATCCCATTCAGAAATGACTAGTACTACCACTGGACTTTCAAGAGAAAGCCCATGATGGTAGTCAGTAAAATATAATTGGGCCAAAGTGAAGCCAATGTGTGACTGAAGCAGCCTTTGGGCCTAGAATGCTTAAATTATGTAAAATAATACTTCTTGATTTACCCTGCGTGCAGAGTCTAGTTAAACTACACTCTGCCTAGTAGAGACCATATTACAGTTTAGTAGCCCCGCCCCCACGACGGGTACCGGTGACAGTTTGCGTAATAAGTAACTTTTGACCTACGCGCTGACCTTTCTTCAACCAATCAGCGAGCTTGAAGAAACACACACCAAATGCGTTCTAATTAAATATGCGCATGTCATTGGTCAATTCCGGGCTCAACGATGACGTCAGAAGGAATGACCATATATAGAACGTCGGTCAATTTTGGCCGACGAACACTGATTGGCGCGGTGAGTTCACAGGTTTATTTTAGTTTGAAAGAGTGAAGACGAAGCTCTCTTTTAAGAAGTGAAGTCAAACAAATGCAAAGGGTATTCTTGATTAGCTGGTCTCTATTTTGTCTGTTTCTAGTGATAGGCCTAAGCATATATTTTCTGGGTCATCTTTACTTACACATTAGCTGGTACAGGCTGTGCTTTGAATTTCTTTTGGCATTCTTCTTCTTCAAGTCTCTCCTTCTCTTCACGTTCCTTTTCAAATTCCTGGACAGATTTACTTTTAGATTTGGATTTCTGAACATCTCTTACAGTCATCTTAAATGGCTCTGGAATTGTGATTCTGTGTCGCCATCTTGAAGTGTCTGTCAATGATTCACGACCAGCATCCTCTTTTCTTCTAGAATGTGTTGATGATGTAGAGGAGGTTACTGAATTCCTTCTCTGCTTAGGCTTTGCCTGTCTTTCTCTTGGAGCATAATCTTCAACTGAAAAATTTTCCCACATATCATCTATGCGAGCCATGGCCGATGGAACATAACGATCACTCAAATAACTCTGTTCAGATCTGAAAGATTCGTGAAGTGGTATGTCACTTCCGGAATCATATTCTTGACTGCTATTCAGCCACGCCTCTTTAGATGAGCGTACACCTGATCTTGATTTTGGCCGGCTGTGAGCGGATGGTGGACGTGGTGGTTTTGATGCAGACATATCTCGTACACTATCCCTCACACCATGATTTAAGCTTCCACTTAAATGCCGATCAAATGATGTTGTCGAATAGGTTGGGTCATAATTTTCTTCATTTGAGTCGTTATGATGTCCATTTACCTTTTCATTGTACAATTCCTCGCAGAGACTCAATGTCTTTTTATGGTCATTTTTGAGTTGGACCAATCTTTCGTAAAAATTATCATCGTCAAGATCACCAAGTTCTGTCGCGATGTCTTGAATCATTTGATCTTGTGTCTCAATATGCATGTTGAATTTTTCTTGCTTATCTTTGGATTTAGATTTTTGTCGGCGACGATTTTCGCTGTCATTTTGGACCCAGGTTTCCACATTTCTGGATCCTACACGTTCCCCAGATAATGTCCTTTCGTGTAACGATGTTCTTAATCCAGTATCTGGATTAACGGGCTGTTTAATACATGAATTTGTGACCATAGATAAACTATGATCGGTTGCCATGTTTGAAATTCCAAAATAAATAAGGTGAAGGATTTCTTGCAATTTGATTGGCCGGTATTTTTAGAAGGTAATATTTTATTTCGCTAAATGATAACAATATAAAACAATAAAACATTTTATAGCCTATATTAAATGTCAAATTTATTATTTAATATTCCTACTTGAGTTCTTAAAGGGCATGGGCATCTTAAAATCAAAATTATAATTCACATCGGGCGAAAGTTGTACTTCCGGTTGAAACAGAAAAAAATAAAATCTTACAAAATGTCACTTCTTAGCATAACTGTTACAGCCCTGCGCAATATAGTTGCTCGGGGACGTTGCTCTACATGTGTTGCATCTCAGAGATTGCTTTCAACTGATAATCATGCCACTGGCGATGACTCTGGTCCACTGTATGATGTTGTCATTTCTGGTGGCGGAATGGTCGGCTGTGCAATGGCATGTGCCTTGGGTAAGTCATGCGCTTTCAAGAGACTTGAAAAATGGATCGAAGACAAGAATCAATTGATTTTTCTACCCAAATAATTGTCATAATTCATGTACTAATGAATAAAATAAATGCATGCAGGACCACATGTATAGAGATCACAGCGCAGTGTGATATACATGTAGTTCTGCATGTATTCATTGTATGCATAGAGATCTGACTTATTCGATTGATACACCAGGGAGGGTGTAACTATAGTCACGAGGGGTCATTTATCAAGCACTGCGATGACCATGCAACGTCACAGTATATCTATTTATGAACTAATCGCAGCCTTGATATCCATATGTTCAGTCAAGGTGAAGAGTTTCACATATTAGAGGGGTAGTAGTTGTATATATTAGGTATCGATATCTCACAATAATTCACTTTTTGAAAATTTCCACGGGGGGTCACTTTTGACAATTTTGGTCTAAAAATGGCCAAAATCACTTAAAATTTGTTCAGAATGATGAAAAACTGCATGATTTTGAAATAATTTTTGGCCAGGGGGGGGGGGTTGCTCAAACCCATCGAACTCCCCTGGCTACAGGCGCACCATTTTGAATACTGATAAACTTAGAAGCATGTCATGCGAGATTGGGTTTTGGGAAATGGTATAATTCAAGTGTTATTAAAATCAAAAATATGTTTTAGGTTTAAACGAATCAGTTGAAGTCAAAAAGCATAGTGAAATCTGATTTTGAAATGGGCTAATAAAACTAGATTCAATAAAATTGTTGTTTTTTGAATGGCAGACTCTTATGAATGTTTGTAGCTAATTATGGGTCAGTGAGATCTTTTCAGCATTATAACTTAAAATAATATAACAGAGACAGAGGGAAGTAACTGTTATCAGGCTCTGTGCTTCAGGCTAGACTAAAATTTATATAATATTTACCTACATTTTTATTTTCAGGCCATGAAGCACTATTTGAAGGTAAAAAGATCCTCTTGCTAGAGGCTGCACCTGATAAAGGAGAATTGAAACTTCTGCCAACATATGCGAACAGAGTATGTGCGCTAAGTCCTGCTTCTACTGCCCTACTGGACAGTAAGTTTAATAGTTTCCATACTCCCTGTTAGTGTTTGTATGAAAGACCTTTTGAGCTTTGTGAACAGTATACAATTGTAGACCTCTCTTGACGTCAACTGGCAAAGTTGTATACCAATACTGTAAACCTTGAAGCTTTACTGTTGAGGTATACACTTATGCCAGTTGACCGAATAGAGAGGTTAACAATTGTTTTGTTAGTCTGAAGAATATAATAATTGGAAGGATGTATTATCGAATATCACATAAACATATTTGATAAGTGTAGGTATCATATTTTAGCAAAAAAGTCCCCAAACTGTAGAATATTTGTAATTTTTTTCGCAACTTTATTTTTTCAATTTTTTTCAAAATTAAAAAAATTTCAACTTTTTTTCAAAAGTAGCGGTCAACAGTACTGAGTAGTGGTCAACAGTACATATTGTTGACCGCTCATCAACCAATCAGAACTGAATTGAGGTACTAACAATATAAGTTGTAACCCCTCTGTCACAATGGTCAGTAAACCGTTGATATAATCATATAATTGAAAGTTCGAAAAAAGTTAATAGCCTAACTTAAAAAGTAACAACTCATTATTCAAAACATGTGAAAATTGCATACTGGTCACTTTTTGAAATAAGGAGAATGTGTTTATTTGACATCCTGTACAATGAAATAATTTCAGGTTTTGGAGCATGGGAACATATTGTTGGAATGCGAGCCCAGCCAGTAAAGAGGATGCAGGTGACTTGAATATATTTTTATTACCTTTCAATGCAGAAGTGAACCTAGATTTTACAAGGAAGTTTCAGCAAATTTGAAAAAGAGGCCCATTAATTGAGGTTATACAAAATTATTTATCCCAACAATTTTTGGGTCCATATTATTTGTGGGCTCATCCTAGGGGGGGGGGGGGTGGGGGGTGGGGGGTGGGTGGAGACCCCTGGATCTGCCAGTGAATTTTAGAACCAGAATTAGAGACTGAGCCCATAATAAATAATCCAAAGGAATCATACATTATCAGTAACACATGCATCTCTGTGCTAAAATAATAGATTTTATGTGTTTTTAGGTTTGGGAATCCTGCTCGGATTCAATGATCACATTTAACAAAGACAACATGCAGGGCACTTTAGCTCATATTGTCGAAAATGATGTCACACAGGACGCAATAACACGACAGCTCAACAAAGTTAAAGATAGGGTCGAGATCCGTTATGAGACTAAAGTGAAGAAATACAAGATGCCTAAGCCTATGTCCAATATGACAAAACTTGATAGTCCATGGGTGAAATTACGTCTTGAGAATGGGGATGCTCTTCAAACGCGGCTTTTGGTATGTGTTTTTAAATTTGATTTTCTTCAAGCCAGTTAGGTGCTTAGGTTTTGTCGATAACATGTTTCATAAGCATGTTCAGTGGTCATTCATATCTTTGAATATTAGCAAAAACAAGTAAATAAAAAAGTAGTTCCTTATCTACATGTATGTATGTATCTAGAAGTCCTTTGAACAGATATTTAATTTTGTAATTGCATGACACATAATGAAAAATGGCAGCCATTTTGTGTCATTTTAGTTTACTCTGAGGAATGTGTGATCTATAGCCTGAATGTGACGTTATAACTTGAATGTATTCATTGTAGATTGGCGCAGATGGGTTCCGGTCTCTGGTAAGGGAAAGTTGCAATATACATAACATGTCCTGGGACTACAACCAGCGAGCCATTGTCTGCACGTTACAGCTTCCCACACAGGTACATACCCTTTCCCTAAAGGCTCATCTCTTCTGCACACATATAGGATACCCAAAAATGCCAAAACCACGAATATCTTTCAGAGTACTCGATTGTGTTGATATGCCAACATTCTTATGACTACTCATATCAGCTAGTTTAATGTTGTGAACCATATCTCAGTCATGCTTTCATCTTTACAATTGAAGTTTGCATGCATACAAATTACATAGGATTATTGGATGCTGTATTTTGAATCACTATTTCAGACTGAGAACAATGTAGCATGGCAGAGATTCACCCCTACTGGACCAATAGCAATATTACCCGTAAGTTTTTCTTGACCCATCTTGAATATACTGTACAGTATGTAGGTTGTATTGACCTATTTTCATGTAGGTTATGGTTTACCTACATGTATTTACTGTATATGGACATTTTGTTTACCCTTTACCTGTTTGTTATTGTTTGCTTATCAGCTGGTACATTTTATTGAACCAATCAAGCCCGTAGCTAGGGGGGTTTGCAGGGTACAGGCAACCCCCCCCGGCCAAAAATTCTTTCAAAATCATGAGTTTTTCACCATTTTGAGCACTTTTCAAGTTATTTCAGCCATATTTGGGCCAAAATTGTCTAATGTGAACCCCCCTGGAAATTTATGAAACTGAACCCCCCTTGGCAAAACCTGGCTACAGGCCTGTAATCTATGTACATATGTATATTGTTGTTTACCTAATTTTCAAGAAAGGTGATACTGACCTATTTATATATCTGATTTAAATAAGATTTCTTAAATGAGCTAGATTGATAAACCTTCAGTTCTAAGATTGCTATAAAAGTTATGTGCTTGTTGTTTTAGCTTGATGATGAACATAGTTCACTTGTATGGTCAACAACACCTGAAGATGCCAAACATCTTTTAGCCTTGCCGAATGACAGCTTTGTTGATGCCCTTAATGATGCTTTAGTAAGTGATTAAAGATAAAAGATTAAAGATACAAATACAAATGTACATCATATTAAATCTCTAAAGTAGGCCTACCTCAAATTAAAATCAAATTTACCTCAACCTTAAGGTAGGCCCTATCTTAATGTTTTCATTAAATTGTAATAGTCTGCAAAAATATGCCACCAACAGACTTTAATACAAAGCTTTTTTCTGAATATAAGGCGGTTAGGTCGGGTTGTGACGATGTGAAACCTTCAAATTATAAAGTGTGCATGCATCTCTTATTTTCTAAAAGGCAATTAATTTAATACAATGTACTTATGTGAACATTATTTCAATGTTCAATATTCACATATTTTGATGGTAAAACTCAATGCTGTTATGTATTGCTCTGAAAATATTAAGAAATTAGAACTTGGCTCTCATTGAGATTCCATTTTTATCACACTTTGAAAAAGTTCTATATTGCCGTCCTTCTTGTTAATAAATCACATACAGTGTATTCCATCATTTTAAGTTTACATAGGAATTGTTAAAATATGTTATATTCATGAATCATAACTCATCAGGTTTAGTTGAAAATATAAAATATTTTTTACAGTCAACATTCAAGACAATTATCTACTATGACTAAGTGTTAAGTTTGCATCAATTAAACTATAAAATTCACATTAAAGTTCTCATTAGGTCCTTGCAACAGTTAATTAAGGTTTAATTACCTGAATACTTAAGCCATCATGATTTATACAAAACTAAAATTATGACTGCTTTTAGATAGTTATATTGCATTATAATAAATCTTTGAATATCATTTTCAAGATAATAAAATGTTTTTCATAATTCAGTGCATTGTGCTCAGAATTAAAGACGATATATCTTCATAGATGCCTCCTTAAAAGAATAAAGCTGGTTGTCACCTGATGATATCGAAGTTGGCCAGAGTTTCCATGTCATGCATGTGGCGTATTGGGGGCAGGCTGGTCCATTAGCATACAAACCAAATAAGTTAGATGTATGGCATTTGTCGTACCACCATGCCCCCTTGTAATTCAAAGCACAGTTGTGAGTGTAGATATCATTGTCTTGATCATGTGTAGAAAACTGTTGCCCATTGTGACGTGCTGACATTGAATCCCCTGCCGTTCCTCTATATCCTCCAATGGTAAGGCGGTATTTATCAGTTTTGTCAGTGACATTAAATGTCGAATATTCTGCAAATCCAGTTTTACCATTCCATAGTGATAAATCGATCCGTGCTTTAAACATCCGTTGTTTTAAAATGCTAGCCAGGTTGTCCAGTCCGATGAAGTGTTCTCGATCCACATTACCGAAACCATGTTGATATTCAACCCATGTACGGTAAAAATCTTCACTGCCATCAAAGCGTTTAAACAGATACGTCCACCCTTGGTCACAGTATACACTAAAGATTCTACCTTCCTTTGTTTTGATGTTTCTCACTCCAACGTATGAAGGGTCTGAGCCACAATCTTCAAGGTATTCTGCAAACAAACTGAAGTACTCAGAACTTCTACTTGATTAGGCAATTTCGCGGATTTGCTGTTTTGAACATTTGGCGGACTTGCAATATTACAATGTACGAATGGTACTAATTTACATGGTACTAAATTACCGGTGAATTTGGTGGACTTTAAAAAGGCAGATTTATCGAATTAAAATGGCTGCCAAATTAAGTAGAAGTACAGAACTTAAACATGCCTGACAGTGACAGTTTCTAGTCAACTCAGGCTCCAGTAAACTGAGACCCTTGTTGATTTAAATCTTGGAAGTAATTTTGATTTAGTCAAGTCATATTTAAATCAGTTCTTGAAATTACCCTTGAATTAATTAGACCTTTGGGTACTTATCATTTTTGAAATAGTAATAAAAACAATAAATTGTCAAAATGTCCGACACCTAGAATTATTCAGAAACCTAACCAAACTTAGTTAGTATTTACTTGCCTTTCTTTTTCTCACATGCGTTGATATTAAACACAACCTGTTTAATGTCATCTCCTTGGTAAAGCTCCTGCGCTGATACAACAACAAAAATGCATGCTATGACAGATATCTTCAAGTTATATGTATTCATTTTGGTCCCAGAAAAATTCTTTACTTAATCAAAAGCTGTGCTACGTATTCTCTTTTATAGAACACACATCGTTTATTTTATTCACATATACAATAGAATAAATTAAGAATTAATTATTTGAATTACGCTGAATTTCAATTTGTAGCACCATAACTAACATAACATTTGCGGCCCTTTAGATTTTAAAAGTATGCAAATAATATTGTTCATGAGACTATTACTCTTTATCTATGCAAAATTAATGAATGTTCATAGCCAGTATACGTCTAGAGGACAGAGGAGTAAAAAAAATATGCACCTCACACTGGAACACCCTGACAACGGTAAAGTCACATACCATTGTCACAAATGGTGGATTTAACTATGTCACTTCAACTCTTTAATCACTTGGTTCTCATTTCATGGAACTTTATCGTAGCAAATTTGTGCATGTATTAACTGTTTTCAGGGTGTTCCTGTGTGATCCTCTTATATTAAAAAAATATGGATTATCATTCTGCCTGTACGAAGTAAAAGCTTATTTGGATGTCATATTTTCATTTCCTGGCCCATCTGAGAAAGTTTTTAGCCATGCTTTTGAAAATACACATTCTTTAAAATATTGATGCCTGTTTTTCCTCAAAAAAGCCCATTTTCTAACGAATTAGACCAAATCTGCCAATTTTCAGAACCACCCCAAACCCCCTGTTTGTCAGTTTGTAGGGTACATGTACCACTCACAATGTCCAGATCTTTGTATTTACTCTGCAATCATTCATTTCTCCATTCCTCTGGTATTACAAGTAAAGTGTGATTCCGAATAATGTTTTCCTGCACAACTGCTATAAGTATGTTTTTGTGTTATCTTTATCTATGTTTGTTGTTTACGATTATTCATTATTACAATTTTAATTGAAAATCTAGGTATGATACACTTAAGAGGATTGTAAATTCGATTATTAAAAAGTAAAAAAATAATTTTGCAATTTATTGTAAATAACTTGTGATAATCAGAATAATCAGTATGTGTAACTTTTGAGATACATTACAGTATCGGTCAACAAAAAGGTTTTATAAAAATGATATTGGTATCAAATCAGTTTTTTCTAGAATTCTGAATGATTAAAGAGGACCATTAATGATAAGTAGTCAATTTTTTCTAGTTAACACTGATTTAATTTCATTAATATTTTCAACACAGGCCCGTAGCCAGGATTTACCTGGGGGGGGGGAGCGGTTTTACCAAAGGAGAGCTTTTGACAAGGGGGGAGCTTTTTGACAGTTTTTGGCAAAACATCATGTGAAAGTGCTCAGAATAGTGAAAAACTGCATGATTTTGAAATAATTTCTGGCAGGGGAGGGGGGGTTGGAGCGGCTGCTCCCCTCGCTCCCCCTGGCTACGGGCCTGCAACACAATAAGGGATATATATAAGGTGACTCCCAAAAAACAGAATCACCCAAAACTTATTACAATGTTGTGTTTTAACATGTTTAAGGGTCAACATGTACAGGGTGCCCCAAGAAACCAGGACCATTTATTTATTTGAACAGATTTGTGCGTTCTGTTTTTTAGGTCACCCTGTATGATTTATGTTTATTGATAATTTCAGTGGGAAAACTCACAGAAAGACTCGACTGCAGTGTATGCAGGTCAATTATTGGACCAGCTTATAAGGAGTATCAGTCCAGCTGGAACCAGCACAGCAGGGAGGCAACTTCCCCCACATATAACTGGAGTGGATGACAATAGAGGTGCATTTCCATTGGGTCTTTGCCATGCTACTAATTATGTGAAGTCTGGGGTAGCTTTAATTGGGTAAGTTTCATGAGGCAGTGATATCATGTCTCCATCCAAAGTTTTTATCACATTTTTTCAGTGCCACTGCTATACTGGGTGTGTCTGAGTGCATCAGGGTGGGGGCCAAGTAAATCTTGTCTTCAAAATTCCAGGAAAACTGCTTCGGCCTACCATTTCCATTTGAAATTTTTACAGATTGAAAAAGCAGACTTGTGCCAAGCAGATTAGATTTTGATCACCTATTTTCAATTTTTTCGATAAAAGTGTGATATTTATCGCTGTGTCTTGTTTTTGTTTTGCTTGAACAGTTGTGATTTACTCTTCTTACTATGCCGGTATGCCCAAAAGTGTTCAATTTATACAGTAGCCTACTCAATATTTAATGTTTTAATAATTCCAGTGATGCTGCACACAGAATCCATCCTCTAGCTGGTCAAGGAGTCAACCTAGGCTTTGGAGATGTAGCATGTCTTAAAAATATACTCACCCAGGCAGTCAAAGACGGTGCCGGTTTAGGTAATAGTATTGCATAGATAGGTGTATTTGTGATTTCTTAGTAAGATGTGGCCTCTACCTGTGTATTGTAGAGATGTTCTCATGCGGGTAATTGGAGACAGCAGTTATACAGATTAAGTTAATCATAATTTTTATGTCATCGCCACAAGTCCCTAGTGTTAATATATTCAGACTTGCCAACCTCCCATTTTTTTAAGGGAATCTCCCGTAATTTTTTTGTTTTTCCGTAAAAAATACCAAACTCCCGTACCGTTTTCTCCCGTAAAAACTCCCGTAAACTCCCGTACCGTATTTCTACTAAAATCTCCCGTAATTTTTTTTAAAAATATGGCCGTAAAATCTCCCGTATTTTTGCTGAAATCTCCCGTAAAATCTCCCATATTCTGGTATAACTCCCGTAAAATCTCCCGTATTCTTGGTATAACTCCCGTAAAATCTCCCATTTTTTTGCTGTCGAAATCTACCGTATTTAAAAGGAATTTGACAAATTTGTGACCTTGATTATTGCAGCCACGCTTCTTTCTTTTACTCCAAGAACGATTGGCTCCCATGGTTCACTATCGATACTTTCATAAATAACTTAAAAGTACTTCATTCCCATGATTCAAATTGCTTTTCTGCGATCAGTTCGGTATAAGTTTGCACACCAAATGTCCACAAACGGGGGCCAGTTCATATTCTGTCATACTTCTGTCGGGAGAATACATTTTGTTTTTATATGGCGCTAAACAAAATATTCCCGCAATAAAAGGCGCATTATGGGTAGGGACTGCTGTAAAATAATGAACGTAAGTGTTTATTAACTGCGCATACGTCATAATAATTTAAACCAATTAAATCGCTGGATTTAATGCTCATGCGCGAAAAAACGAACCTAAAAATGGAACCTCACGCAGATTGCCCTTAGCATATAGTGAACGCCACATATACATTTTACTTAGCTTTGATCAATTCGTTTCCAAAGTAATAAAATGTTGTATCTATAATCTAAACAGATCAAATCAAAAACAGATCAAAATCTACCGTAAAAACTCCCGTTTTTTCAAAATCTATCGTTAAAAACTCCCGTTTTTTCAGAAATCTATCGTAAAAACTCACGTTTTTCAAAATCTACCGTAAAAACACCAGTTTTTTCAGAAACCCACCGTAAAAACTCCCGTTTTTTCCGAAATCTACCGTAAAAACTCCCATTCTTTCAAAATCTAAAGTAAAAACTCCAGTTTCTTCCGAAATCTACCGTAAAAACTCCAGTTTTTTCGAAATCTACCGTAAAAACTCCTGTTTTTTCCAAAATCTGCCGTAAAAACTCCCGTTTTTTTCAGAAATCTACCGTAAAAACTCCCGTTTTTTTCAGAAATCTACCGTAAAAACTCCCGTTTTTCAGAAATCTACCGTAAAACTTCCCGTTTTTTTTAAAAATTTACTGCAAAAACTATCGTTTTTTTCAAAACCTACCGTAAAAACTCCTGTTTTTTCTGAAATCTTCCGTTAAAAAAGTCACGTTTTTTAAAATCTACCGCGAAAATACCTTTTTTTTTAATCTCCCGTAAAAACTCCTGTTTTTTCTGAAATCTTCCGTCAAAAAAGTCACGTTTTTTAAAATCTACCGCGAAAATACCTTTTTTTTAAATCTCCCGTAAAAACTCCCGTTTTTTCAAAATCTCCCGTAAAAACTCCTGTCTTTTTCAAAATTTACCGCAAAAACTCCCGTTTTTTTAAATCTCCCGTAAAAACTACTGTTTTTTTCAAAAATCTCCCGTAAAAACTCCCGCCTTTTTTCAAAAAACTCCCGCAAAAACTACTGGATTTTGAAAAAAACTCCCGTAAAAGTACCGCAATTTTTTTTAAATCTCCCGAAAATTTTTCATTTTAGGTTGGCAAGTCTGATGTTGTTAGTCTCCAAATTTTTTGTTGATTGTGGTTGGTGTTTGGCATGTAGTGCTTGGTGTCTGTAATAAATGGTTATGATAATGTAATGAATAATGCAAAAGTAATACAAAAGTAATACACATTTACAGTTGAAATTGTATTGGGATTTAAATTTTATCCTCTGGATGATACGATATCTTCCTTCAGTATGTCAGTCATATCATGGTAAAACCATTGTACAATCTTCCCTGTGAATAACCTCTACTGTTCTTCTACTTAATTTGGTGGCCATCTTAATTTTTCCAAATTGTTAAGTCTGCCAAATTAAATAGCCGCCAAAATATACAAATCAATATTGCAGGTCTGCCAAATTAAGTACATGCGGTACATGTAGTAGCCAAATGTTCATAACAGCAAATCCACCAAAATAAGTAGCATCAAATTAAGTAGAAGTACAGTATTGCCTATCTATTCCAGGTTCAATCCTTCACCTGAGTGATTATGAAAGGCAGAGACAGAGGCAGATTATACCAGTGATGGCTACTGTTGATGGACTGAACAGACTATATAGGAACAAAATGTCACCTTTGGTTCTCCTGAGGAGCCTTGGTTTACAAACCACTAACGCTTTGAATCCATTGAAGGTAAGCCTTTCAGACCCGTAGTCAGCTTTTTCATATTTGAAAAATTTGGCCCAAAAACACCTGAAAGGTGCCCAGAATTGTAAAAACTAGGCCTACATGATTTTGAAAGAAATTCTGGCCAGGGGGTGGGGTCGCTGCCTACAGGCAAATATTTTTGATGAAATAGATCAAACAGAGACAACATTCTCCTTGACATTAGGCTCACTTTTTCAAAACATCCTCCAAAACTTGCACTCGAACTATCTGATAATATCTTAACAGATTCTGGAATGTTCACCATTGTTTTCATGCTGAATTGGTATGATTTTTATGTCACCACCAAAAAGTGGTGACATATTGTTATGGTCTCCGTTTTTTTTGCGACGGCGGTTGGCGTCCGGCGGTTGGAGGTTGGCGTCCGGCGTCTGTAACAATTTCTTACAACTTCCTATAACTTAACAAATACTGTTTAGACTGACTTCAATTTTTTTCTAAATCATCTACATGTTCTCAGAAGTTCAAATCTGACTTTAGATTTTACATTTGACCTTCAATGACCTTCTCAAGGTCAAAAAGGTCTTTTTTCAACTTGCTTCACATTGACTAAATTTTTTTTCAAAATCATCTACATGTTCTCAGAAACTCAAATCTGACTTTAGATTTGACATTTGACCTTCAAATCTGACTTTAGATTTGACATTTGACCTTCAATGACCTTCTCGAGGTCAAAAAAGGTCAAAAAGGTCTGTTTTCAACTTGCTTCAAATTGACTAAATTTTTTTTTCAAAATCATCTACGTGTTCTCAGAAATTCAAATCTGACTTAAGATTTGACATTTGACCTTCAATGACCTTCTCAAGGTCAAAAAAGGTCAAAAAGGTCTGTTTTTAACTTGCTTCAAATTGACTAAAAAAAATTTTCAAAATCATCTACGTGTTCTCAGAAATTCAAATCTGACTTTAGATTTGACTTAAGATTTGACATTTGACCTTCAATGACCTTCTCAAAGTCAAAAAAGGTCAAAAAGGTCTTTTTTCAACTTGCTTCAAATTGACTAAATTTTTTTTTCAAAATCATCTACATGTTCTCAGAAATGCAAATCTGACTTTAGATTTGACATTTGACCTTCAATGACCTTCTCAATGTCAAAAAAGGTCAAAAAGGTATTTTTTCATCTTGCTTTTAATTAAAAAAAATTTTCAAAATCATCTACATGTTCTCAGAAATTCAAATATGACTTTAGACTGACTTCAATTTTTTCTAAATCATCTACATGTTCTCAGAAGTTCAAATCTGACTTTAGATTTGACATTTGACCTTCAATGACCTTCTCAAGGTCAAAAAGGTCTTTTTTCAACTTGCTTCACATTGACTAAATTTTTTTTCAAAATCATCTACATGTTCTCAGAAATTCAAATCTGACTTTAGATTTGACATTTGACCTTCAAATCTGACTTTAGATTTGACATTTGACCTTCAATGACCTTCTCAAGGTCAAAAAAGGTCAAAAAGGTCTGTTTTCAACTTGCTTCAAATTGACTAAAATTTTTTTTCAAAATCATCTACGTGTTCTCAGAAATTCAAATCTGACTTAAGATTTGACTTAAGATTTGACATTTGACCTTCAATGACCTTCTCAAGGTCAAAAAAGGTCAAAAAGGTCTGTTTTCAACTTGCTTCAAATTGACTAAAAAAAATTTTCAAAATCATCTACGTGTTCTCAAAAATTCAAATCTGACTTTAGATTTGACTTAAGATTTGACATTTGACCTGCAATGACCTTCTCAAAGTCAAAAAAGGTCAAAAAGGTCTTTTTTCAACTTGCTTCAAATTGACTAAATTTTTTTTTCAAAATCATCTACATGTTCTCAGAAATTCAAATCTGACTTTAGATTTGACATTTGACCTTCAATGACCTTCTCAATGTCAAAAAAGGTCAAAAAGGTATTTTTTCATCTTGCTTCAAATTGACTAAATTTTTTTTCAAAATCATCTACATGTTCTCAGAAATTCAAATATGACTTTAGATTTGACTTTAGATGACATTTGACCTTCTCAAGGTCAAAAAAGGTCAAAGAGGTCTTTTTTCAAGTTCAAGTTTGAAATTCAAATCAAATATTGTGAGCAACTAGGTGGTGACATTTTGTCATGTTAATGCCTTGTTCAATTTTGTTTTATCCCACCGAACGAAGTTTGAGAGGGATATAGAGAAGCCATCCATCTGTCCATTCATTTGTCTAACTGTTTGTTCGTCCAGGTGATACTAGTATCTCAAATACCAGTTGACGGAATTGATTCAAATTATATAATAGGCTTACATGCATGCCTTATTTTGCCTTAGGGACCTCTGCTCGAGAAATAATTTTCAATATCTGAATATGGCCACTCAATTCAAAATGTCCGCCATTTTTCGTAAAAAATATAATCTTTGATAATATTTGTCGTCGGATTTGGTTCATATTTTATATGCTGATGCCTTGGTTCAACGGAGTTGGGTCAAGAAGGCACCTGAATTCCAAAATGGCCGCCATCTTCATAAAAAGAAAGTAATCTTTGGTAACTCACTAGTGAACGGATTTGGTTCAATTTTTTTATGCTGATGCCCAGAGACAAAGGAGGTCTGATCAAAATTACCAGACATTTTCAAGATGGCCACAGAATCTCAAAATGGCCACCATTTTTTTGTGAAAAATGTAGCCTAATCTTTGATAACTCAAATACCAGTAGACAGATTTGATTCATGATGCATAAGGGCAAAGGAATTTGCAAAAACCTAATCTTTGATAACTCAATACCAGTGGACAGATTTGGTTAATTTGTATGTTGATGTTTAGAGATAAACTCTGCTTAAAAGAAATTTTCAAGATGACAGCTGAATTTTAAAACATGTTTTGTTCGTTGAGATTTGAATTCATAAATTCCTGATATCAGGTGATCTCTCACATGTAACAAAATTTTACAATAAGTTGCATAATTAGTTTAAAATCCATTGATAACCTCATACTTAATTTTGACATTTCTTGTAATCTTTGTGTCGAAAGGAACCAGTATGAATCCACACTAATACTTCATACCAATTTTGGTAACTAGGCTATAGAACAGTGGTTTCAGTGATTATTGTCTACACAACTCACAACATTGATTAGGTATAAAGTATGGTAACAGATGTAAATGTGTCACAATATAGGCCTACATGTACACAAATTAAATGGAAGGTGAAACCTTGAACAACAATAATTTATAGTCTTTCTTCTATTTTCAGGATTTGATCATGTCAAAAGCCATAGCCTGAGATTCAGGCATGTCAATATTGGACTTAAACTAGACCTAAATGCAACTGTTCCACAATACTGCAATAAGCCAACATACTATGAGACTGTATGGGGCTTTATCTCTTCATAGCAGCTTGTTAATGCTAACTTGCTGGGACAAGGGAAATACTAATAACCATGACCATACTAGATATACTAAAGACATTGCTTTGTATCTTTTATTGATCACCCATGTCACATGGATTACCCAATTAAAGTGAGGTGTATGATTCTTTTGATAATTGCGCCATCTATCTTTATAACATTATCAAGAGATTGAGACAGGATCAGACCAGGGTGTGATACAAGAACTGTCATGGGGCCCAAAACTGATAAGTTTTGATAATGGCCAGATGATTTTCCCTATTTGGGTGTGAAATCCTAATGACACATTACACAACCTAGCTGGCCTATGTCAGTATGTACAGATGAAGTCAGTGTAGATGAAATGGTTAAAAGATTTAAGCCCTGGACTCAGTGCATTGCGATCTGATTCAAAAGTGATACTTCGACCTTTGCACGAGATGTGCAGCATTGAGTGTGAAGTTTAGGAGTTAACTCTTTAATGGAATGAATCAGCTACAATGCATCATTTGGAAAATGTTTTCTACGAAATGACCTAAAAGATATGAAATCACCAAAAGAAAATGCTTTCAATGAAACTTCAATCTTCAACTTCAATTTGAAATACATTGAATGAATGACCTTGGATGGTTGGTTAGTTATATAACTGTATAATGCAGTGCAGTTATGTGAAATACTGTAATGGGATTGCTGGAATCTGACATACCTTGCATAGCTATGTCACGGGGGTAAAGCAGACCCGATGATGCACATATATAGAGATTATCCTATATGAGGTTCAGGATATTGGGATTATCCCAAGGCAAATATAATATATTTGCCCGAGGGCCGCAGGTCCCGAGGGAAAATATATTATATTGGCCAAGGGATAATCCCAATATCCTGAACCAACATTGTTCAATCGTGGAAATATTTTAGAATATTTATTATATAAATAGAGATTATCCTATATGAGGTTCAGGATATTGGGATTATCCCAAGGCAAATATAATATATTTGCCCGAGGGCCGCAGGTCCCGAGGGAAAATATATTATATTGGCCAAGGGATAATCCCAATATCCTGAACCAACTATAGGATAATATGTTTATCCCATACCAATCTTGGTCATCCGGTACTCATTGTTCAATCGTGGAAATATTTTAGAATATTTATGTCCAGTTTTGTTTTCTTGGCCGTGGCCGATTTTCCTGTTCTCTCAAATATTCCCACATTTATTTTCTCGAATTTCTGATTGATTAAGTGGATGTTCCTTCCCTTTTTTTAAACCATCAAACAGATCCGATTATCTGTGTTTTCTCCATTGTCGTTTACAGTCATTACGCGAATGTTACAAATTATGAACAAATATATGCGAGCGGCGATTATGACGTAGCGGGCAGATATACTATATCTGCCCGCTCGGAGCGGGACGTAAAGCTATATCTGCCCGCTGACGAAAATATAAGTTTTTACAAACCGGCTTTATGTACCTATAACACGTCCAAGTATGGGATAAATGTACATATCCCATGTACCCACGTACATGGGATATGATAGTCTTTGACATGTTTGAAGGGTTCAATTTTTAAAATGTTAAGATTATTCTATCTCCGTCTATGCTGAATTGTAGATGCACTAATGCACTCGTAGGCCTTCACTTTACCCAAAAAGGTAATCCAAACAGATGTTAATAACTCACTAATTCAGTGAAATTGAAACTTAGTAGAATGAAAGCACATTCAACAAGTTTTGGTTGTGCCAAATGACTTTAAACTCATGCTGAATGACTGAGCTATTGACATTTGTTTGGGTTAATATTCTAGCACCTTTTGGCTCACCCTGTATAAAAAAGTGGCGTGTGAGATATTGATTTTATCCATATTCAGATAATGGCACTGTGTAATGTAGCAATGATTATACAATAAAATAAAATGACAACATAGAAAGTCCAGGTTCAATTTTGTGTCATTGTGATGTGGTTGGAGGTGTTTGTGAACATGTACAATTCGGCTATCATAAGGACATGAAGGACAAGAATGCGACTCAGATATTTTCCTGCATATTTTTTATTTCTTTGATAAAAATCTTTAAACCTAGAACCCAAAATTAATTCAAAAAACCTTCCTACCTTCTGTCACCTTTCACTGGATGATAAAATTGTCAACAATGAGTGAGAATTGATTTCATTCGAAATTCACAACTAGTAGATACACTTAATTTGACGTTACTTAATTTGGCGGATTTGCTCAATTTCAAATTTTGGCGGCTTTTTAATTTGGCGGAATTAGGACTGAGCTCACGTTTTATCATTGATTTGGAAATAAGCATTTCAGATTCATGTATTCTTCTCACAGTAAGTCTTAGTTACAGTACTGACATCCAAATTGAGATACTTACACAAGTGAAATAATTGCAAATTACAAATTCCCGGGGGATTTTCCAAAATTTCGCAGTTATCATATTTTGGGAATTTTCCAAAACTCACAAAATATAGTAGCACACAAAAATTACCAGGCAGATAGGCCAAAAGAATGCCCAGTTCTTTATTATTTACAAGGCTCAAATTGATTATGAGCTCCAAGGCATGAATAGTCATGATACATGGATAATTTCCAATTTCTTGAAGAAAGTTTACATGTGACAGTGCTGCCACCTACCATTGTATATAAAATGGGCAATTGAATTGAGCTGGCAGACAAGGTTCACAAATTAGGCCTTTCCAATAACAACAAATCATGTAAATACAGATCCCATCTCAACAAAAAACAGGGCTAGTATATGTCCAATTTCATTGGCAGCAATTTGAGAAGTTCTGTTAATTGTTAGGATTTATCGGATTGGTTTTATGTGATCAAGCACTAACTCATTGTTGATGTTGAGGAAGACAACTGGAATTTTTATATCTAATGCCATGGTCACATGTGCTCCGATTTTCAGCATCGGTGCCTGGCGGATGAGTATTTTGTTCAACATTCAATACAATTTTGAACAAAATGCTCAATCAGCAGGGCACCGTTGTAAAAATCTGAGCAAATGTGACCACGGCATTAAAGGCTATCGGGCATGTTAGGGGGACAACTTTATTCTGATGGGCTATTGATTGAAGAATATGACATGTATGAAGAAAGGCCAAAGGCAAAGGATGACACATTTGAACTTTAATAACTTGACAAGGCTCAAACTTCTTGTCAGGCATAAGTCCATTTGCCATTGCAAGTTCAATCACAAAAATTTGAGCATTGTAAAGTCATTATTTCACTCCTGGTTGTGTAGACCTAGGGTTCTCGATTCCTATTTCATGTATTTGGGGCAATATGCATATTCCACAGAAAACAATACAATCCGAGCCCTCCAACTCTACACAATTCAGATGCAATCCCATCACACAAAAATAACTAACACCAGATATATGTTATATAATTTATTTTAAAACTTTTTATCTTCATATTAATATTATTTTTATTTAAGTACACAAAGTTATGATTCTAATGACAGTTTGACAAAAGGGTTACTTCACATCTTTCAAATATTATATAATTATAGGCAAAACAATCAATTCAGAAATTATAGTTACAAAAAATAGAAAATTGAATTGATGCACAATGTAAATATGTTCTAAATTACTAGAGCTTCTTATGGTCCCTTAAAAGCTATTATTTTAGATTAAAAACTTTGACAATAATGAGGAAATTATTAATAGGACTACATGAGGTCTTAGTGAAATGAGTGAATTTCAACATTTAACTTTAGTGTAGACTTATTAAATCATTTTCAATAACTTCAAAATAAAATCAAACATTCACTATGATTTATAATATAGGCTAGCAGTTAACTTCAGTATTTATACAATGTACATATTTAACTAGATTATCTTACACAAGTCTCATCTTTATAAAAGAATGGCAATGTACATAACCAAAAAATATTATTCTTGATTTACAATGAAATAAGTTATTTTATCTTGATTTTGTGAAATGTATAAAAGAATGACAATGTACATAACCAAAAAATAGTATTCTTGATTTATAATGAAATAAGTTATTTTATCTTGATTTTGTGAAATGTATAAAAGAATGACAATGTACATAACCAAAAAAATATTATTCTTGATTTACAATGAAATAAGTTATTTTATCTTGATTTTGTGAAATGTATAAAAGAATGACAATGTACATAACAAAAAAATAGTATTCTTGATTTATAATGAAATAAGTTATTTTATCTTGATTTAGGCAATAGGCCTAATAAAAAAAGAATAAAACATATATTCAACTTATTATACAATCTATATTGATTTCTATTAAAATATAAAATATAACTGAATTGATTTTTACTATACGTTTCCAGTTCTAAGCAGTTCATAATCATAAAATAACTTAATACAATGATATTTCACTAATATATTTTAAATAGATTGCAATAAGAACAAAACTCCCAAAATATACAAAAAATGAAGCAAAACAAATTGCAAGATATACGAATTATTCATGCTTACCATAATGTCATAACATTGATGAGTAAATATATTATAATTTAATTAAACTATACAAGTTAAAATCTAATTGAACTATATTATAATTTAATTAAATAATACAAGTAAAAATTTAATTTCAGAACTACAAAATTATAATTCACTTAGTTTTTACAATTAAAATTGTATTTGAGTTTCAATATCACATAAATGTTAAGTTTTACACTACAGCTAATAACTGAATAACTTTATAAATTGATCTTGTAAATATAATTTTAAATTTTATTTTATTTCAAATTCTTTAATGAATTTTGAGTCCAAGAGTAGGGATAATGCTGCGAGCGGGATACCCAACCCTAACTCCCTGTAGGAGGGGGAGGTACGATTTTCCATGCTCAAGGCCAGCCAGTTGTTGTCTCAACCTCCCTACATTAATCATTTTTGAGCCAAAATGTTTCATGACTATTTTTGATAATGAATAACCTTATACATATTTACTTGCATACACTTATCTATCTGCTACTAAGTACAACCTACAAGTACTTATTTTATCTGTTGCTGCGCCTGTAAACAAATGTCATGGTAATACAACTGATTCAAAGTTGACTTCAAGATAGTCAGACATAATCACACTGTTATATGACAACAAAATTGAGTCCAGTCCACTGATTAGTTTTTAACAAAGTGATATATCAAATATGCTAAATTCTTACTTTTGTGTAAAACAAATTCGATCAATAGTAACTGGTTACAAAATAATCTTTGGAGCACAAATCAATGTAAAAATTTAAATTCTTTTGAGAAATATATTCAGAAATTTTATGGCTTCTGCCAAACTCAATTTTTTAGCTTCAATCATACTTCACTTCACAAAGTTTACGTTCAAAAATAGGTAACTGATTTTGCAAATTGATTCAAAGTCACTGGTAACTTTTGAGGACCATAAACTCTTGTATCAATCTTCATTATCATTGCAGGACACAGTCAATTTCAACCTCACGCAAGAATCATGTGGACGTTTCACTTGTTTGAATAACTTGCATCGAGCTTCACCGCAAAGTCAAGGGAAATCAAACACACTCTATATTTGGAGAATATAAAGTCAACTGCTCAGCGATAAATTCTGAAGCACTAAGGAACTCAATCTCCACATCATTATTTTTGCAGACATACGGTCTCAACTTCAAATCCTTAGTCTTTCTAGTTTGAAATTCGGATAACTTTCAATTCAGATATCACTGGTTAATATATAGTCTACTCAAATTCACAATGGACACTATTATAATATCATATAGCACTCGTTTTCTGAACCTGCAGTAGATCCTTGTTTATCCACTAGGCCTAGTTGTAACCTCAGGATATCCCCCACTGGAAAAGCCTGAAAATGAAAATACAAGTTTATAGAACTACAGACTGACAGAACTATACATGTACTAGAATAGGGCTATAGCCGAGAAAGATAGGATAATGGTTAATAAAACACTGACTACAAAATTTAATAAAGAGTTTGCTAATCTGCTTTTGGGCTTCAAAGTTAGTTGCTTCAAAAATTGATTGTAAATATGCAAGCACAGTTGCAATAAAACGTTTCCACACGACTGGAAGATCAGAACAACAATTATTGGTAGATAGAAAATAACTATTTCAGTCCCTCTATAATTTTTGAGTTAACAACAAAATTATTAAGTCAACTTACCAGTCAAATGAGAATCCTGGCTGGAACCTTGAACAGTACTAGGTGCAGCAACCCGACAGACCTGAACTGAAACCTCATGGAATGGAACCTTGAACAATTGACTTGGAACCCATACGGACATTAAAATTCTCACTGAATGGACCTAGAACTCTCGCTGGAACAGACACAGAAACATCCTCTGGAATTGACCTGGAAACCCTCGCTGGAACGAACCTGGAAACCCTCGCTGGAACGGACCTGGAAACCCCGCTGGAACGGACCTGGAAACCCCGCTGGAACGGACCTGGAAACCCCGCTGGAACGGACCTGGAAACCCCGCTGGAACGGACCTGGAAACCCCGCTGGAACGGACCTGGAAACCCCGCTTGAACGGACCTGGAAACCCCGCTTGAACGGACCTGGAAACCCCGCTGGAACGGACCTGGAAACCCCGCTGGAACGGACCTGGAAACTCCCGCTGGAACAGACTTTGAAACCCCGCTGGAACGAACTTTGAAACCACCGCTGGAACGGACTTTGAAACCACCGCTTGAACAGACCTTGGAAACCACCGCTGGAACAGACCTTGGAACACCCCTCTGGAACAGACCTTGGAAACCACCGCTGGAACAGACCTTGGAACACCCCTCTGGAACAGACCTTGGAACCCCCCTCTGGAACGGACCTGAAAATTCCCTGATGGAACCGACCTGGAATCCCTCTGGAACGGACCTGAAAATCCCCTCTAGATATGTATGGACCTAGAATCCTTGTTGGAATGGACCTGGAAACCTCAGCTGGTATGGACGTAGAACCCTTGTTGGAATGGACCTTCAAACCTCCGATGGTATGGTCGTAGAACCCTTGTTGGAACGGACCTGGAAACCTCGGCTGGAATGCCCCTAGAACCCCTGTTGGAATGGACCTGGAAACCTTGACTGGATCGGTAACATGGAAATAAGACCAAAGAACTGTTGAGGCTTGGAACACTGTTGGATAGAAGACTTGAGCACTTCAACACGCTAGACTGGAACGAATAAACTCCTACTGGACGATGGTGTTTGTCAGAACCTTGGACTGGACAACTGCGATTAGACTAGCCAATAGCATGGACAGCACATCTCAATATGACACATGTGGAATACACTGGTGGAAGGACTTGTAGTAGCAGAACTTTGGAAGGACATTGGAAGGGACATTGGATGGCACTTAGGGAAGGGGATGGGATATGGTGGATCAAACGTTTACCCTAGGAGCCCCACCCTGTGACACGTAGAGAAATGGACTATGGACTTTAAGTGGACTTATTGGAGGGGAATGGGACAGTTGGAATTGGGACACAAAGCAGGAACCACTTCATCTCCACATCTCGACATCATTTGATAGCTTAAAAAGTTCATGTACCCAGGTACCATGCTCTCTAAAGATTTCACAACATCATTCAGAATTGTTCATCAGTTAAGACATAAATACATTCTAGTAGTACCATACATTTATAAGTTCATTGATTAATCATTTCTTCATGCGGAGTCGGTTCTTTCGAAACAGCCTGTACACCTAGAACTAAGGGACCCGTCCAAAGCACTGAATATCATTCAAACCACATTGTATACACAAGACACTATCCAATCACCCATCTATGTTACGTCAACTGTCTCCGACTTAATATAACCTTTCTGCATATTACAAAATTGTATAAACATCGAATGCTTCTTTCTGGTCGTGCACAGACTTGCATAGAAAACCTCCCTCCTATACCTGAAACTGAAACCTAAGCAAAGCATGGCAATGGTTACTTTTTCAATGTTTATAAACTAGGCTTTGTCAAATAATTAAAGTTGTACAAGTACATAACTGATCTACAAAAAAATCTGCCTTATACTTAAGTGGGCATCCTTCACACTATCTTCATAGTTGACTACAGGCTTGACAGTTACTACCACAATGTAGACTGGCTGCTCTACCTTGCTCTTCACCTAATTTACGATGACATACACTGCCTTTCTCCAACTTCATTTCCTACACACATCAAGAAGAGCATGGAACGAGACACATGTTAAATACTCACTCTATTAATATAACTGAATTCGCATGATAAACTTCTACAAATGTTATTGAGATGTAAATGTTATTATCCAAAAAAATTAGAATTACAATACAATGAAAGGTCTCATACAACAAATAATACCACGTCAAACCAGGAGCCTTGGAGGGCTTAGTAGCTTTAGGCGCAGATGCAGTCGACTTTGCGATCTACCAGGACTGGACAAGACTTAGTTAGAAAGGTCACTGGAGATTTATAACTTGACTTCAATTTCAGTCTTGTAACTTGCTTCAGCATACCTGGTTTAAGTCAGATCTTGATGTGAAGTACCCAGCTGCCTAATGTTTTCACCCTATAGTATTTACATATTGAAAGAACAGAGCATGGATCATGTTACTAATTTTCAAAAATCTAAAGATGAAATACTACTTTAATGTATACTTATTTATTATATAAATACACTCACTTATGTAAGCACCTGAGAAACAAGAAAATTAAAAATTGATGATAAAAATACCACTTTTAACTGCTGCGAACGTATGATTAATCCTTCTTGACAATACCGACAAAAAGTAGACAAGCAGTTGAAGATGAATTTCTCAACCTAGTTTTTGTTTGCTGGTTTGGTCTTGAAAACTCCACCCAAGAAGCCCTATATTACACACATCCAAAACAAAACATTATAAAACAAGAAGTGATAGTAATAGATATTTAATAAATAGGTGACACTATCATACTTATATACTAGTACAACTTTTTGTTGAGAAGATTTATTGCAATAAAACTGCACAATCTAAATATAAAACAACAAAGAAAGCTGATACAGAATACCACTTTTTTCATTCTTGTGATGTCAAACTCCTGCTTTAACTTTTAAGATTCAGACAGGTTTTCTTTAGACCGCAAGCTGGCAGATCACTTGAAGAGGACCTCTTAACACACTTCACTTCAACCTCACCATCTTTTTGTGTTGCATTTCTCTCATTTAATGTGAAGTTTTCTAATGTAGAAATGGTGAAATATCTACTGGTGAAAGACTAATGGAGGAATTCACTCTTAACCTATTAATAATATTGGAGAGAAGAGCATAGGGTAATGTTACAACAGATCAAAATTTTTAGATTGACGCACTTATTTTCTATAATAAAGACGAGATTAGATATTACATACTAGTAGTTAAATGATATAAATTGATACAGAAATATTACTCAGTAATTCATGATTAAACAGCGATTTAAGGTATATAAAGCCTTTGTCACAAGATTTAGAGTAGACAGTAGTCACCAGCGAGAGAATTCTTTGCAATAACTGCACTTTCTACGCACAAATCAATTGATCTGCAAAATTCACAATCCGACTTCATTAGACCTCTAGTTGCTAGTTTTTGTTACTTTCTCCACTTCATTTTGAACTATCCGCAGTCTTTAATCCGAGCTCTATTTCACCTGATATTCATAGCTGCTTAAGTCCCTACAGCGATCGCTCTATTGTTTCTACATTATACACAAAAGAGGAAGAAAAGCATGGGATGCCATAAAGTTTAATAGATAACAGAAAAAATATCAATTATCAATCATGAATTAGATGCAAGTACTGATACAATAAGTCACAATACCGCATTTTAATGTGATGTTTGCTGCGCAGTGTGGTTTAATCCGAGCTCTATTTCACCTGATATTCATAGTTGCTTAGGTCCCTACAGCGATCACTCTATTGTTTCTACATTATACACAAAGAGGAAGAAAAGCATGGGATGCCATTAGGCCTAAGGTTTAACAGTTAACAATCTATATATAGCAAAATTATTAAATATGAAATAGAAAAATATCAATTATCAATCATGAATTAGATGCAAGTACTGATACAATAAGTCACAATACCGCATTTTAATGTGATGTTTGCAGCGCAGTGAGGTTTAATCCGAGCTCTTATGTTTCACCCGATATTCATGGCCGTTTAGGTCCCTACAGCGATCACTCTATTGTTTCTACATTATACACAAAGAGGAAGAAAAGCATGGGATGCCGTTAAGGTTTACAGTTAGACAACTTATATTTAGTAAGATTATATAATAGGAAACAGAAATTTATCAATCATAAGAAGGTACAAGTACAGATATAAAGTACAATACCCCATTTTAATATGTGCTGTTTGCAGCGCAGTGAAGTTTAAGCTTGTTGAACCTAAGGAACAGATCATCGTTGGATCAGCTGGACTAAGGGCACCGTAAGCAAAATTGCTCGAATGTGTAGTTTTCCAAGTACATTTTATCTACCACTGAATTTCACCCTTGATGATCCAGAGGATTTCCTTGATTAGTTCTTATTTTTCCGTAACTGCAGTATCGCAGATTATTACATTTAGCTACATCCAATCCTATAGTACACATTAAGGGAGAGAAAAGCATAGACACAATATTATGGCATGCTATATACAATTACATTTATCATAATCAATATTTCTATTTCTAGAAGTTGTTCCCTATATTGTAAATAAATTGCATGATTTAAGAATGATCAAAGATACATAAGGTTTAGATACTAATTACCAGTATACTGGGTGGTTTCCCTTTTACCATTGTGCCGGGCATGATTATTAATGTATGAGCAATATCTCTGAAGTTAACATGTGCAAATGGATGATTTCTTATGCCAGGGCTTTTCATCGCAGCTAGTTGAATGCCGAGGGTAGAAAATGTTCAGGAGAAACCTATTTTCCATACAGAGAAAAACAACATGCATACGACAAATGTTATAATATATTTCCTGTATTATCAAAATCTAGGGTAAAGATAATCATCTAAAGACCATAATTAAACAGAGACATAGTTGTTATCTTACAAAAGGTGTACAGAATAAAATCAAACCACAAATACCAGGAAAATTCCATCGATGTCAAACATTATGTAGGCTATCTTATGGATGTGCAAATAAGCTGGGTTATGAAGAGCCAAAGATGCAGGGTATGTGGCTGCCCATGAGCATGTTCATTTTGAAGCTCCGTACTATAAGATGATGCGGATGATAATTGTGGTGCAACACCATATTGAATACCAGTGGAAGATACACGAGGATACCTACAAAATAGAAGATAAACCACCCCAACCGCACTAAGAAGCCCATATACAATGAAGTTTAATAAATAAAAACATACTCAAGGATGCATATCAAACTTTAAGTCCACAAAACTAAGTATCTATTGGCAAATTGGTGTATGTTCAGAAAGCATCATTTCTACACTTAAAGAATAATTTTATGTGTTAGATAGCAAATACTGAGAGAAAATATATATAACTAGCAGTACTTCAAGCTTTGCCTACTCATTTCATCTTCAACATCGCTGAACTACTCATGCACCCTATTATGACTGTGATAGTAGAAAAATGTGGATGTCATAACGAACAGCAAACAGGCACTTAACCTAAACAAGAGAACAAGAAAAAGGACACACAATTCTGTTCTAAACATCGAATGTATAAATATAAAATTATCTTTACAAAGATTACTCAAGTTGGCAAAAATGGAATTAAGAACAATGTTGTTTTCTAATTATTAGTAATATTAGACTGAAACTGACATGTAAATGAATCAAATTCAAGATAAAGCTACATATCTCACAATAAAATGTGCATCAACTAGAATGATTGATCTTAGTATTTTAAAATTTCATAAGAAAGTATTATTAATCTATACTAGGACCCATAATTCTAAACATAAAATTTAAAAATTTCATAGAGAAACATCAAATGCAAATGCAATACTTCTGTACTTAATCCAACGATGCAGACACAAGATATCACCACCCAAGAT